AACTAAGAGTGCTAGATATAGTATAAATAAGTATCCTTATATATCCAGAGTTCCTCCAGTTAGTATGGTTGGTAGATGGTAGGATGGTATATTAGTAGATGTCTATAATACTAATATATTAACTATATTATATACCCATCTACTATATTATGTGATTCGCGTGATTACAGCAAAGATGTTTAGTAAGTAACTACTGAACTGTTTTTCTGCAGAAACCTATCTAGATTAAGTATTCCTCTGGATTATGCCCTAATTACTCTAGGATTAACTAGTGATCATTAATCCTCAGGTTTCTGCCTGTCACATCCGCCTTGTGCTAGCACGGCTGTGTCAGTGCCATAACACACATCTTCTTTAGCCTCTGGATGTTGGCTGTTTCTCTCCGCTAAAGTACGTGTATAGTCGCTTAATTGAGATAAAGATGCAACTTAGTTTTAACTATATTAATAAGCTTAACTTCCTTAAGGCCTATCCACAGGCCCGTACAGTAATCTTTTTATTAGATAATATTAAAAGCAGCTTCTCAGCAACTGGATTAATACTACTAAATCTAGATTAAGTACTTAGTCAGCTTAATATCTAGCTTAAAACCCCTACACCACTAGGCAGCTGATCAACTAATTCCATCCCAAAAACACCTTATAATCTCAAGTAATTAAAGAAGCAGGAAAGTACACTTAAGAAGCTACTCAGGGAGCATATATATAGTCCTCCTACACCTACTAAGGCTGCGCTAGATCAGCTTATTAAGGGGTGTGAGATAGCAATAAATAACACTATCCTTCTTATAAAGGAAAATCATGATCTACATACTGCATATAAGAAGCAGGTTCAAAATCAAAAGCAATCTAGGAGGCAGATAGACACTATAGAGGGATTCTCTATTAAGGAAGGCCAGGAGTTTATTTAATAGAGGAATCAGGCCAATAAAGCTATCTAGGTAGTAGATATAGAATAATGCCCTCAACAGGCACCCCCACGCTGCAGTAACTATCATATTATAGGCCATAAGCAATTGCAATGTCCGCAGCGCAAGAATAACTAGATTTAGTAATAAAATCAAGTTTTTAGGGTTCAAAATAGCTTCAAATTTGATTCCGGCCAATATTACATGGTAGGGTGGCTGCTTGGTTACAATGGCCGCTTGCTTACCGATTACATTAGTCACCATTTGTATAAAGGTTGGCTGACCCACATTTGTTAACCAAATTGCTTAGTAAAGGTTGGATGACCTGTAGTCACAGAAAAGGTGAGGTGACCTGAACCAATATGATTACTGCCATGATATAGATAAGATCTATGATAAGAGATCAATCCAAGCACTGTCGTACAGCGGGATAATGAACACAGCAATGTAGATTCTTCCTACAAGAATAATAAGATGCAAGTCCTAATAACCATCCAGAGAGTAGCATGTGTGAAGTTATTATCACTAATGCAAAATCAGCTTCTGAAAATACAATTCCTCCCATAGTATCGATAAGCTGAATCCCATGCCCTTGAATACAAAAGTCCGTTGAAAGCGAAAATAAACATTAAGAATACCAGCAGCTAACTACCCGACCCTGATCATAATAAGCATCTCATGCCGAATTCCACAGCTGGCGCATAGCATTCAGCACGTCTCCTGGGGGAATGGCTCCTCTGAACTGGTTGCCAACATCATGGCCCAGCTTCTGCTTCAGCCGCGCCTTGACCGCCGCAAAATGAGGTGGGTTCCAATGCAGATGAACAACCCAGTAGATCAACCGCTTGATGTCCGCTTTTCCATTCTCAACAGCAGGCAAACACTTCAGGAGCTTCTCCGTGTCATGACCAACAGGATCCTTCGCCTTAGAGAGCATGGACAGTAACGCATCTTCCAGATGACCTGAGAACTCAGCCTTGATCACCTTTTCCAGACTAGTATGATACTTTGTCTCAAAAGCCTGCGCGATAGCAACGAGCTTCGCATCCGACGCACCCAAAAGTACGGCAAAGACACCAGTCTCGTCTGTCCCCTTGCGCGCCTGCGTCGCCTGGTGGATCTCACGGACATCGGCGTCAACAGAATGCGCATCGAAATACGTCCCCGGCTCCGGCCTCGTGGCATTGAGCAACATGACAAAGAACTGCTCCGTCTTGCCAGACAAATCGCTCTTGATTTCCTCAACCAGCGACTTCTGGTACTTGCCGACATACGCGTACTTGATCGCGCGCAGGTCGGCATTCGACCGGCCGACCAGCACATCCGTGAGGAGGTCTTCGTTCGTTCCGATCCCCGACAACGCATCACGCACGGTAGCGACATCCTGCTCAAGTGGACCTCTCGCCAAAGAGACGAGAACATTTTCCAGGTCTCCTGAGAGTTCGGACTTGAGGTCTTTTTCAAGGTTGCGCCCGATGCGATCGGCGTAGGTGTGTCTGATAAGCGCCATTTGCAGGGGGTCGGGCTTGGTCAGGATATTGATGAGGGCTTTTTCATCCGTGCCGAAACCTTTCATCGCTTTGCGGAGGGCTTCAGCTTCGCGGGTTGCGTCGCCGGGGGCGCGTTGGTTGGGGTCGTAGCCTAGGGATGGTGGGGTGGGCATCGGTTGAGGAGCTTGAGGAGCTTGAGGAGCGGGATAGCCGGGTTGACCTTGTGGTGGGTAACCTCCCTGCGGAGGATACTGACCTTGGCCTGGTGGGGGGTACTGGCCATGTGGAGGATATTGGCTCTGTGGAGGGTATTGGCCTTGTGGAGGATATTGACCGTGCGGAGGATATTGACTCTGAGGATATGCCCCCTGAGGCGGATACTGCTGCGGTGGTGGATGACCTCCTTGAGGATATTGTGGCGGTGGTTGGCCTGGCCATTGTTGTTGCGGCGGAGGGGCACCATATGGCTGTTGTTGGTACTGACCAGGGGGAGGATATTGCTGCGGGGGAGCACCTTGGGGCGGATATCCACCAGGCTGTTGCGGCGGATAATAGGGGGCCTGTTGCTGCTGCTGATGCGAGCCAGGCGGAGCATACCCAGCGCTGTTATAGGGGGTTTGCGGGGGTCCGCCGTAGGTATGCTGGGGGTGCGACATGACAGAAATGTGATAGGGGAAAGGTAACGACAATTGAGACTTATCAAAGGAGCACGCGTCAGCCTTATATCCCCTCAGCACGTAATATTTTAGAGTTATCTAGCCTGTGCTCAGCTCGTATTTTAGCCCGTGTCAACACAGCCACAATCGGCCGTAAGATTTACCCCTCTATTTGACCCACTGATTGGCACCTTTCCAAGCTAAATTTCGAAATGCACAGTCACTGGAGAGAAACAAAATGACTTAAACGAATAGTGATGAGGGTCTTGACTCGCTTCGTCCAATAGGGAACTCGTCAAGCCACAATGCACCGCCATTCTGCCAAGCCTAATTTCCCAATCAGCCCACCGGACCCCTCCCTTTGTCTTGACACATGCATAAAGAGTAGATTAGGAACCTTTCTGATTTGGATTGTCCTTTTTCCTTGTTTTCTAGAAATAAGGATTATGTAACCTTGCATAACATAACTAATAATATTTGATGACTGAACTATATTCTCAGTATGAGACCTTTTCAGGTCGACATGGTTCTGGCAAGTAAGCCACTTCCTAGTCAAGCAAGAAGTGAACTGCTTGCACAACTTGCTCAATCCATTCCCAGCTTCCCAAAGCCGTAATAGGATCGGCGCCTTTCTTCAAACATCAGGACAGAGCTACTGCTCATCGGGACGTCTCTCTTTTCTGCAACCGAGTCACAGTCGAAAATCTGTTCGTCGGTGATTATTCTCTTGGCCTCGCACAAGGCCTTTGAGCATCCTATCCGTTTACTGTCGCTTTGAGTCTCTATCGTCCCATTTGTGCGAGAGAATACCACACGCGAGCAGCGAGGGGACTTCACGGCAAAAGACTGATACCCAGATCACAACATAACAGGATAATCTCCCTTTCTTGTCTCGGTAGAGCGGATGATGGTCACCGAATCGTGATGACCGTATAACACCCGTGCTGATCGGCGATATACTAAAGTATATGGGACTCCCATGGAGCCATTCAGCTGGTTCCTAAGTAGGGTGCTTGGCCACTCTCCACAACGTCATTTAGTACTCTCATGGTTTCAACGGGACGGACTGTCTCACACATCATGATGCAAGCGATGGATCTGCAAAGCATCGATGCATGCTTTAATGTGACCGTAACCAAGGATCGTCCAGTAGCTCCCTTGCTGATTCTCTCTCCTCGGGCTTCCATTTGAGCATCTTGCGCAGGAATTGGATGAAGAGCCGCTGCGGTTCACCCTGCAAGTTTCCTTCCAGCCTCTCAAACGATATAGATGGGATCTCAATGGTTCTCTTCCAATTCCCTATGCCGTAATCAACAACAGTCTCTTGGAGCATCATGATTCAATACACACCTTCGCTGTTGAAGAATCGAGTCGCATAGACACTGCTGTGAATCATTTCTTTCGGTGGTAGCCCCATAATGGCAATCATTTCGGCGAGATGATGACCGTCAGAGTTTTCCTTATCCGAATCTCGACCGTAGAACAGATGCCCTTGTTGGAAGAGATCCCATGCCTGCTCCCATTGTTAGCAAAGGGAGCGTCCACGTCTCGTCATATAGCTTGATTGTGAAACAGGTCCATAGGAACGAACACGTACCAGCACACCAACATTCCAGATATCAACTTTTTCATTCCAAGGCATTCGTAATACCACCTCGGGAGCCCGGTAAATATAGGGCTGAATATCCCCGGTGTAAGTATTTGACCCATAGCGAGCCTGACCAAAATCACACAGAATCGGACGGCCATGTTTCTTGGTTTTCCTGAGCTTTCGAGAAGCATAGATCACCCGATCCCGGCTGATTTTCCGCAGGCTAGGATTGGATTTCACTTGTTCTTCGAAATCGGCTAAAATCGAAGGGTCCTCAATGGCCGTCATGATGTTCCTTTCTTGAATATCTGGGAAACCTAAGTTAGAAGGCTTTTCTGGAGATGGAAAGTGGACAAGTATACCTGTATGGACAATTCTAGCTTCTGTATGAAGATAATCAAGAGCAAGAAGGAGATGCATCAGGGTCAACTTGACTATTTTTTCGGGAAGTACCTTAGCCCTCATTTGGGTGCGAAAATCATGTAAACATATCCCCAGCGGAGGATGGACGAGACATCCGAATGTGCCCTCTGCAGAAGTAATCTGAAAGCTATCCGATGGTTTGCGGATAAGCTTAGCACCAGCATGATCTGCTGTGCCAAGGGAATTCAAATAGTGGTAGGTTTCTGTCTCTCTTTGGCCTTCTTCTGAATTGCGCTCAAATACCTTCAGCGTGACATAAGAATGCCTCCTGGAATATTGTCAGTTTTCGCATCGCTGCTTGATTGTAGAGCAAACTAACTGTAGGTCCCTGCACAGCCAAACAGTTGAATATCCACCATAGCCCAATTTACCGATCACCTGATACCTCGATTGAAATATCTCGCCAAGTTTCACGGGATAAAAGTTCTTGGGTGAGTACCATGGCAGTGTTTCTTCCTCGAGTTTCTCGGTTGAGTCGAGGAGACGGAAGCTTGATTGGGAGAATTCGCGCACTGGTGATGCAGGACGTTGAAACAAGGGACGCCAGGAGGAGAATTGCCTCGACAGTCGGGATGGAAGGCGGAATATGGAGGCCATCGTGAGAAGCCTGGTCATACATACTACCACGCGACCAGGGATAACGCGACGTTATACAGCCAGGTCAACGTGAATGTTGTAGGGAATAACTCAGCAAGGTGATCAGGCGCCAACGTTTTGTACATTCAGTCTGCCATAAACATGTGGCTCAGCCTTGTTCCACCAGAGTCCAAATAAACAAACATCTCGCCACACTATTTCCTACTTTTGCAAAGATGGCTAACAACGAAGGGCCCATCCGGCTTACGCCGTCAATGATCCCTAACTCTCCCAATTTTGACGTCAGAGACTCATCATTTTTTCGCAAATGGGATGAGCTACCTTCCCCAAAAGATGTCCAAGCTCAAGCCGAAGCCCAACGTCTTGCGGGATTCAACCCAAACCCTAGGAGAGACTACCAAAGCGCCGTGCCTTATTTTATAAAACCACAACCCGCGGTATTTGAAGACTTGAATCTCCTTGTTAAGTGGGGACGCACAGAGAATATTTCCGAGGCCCAGGCACTATTTGCTCTCCGGCGACTTTTGAATGGCCTTGTTCCTGTTCCTGAGGTGTACGGGTGGCGCACGGATGGAGATGTAAAATACATCTACATGTAGTACATCCGAGGACAGACACTGGAGCAAGCATGGGATAAATTAGAGCCCGAGGATAAGGTTTCGATCTTCCACGAGCTGCGCACTATATGTGACAATCTGCGTCGTCTTGAGCAGGACCCTTCAGATCCGTTCGTAGGTATGCATACATGCCCTCCCTCATGTTTGCGCCTGACCTGATTCATTTCGACAGGAAATATTTTATGATAGAGCTTTGGGCTTGAATTGCATACCAGTAAAGGGCCCATTCGCGACAGTGAAAGAGTTCCATGATTGGTTCACATTTCTCTGCAGAAGACGGATGCCAGATCCTTATTCAGTACTGATCGAGCCATATCGCTATGAGCTGCCGGACGACTGTGCCATCAAGTTCACCCATGGCGATCTCCATCGTAGTAACATCGTTATCAGTTCCTCTCGGCCGTATCGTACTCTGGCTATTGTCGACTGGGAGCAGTCGGGCTGGTTCCCTGCTTACTGGGAGGCCCGCAAGGCGCAATATACTGCATGGATGACAGAAGAATGGACCACGACGTATTTGCCAATAATTTTAGATATGTACGCTGATACTTTGGAGTCCTGGGACTACTATACCATTTCCATCGGCCCTTAGATTTATTCCATTATGACATTGCAATAGGTGGCAGAGGGAATAGCCCAGTACGGTACATATTACTCATCGTAGAACTCCTGTGTCGGCATGGAGATCCTTTTTGAAACGAGGAAGCGCATAGTACGTAGTATCTCCTTTTTGTAATCGCAGTGATGAGGGCAAACGCAGTTTTCTGAGTTTGAAGCTCAACATTACATCTCCAAACAGTAGAACAGTTTTCGCTGAAGCTCCCACAACGTGGTTCTGCCATATTATATACATACAGGAGATTGCGGATTATGGATATCTATCTATGAATACCAAATATTTGATACAATCAAGCCTCAAGACAAGTATCGGTAGGATAGTTGCAGCTGTCGCCACTACCACCGGTGATGCTGACATTCTCAAAGACAAAGTTCGAGCAGCTGCCATCACCACAGAGAATGTAGTAATCCTTGCCATCGCTCATCGTACCAGTGACATCAACAAAGGTGATGTTCTCAATCTTAACGCCATTGGTAGGCTTGCCGGTAGGGCCGCCGTTGAGGTAATCCTGCTGGATATCGATACCATAGTCGGTGATGCCGGAGACGGTGATGTTCTCGTAGCGGATGTTGGAGACCTCACCGGTGGTTCCGGAGTTTGATTTGATTCTGCATCCATTCGAGCTGTTGATGACCTGCGAGTTGGAGAAGGTCACCCCGTCAACGGTGTTGTCGCTCTTGCCGCCGATGGAGCCGATGCTCAGCCCGTGGCCGCCGTAGCAGTAAATGTTGTCCACGACGATGTCTGTGCCGCTTGAGACCGCAACGCAGTCGTCTTGGTTGTGCACCCAGCTGTTTTGCAGGGTGAGGTTGGTGCTGGACTTGATGTCGAAGCCGTCGGAGTTGTGGGCGGCCGGTTTGCTGCCGCTGGCGCTGTTGGGGGCGTCGCCGGCGGAGTTGTCCAGCGTAATGCCGGAGATGACTAGGTTCTCGGTGTGCTCGATGTCGAAGCAGTGGACGGGCCAGTTCTGGATATTGAGGTTCTCGATGCGAGAGTCGTAGAGGTGCTTGGCGACGATGAAGTGGTCGGGCTTGGAGGAGCCGCCGTTGGAGCCCTTTCCGTCCCAGTAGGCGGCGCCGTTGCCGTCGATGACGTGGCCCTCTGCGCCGGTGATGGTCACATCCGTTCCGGAGATGACGATGGGGTCGAAGTCGTCGTCGGGGGTGTCGCCGAAGGTTGTGGTACCGGCGAAGATCACGGCAGCGCCTGTCTGCAGGTTCTGAAGGTCGATTGTGCTGGACGGAGGGGCATAGACGTCCGACAGGAGGATGTTCGAGCAGGATGCGACGGCCGAGGAGATGGCAGCGTACTCGGTGACGGTGCAGGTGGTGCCGCCGTTACCAGCAAACGTAGAGCTCTTCGTAGCGGCAGGGGCTTGTGTGGTGGGAGCCACAGCATTGGCTTTCAGGATGGTGGGAGCAACCGTAGCAGTGACCTGAGCAGTGGCAGTGTTGACCTGAGTCTGTCATTAGCAGGCCATTTCTTTGTATACTCGCGAATTGGATACTCACAGCACTGGTTTGAGTAGGAGCAGCAGCAGCAGTAGCAGGACCCAGACAGCTACAGGCGCTTGACAGGTGCCTGGTCTTGTAGTCACAGTTGCTGAGAAGAGCGGCAGGCACGCCAGTAGTTTCGGTCACTGCGTTCGCGGTGAAGGTGGCACAGAAGCTGGCAGCAGCAGCAGAGGAGACCGAAAACACAGATGCACAGGAATGGTTGGAGTCGCTAGGATCGACACAGGCAAGAGCGAGGGGAATGAAGGGAACGAGGAGCGCACCGCGCTTCATCTTGGACAAATGAGTGACTTTAACGGGATTACAAAACACAGAGACGAAAGGTAGGGGATGGAAGTGAATGGATATAGGACCAAGCCTGTGCTGTTCTAGTCACCGGGAACGAATGGGCAACCATATGCCTTTATATAACCGACTGAGTCAGGAGATGACAATGAATATTCAGCAGTGGACCATCTGGCCTTGCACACTCTGACTCAGTTACTCCATATAGATGTCAAATAGGTGGATCAAAGATGTCATTAGTTTGCATAACGGCTGTTTCAGATTGCTTCAGGAGCACAGAAGCCACAAACTCCACGGAGAACCACTTGCTCGCATGGAGATTTGAAATGAACTGTTTAATTGCTTAATATATACTAGAGTGGGGCTTCTCTTTAGCTTGCCATAGCTTGTCAGTCTTGACTCGGTGGCATTGTCGTTATTGGCGCTCTCGGCAATTCCAACTCCACCAGCCAAAGTATTCATAACTAATACGGGGCAAGCATGGTTATTGGGGCTTCGGAATGTTTCATCAGTATCCGCTATTTGGTATGGGCCTCGCTTGCTTTAAGTCCGACGTTCTGCCATTATCCGCACATTCCGAGTTTTCTTTAGGGAGTTCAAGAGGCCAATTCTGCTACAGACTGTATGCAAGGACCTGATGAATTCCAGTGTACTCTAAAGCGTGCTCAAGAACAACATATCTGTTGTAACGGACATAACGCATTATGTATAGATGCAGCGCCTATGTGCAACCTCAGATTCTGATTTTTGCGTGGTTCTGTATTTAAACCACTCTGATGTAGGCATTGATGGAGATCAAATAATCACCATGAATCATGAGTCCGAATCGCCATGCTCATATGTCAGTCATATCAACCATGAAAAACAAATTATTATACAACCCCACAAGAGGGACAGGGTATCATCCAGCATGACCATTTACATTCTCACTTCCATTCACTCTCACCCCATGCATCTCCTGCAACTCTTTCCACCGCCGCACCACCATGGCGCGCTCTTCAGCCGAAGTCGCGCACATCTCATCAATCCCCTGCTGTATTCGTGACGCCAGAATCTCCTTGATTTTGCTTCTTGATAGGGAGTTGCGCAAGCTCTTATGCAGGCCGTCGAGGGGATACCCAGCTAGGCCCCAGAATCCTGATATCGTCAGTGCGAAGTACTCAAGAAAGAAGAGATGGTCAAACCTGCTGCGGGCTTGAGGATGACTCCCCCGAAACCTTTGCCGATGCCTTTCAAAAGACCAATTGGGCCGGATCTCTCCAGACCTTCTGCGGGCTGTGTGACGAGGCCGGTGATGCCTTGGTAGAATTCCTGGGTAAATTCCTAATTGCGTTATTAGTTTCCAGCAATCTTAACAAAGAGGATCAAGGTAATATCAACCTTTCCAGCGGCTCGAAGCCCGCCCCGCACACCCATCACCGTCGGGGTTTTGGCCACCGTCCTGTCGTGGTACAGCTTCGGCGCATTGTGGAAGCCCTTGGACAGGCTCAGGGTCACATCGGTCGGGATCGCAATAACCCAGTTCAATAGTCGCTTGCTCCACCGTTTACCGTGATAACCAGTCTCGGCTAGCACTACATGTATACCCCCCCGCGCCTCCCTTGACGCCCGTCGGCTGATCGTCCTCTCGAGATCTAGTTCACCACCGTCCTCATCGCTGTCGACATGCGTGTCTGTAGAGTCCGATTGGACCGTGGACTGGTCGGATATTCGACTTCTTGGCTCCGGCCTGCTATCCCTGGATATCCGATCGGGAGCAGAGACAAAACTCGTACTATCACCGTCAAATACCTCGTCCTCATCGTCGTCCTCTTCCTGTTCCTCTTCATCTTCCTCGTCTGCGTCACCAGACGGATTCGATATCGGTGAATCGGACGACGATCGCCGCATGCTCGCCACAGCGCCCAGCTGCGACCGCACCCGGTCTTCCGGGGGGATGCCGTCCATTATCTTCGTGGTTCTCCCTATGTATGCCCGACGGTCACAGGTGACCTCCTCGTCGTGGCTATGCCGCCACCCATGTTTCTTGTGGTAATGGTGATGGCGCGAGATCGTCTCGGCAAGGTCCACCGGCGCCGTCGTGAGCGCCGTCACAAAATCCGACGTGATGCTGTAGAGCAGCGCCGCCCCCGCAGAAAGGGGACCGCGGGGGTCGCGGTTGGTATCGTATTCTTTCGACCGGTACAGGACCATATTCTGCGGCTTGAGGAACCCCGCCTCCACGAGCACGGCCGCTGCAAACGAGCTCAGCTTGATATGCGAGTGGCGCACCCACCAGACCGCCGGACGGTGGGGACAGATCGAGCAGCGCAGGGTCTCCAGGTCCAGGTGCCGATGGAAACTGGCCATCGCGCACTTGACGCCATTCTCCTGTCGCATCTTCGCGCCGATCTCGCCTGCCTTCTCTTGCATCTCCGGCCCCAGCGCCTTGTTGATCGCGTCTGCGAGTTTCTCGGCGTTCAGCTGTTTATACGGGATGGGCGCTGGGCCTGCGCCAGCTCGGTACACTATCGAACCCCAGAAGGGCTGGTCGCCGAAGAAGGGGATGATGATAGTCGGGCGACCGAGCGCAAGCCCAGCTGCTGTCGTTCCTGCTCCGCCGTGATGGACCACGCATGAGACGTGCTTGAACAGCCAGTCGTGCGGACAGCTGCCGACCATGAACACATTCTCGGGGATTTCGGCCTCCCCTGCGCCAATGTTGCCCCAGCCTTTGTTGACGAGCGCGCGCTGGCCGGTTTTGACGATCGCTTCGAAAACGATCTTGGTTAGTTTGGTTGGATTATCGACGACGATGGAGCCGAACCCGACATAGATGGGTGGAGGACCGTCTTGTAGGAACTTGACCAGGTCGTCGGGCGGCGTGTAGCTGCTTGGAGCAGGGAGCATGCTGAAGCCGCAGATGTCGACATTGGTTAGCCAGTCTACGGGTTTGGGAAGCAGAGCCGGTGACCTGATAATGTCAGTAATTCAAGTCCAAACAAATCGGGGCTACCCACCAGAGATATGTGAACGGAATGCGAAGCTTCTGAGCAATACCCGGCCCGCGAATGGCGTCCAACGGATCAAGTCCTAACTCCCGCTTGCGGAACTTATTAATCAGATCTCCCAGTCCCTCATAGAGCATCATCTCGACTATCGCATACGACGCGAAATTCGCGACGGAGCGCTTCGTACGCGTCGGACGCACATTGGCCAGCGGATGCGGAAAGGCCTGCGTGGGCGTCCAGGGCATCGTAAACATGAGAATCAACGGTACGCCCAACTTCTCCGCACAGCTGATATGCGCAAAACTCGGCGGGTTGGCGATGATCGCGTCCGCCACGAACGGCTGCTGCTGGTAGTCCACCGTCTCGCTCCACGGATCCTCGGGGACATGATGTAGTCCCGTCCCATCGCCCATTTCAAAACATGATCGCCAACACCCGGAGAATATCGCCGCCATTTCCCTCCGCCGGCGCCGGATCGCCCCGCTGCGCAGCGCTTTTATCCCCGGCAGCAGACCGGGGTTCTTCACCATGAACGCCATGAGTTCAGCGGGATCGCCGCCAATATTGAAAAATTCGAGGCCGTGGTCCTGTACGAACTCTCGAAAAGCTAAATGCGTCGCGAGTCGGACGCGGTGGCCCCGTTCTTTGAGGGCCATGCCGAGTGCGACGAAGGGCTGTACGTCGCCGCGCGATCCGACGACGTGAATAACGATGTTGAGGCGGAGCGGGAAGGGCTCGTGTTTCTCGATGGACGGCTGGGGAACGGATGCTCTTCGTATGTCTTCCGGGGTTGGTTTGTGTCCCTTTTCCAGGTGTTTGAGGAGGTGTGCGAGGCTGGTTTTTCGGCCGCGGAACTTGATATCCAGGCGTCCGTCGTCTGCAGCAATCACATCAGCTTTGCTATTTATCCGCTGATACAGCACTCATACCCGTCACCCGCACCCCCGTGTTCATCCCATGGTCCATCATGGGTGTGCGACGATGGTCCGCCGAGGCCGGGTCGCTGAGGGCTTCCTGCGGCCAGTCAGCCGTCGTGATGCCAACTGTGCGTTGTTGCGGAGGCATCGTGTTCTGGATGGAATCAAGATCCCAGGTTTAAGGACTAATAGTCCAAAGGGCTTCATGAGAGAGTAAAGCGCAACTGGTATCTGGACTCTTTGAGACATAAATTCCCTGGGGTCTTCCGATGCGGTGGCCTCACCCGATGATGTCATGGCCCGTTAAACTTTGCTGTGGGTCAAAAGAGAGAAACCTCGGCATCGCGACATCCTTCCAGTAGTCTTCCTCATTATTGGTTTGAATACCTTCATACAAGGCGCTGGATGATCTGGAATAAGCTACGATGATCCTGTTCTTCCGCCATAACCGGTTCGGCCTCGGGGTGACTACATTTGGCCGATGTACACCGATCCCCTCGTGTCGATCATTTCGATCAACGTCAATCTAGATACTCGCCGCCTTTGAATTTTTCTCGTTACTAATATCCATGTCTTATCAGAAATCCGCGCTGGATCATCCATAAGGCTATATGAAACCCTCGGCCTCACCATCGGCGATGTCCAGCTCTCTTTGACGCCACAGGATCTGGTGGATCTTCATCATCGGATCTGTCGAAACCACCATCCCCATCCTGGTCTCTATCGCGCAGTCCGTGGTGGCACTGTATGGGATAACTCAGTTCCGCCTCATCGGCCACTCAATGGGCTGCCTCGCGGCAGTGATGCTAGCACATGCCGAACCAGCCCGTATCCTCAGTTTCATCAACTTCAAGGGCAGCCGCACCCCGGAAGATGATTTCCCGACTTAGCAGATCTCCACGTCCATATGGGCCTCGGATGAGGGGTTTCTGGTGCACTTCATTGAGTGGACGCGTCGCTCGCCGTGGCTTGTTAATGGCCTGTATGCTGTTAGTTTGCGTGCTCGAGTGTGTGCTGGAACTGTCAGAATAATCTTCGCTTTGACGGGTTGTCAAATCTGGGAAGGCTTACGAAGGAGTTTCGGGCGCTTCCGTGTCCAACGATGTCCATAGTTGGCGAGCAGAACCGAGGCTTGTCGTATCTTAGAAGGAGAAGAAGAGGTAGGAGCTCAGGTTGGTGGAAATCCAATTCAGTGTTCATTTCCCCACATACTCGAATCCTTCAGAGATGTTGACACGGAATGCAGCACTTTTGGGGGAAGAGCTTGTAGCCCTGTGCTCTGTGGGAGAGGGATGGGTCGTGTTGGGATATATAAGACTGCTAAGATGATGGATTTGTAACCATAAACTGACGAGTAAACTGTCCGGACGCCTTATTGGCCTAGTATAGATAGTTAATGGATACTTGGATTTCAGCCTGAAGTGTCGTTCGTGTGATTCTATCCTAGTAACATGCGGAGAGTCGTGACTATTTAGTATTTTATCGGGGAAACGAGGCAGTATTGGGTAAGCAAGAACATAGTTATAGAGTTATGGCAATAGTACACCAAGTTCTCGACTTCTGTGGTAGGTAGATTAGGCCTTAGGAGGCTGGTTGGAAGCATATATAGCTTGAATAAAACTCTCATATGGTACATACTACCCTACCCGTCTAGACAGGTTTTGGTCATGGGGGTGGTGACAGGTATATAGACTGCTCACTTAAATTCCCTAGTGTCAGGTAATGGTGGATTCCCATATTTTAATATATAATTAGAATCACGTACGCAAGACGATTATTATGGGCCAAATAATAAATAAATAAATAATGAAAATTAAATAAAATAAAATATAAAAGGACAGGACAGGACAGGACAGGACAGGACAGGACAGGACAGGACAGGACGGGACAGGACGGGACGGGACGGGACAGGACAGGACGGGACGGAATGGGATGGGATGGGAGAGAACTGGACGGAAGGACAAGTGCGCAAAAGGGCAAAAAGAAGAGTCTTGAGGGAACTGGGAACTTGGATGATGGGTTGGGCTCCTATTGTGACTTCCTGTCCGCTGCAGCAGGCTCCCGGGCCAGCCAAATGTTTTTGGAGTCCAAAGACGGAAGTATACGAAGGTTGGAAATAAATAACCAAGAAATACCTCTTGAGCTGCTGTGCCTACGTCCTAAGTCGCCGCCTCGTAGCTACCAGCACGAGCTGTCCCCTTTTCTGTAGCCAGTCAAGAGGAAACCGACAGGGCACAAGGTAAGCTAATTCTATCTAAGCTACCCAGTTACCTTATGTCTGGCAACAGATTGGGTAATTGTCGATCCATTTTCGATACATTTCTGCTACATTTTCGATACATTTTCGATACATTTCCGCTACATTTCCACTACATTTTCGATACATATCTTTCGATACATCCTTTCGATCCATGCTTGACTTATCTAGTCCGCGAGATATTGTTAGGATTTTAGGTGTTCAAGGCTCAAGGCTCAACCAACTCACTAAACAGAGCACATACCAATTGTTTAGATTTAAATAGCTCAATCCATCTCTCCTGAGTGCTCACTATTTAATATCTCCGTACAGGCCGTCGATACTACAGGGACTTGTATATTAGAGAGATTCTAGCCTTGGTCCTCTTTCGCAACTGCCCACGATGTCGACTCTTGGCTCTTTCTCAGATCGACACCCGCCTCAGGATGTAGATTCTTTCATGGTTGATACCCATTCTGGCTTTTCCACTCAGACTGGGAACTTTAGTCTCGATTTCTTTACTGAGGAGGAATCACTGGCCTTTGCAACCGATTGGGCGACGACTACATACCCTTCGCAAGACTTCCCAATTGATCCAGCTTCTCAATCATCTTGGCAGTTGCCAGCTTCTGCAATGTCTCAACCAGGATTTACTTCGAATCCAGTCTCTCTTAATCAAGCGACAGAACCGTTTCTCAACCAGCGATGGGGCTATCAACATTTTGTGGACAGATGTCCCCGCCAACCACAAGGCTATATCATTGAGCGCGGCGAGCAGGGAGACCCAATTCCACCCTCGATACATCAATCCTATCCTCCTCAGTCTGTGAACCAGGACGGCTTTTGCCAGACTACAGGCAAAACGTAGGTTCCCCAGGCCATCCAATATACTGCCGCTGACTACTCTCGCTCATAGGCTACCAGCCGAAAACGCCCACCTTGTGTGCAAGTGGGAGGGATGTACCTACAAAAAACCATTCAACAGAAAGGCGGACCTCACTCGCCACCTCGAGTCAATGCATATTTCGCCGCGCTCGTACTGCTGTCTCGTTGAGGGTTGCCCTAGACTTTTCAGCAGAAAAGACAGGCGCGATGCACATATGCTGCAGCGCCATTTGATCTCGAGGTCACAAAGGCAGGCTGGGATTTAGTGACTAGCGTGAGCATCTATTTGATCCTTTGCTGGCAAGCATTTTGTGTGTATGCTTCGACTGTTGGCGACTGTCTTTTGTTCTTCCGCTCTTTCCCTTTCTTTTTGTCTTTTATGGGCATACGCAAGTCCAGATACAGCAATTGGGTTATCTCTTTAACTGTAAAATGAGGAGACCGCTGGCCTGTTCCAATTTGCGATGGGCATCCAGGATAGGCTGGTGGCTTTATAAACTAGATATATGTTTTGCTGGTCTTCGTGTTATGTTCCGGTGCGTTTAACAGTGCAAGTCTGCGTTGCGGCAATTATTGCTGGTTGACCTGAGTACTACCGTAACTGATAGGTTTAACTGAATTTGAATCGGGCCACTCTAGGGAAACCGAAACCGGGGCAATTCCCTAGGCTATGCACCCAAATCAAACAACTGCGGGTTCGGTGAGGTTGGATTCGATTTCAGCGGTTCAGTTATGCAACTCTATTTTCACACGGCCATGGCGATTCCAATAGCCTTATGTTCTGGTGTGGGTGTTCCCCGTATTGCCAATACTGTTAGCAAGAAACTTCTTGATGGGCACCGAGCAACTGAGTTAAACGCTAGTCTGAGTCCTACTGCTGTTGATAAGAATATGCAGTTGGGGTTGGAACGCGTGGACTCGAAAGCGGCGGGGAAGGTTGTTGAGACTGTTGACGTTTAGGAATATATCGAGTTCGACATACCTGTCCCTCAATGAGCAGGCAACCGGAGCGTTCTAATTGCCGATAAAATCAATCTGTATACCATGGCAGAGCTTTGATGTACCGGCGATCTACAGTCAGAGTACTGAGCCACGAATCAGGCGTTTCAGGCCATCTTAATTAAAATACTTAGCAGAAGTAGAGCAGTGGTTAGATTCATGTCAAGCTTCGACCCTGCACAGTGGCCTTTCGGCAAGTGGAGAGACTGGCCTGGATTTCGGGAGAATAATGGCCGAGCAGAGACGATCAGCTTGCATTTTGCGTGTCATTCTTGATTAAGAGACGTTAGAAGACTGTGCATCTCAGCGGGGAGACCGAATAAGTATACATACGTAAAGGAGAGAACTGAAGTCGCTTGAAGGGCGGCAACTGGCGTTCATATCTATATCTCATTCTATATGCAGACTCTATATACAATTCGTTTATATCTGTCATATCCCAAGAATGTGTCAATGCTTTTGAGCGGAAGACATGGCCTAGCCCAGCTACGGCATGTTCCTCACAATATCACCCGGCCCACACAACCAGATGTAGGCATTACCGTTAGTTCCAGTATGCGACGTACTGCAGCAATTCCTGGTACATAATAGCCAGCAGCGCGCCGAAGCACCGAGGCTTACAAGGCTGGTCACTCAATCCCGCTTCAAGCCAACCTTACCCGCCTTCCGCAGCCCAAAGTACCCGAGAAGGGTACAAAGAATCATAAACCCAAACATTGTCCAGAAACTGGCGCGATAGCCAGCCATCAGCGCACCAGTCTCATCAGCGCCAGATGCCTCCGTCACGACCGTCGAGATAACCTGCAGGATTGCCAGGCCCAGGGCACTCCCGAACTGCGCAGCCGTGTTGAACACAGCACCGGCCAAGGCCTGCGTGTCATCCGGGAAGCTATTCGTAATAATGATTAGGCCGATGGTGTAGAGCGCGCTGAAGCTGACGGCCTGGAGGAGCTGAGCGACGAAAGCGTTGCCCCAGTAAGGCCAGGATGGCTGGATGACGGCCATGAGCAAGGGGGATCCGGCGCAGAGGAGGGAGGTGACCGTTGCGATCCAGAATGCGGGGACTTTGTGCACGAAGACGCCGATGACGAGGTTCAGGAGGACCCCGACGATGAGGCTGGGGAGGATACGGACGGAGGCATCTAGTGCGGAGAGGCCTTGAACTTCTTGGAAACTGGGCCGGGTTAATGAGATGGGTCACAGGGGGACGGAGGAAGCCTTACAATAAGCTGGCAAAGAGCTCCATTGAATTGAGGACTGTTGTTGAGATGGCGAGGGTAGCGCAGATGCTGGAAAAGGCTGTGTTTTTCCACAGTGCATTGGGGATGAGAGCAGGCTTGTTCCTTTTGACTTGGTAGTGGACCCAGCCGATAAAGGACGGAAGGGCAAGAGCAGCCAGGCATAGCATGACGATGCTATCGGCAGATTTGATTCGTGAAGGGTCGGCGCTTAGAATACTATTCTTCGGTTAGCCTTCGAACGATGTCATGGCAGGATGACCTACGCCAGGAGATAACAGAGCAATGCCATGAATGCGGAGGCCAGCCCAGCGCCAACCCAGTCGATTTTAGTCCTGATATTGTGAAGGAGATCTGAGTACTGTGTGGTCTTACCCCGAGGCAAAGCCCAGAGACCGGCAATCGAGAATACGAGCGTGATACCGCCAGAAAGAAACCACCCCGACCTCCAGCCGATGGTATCGACCAGGACGCCCCCGACAACCAGACCCAACGAGAATCCAAGGGGCTGGCTGACCCCCAAGCACGAGAAAGCGATATTGCGGCTTCTTCCTGGAGGAAGAAGCTGCGTCACGATGGAGATCGAAGAGGCCAAGTGCATGGCGAGACCGACGCCTTGCAGCGCCCTCAAAACCACCAGCTCTTGCCCAGTTCGAGCCACACCTTGGCCGATCATCAATGCGCCACTGGCAAAGGAGCCGACAAGTTCGACCCATCGTGGACCGACAGTGTCTGCCAGGGAGCCCGCCAAGAGAAGGGTGGAGGCGGTCCCGAGGCTATTCACCGATGAAGGCCAGAAGGATAGAGAAGGGGGAAGTTGGAGATCCTTGGTGATAGTTGGCAGACCGACAATCACGAGCCCATTGATCACGCTGGCTGTTAGAGTCACCGCAAAAAGCTGGCTGAGTACAACGACCTTTCGCAACTGCGATTCTGGGGACTTTGGCCGGTCATTTTCTGGGGACCGAAGATTCGTCGCTTCCAATACGAGAGAATTGATGGGTGTGATCGTTGCAGTCGTAGTGGTCGACATGTTGGCGACTGCTGAAGTATTGCTGCAGTTCAGATTCGGGGCATTTTATTTAGATGGGACCTAGTTAATTTAATATAGCTTAGATCATATATGACTCAGAGGACTAGTCTACGCCCTGGGAAGTACATTTTTCCTTTTTATTAAGAGGAGGGAAAGTAAGACTAAGAGACATGCCCCGCGACGCTAGGGCACACTAGAAGTCTAAAACTGGGGATATTAGGCAACAGAAACATATTCCTCCGGTGTCGCCCCCTCCGGCTTTTATGGTTCGTGAGCCCGAGCTCGGAGATATGCTCTGATAGCCGAGCCAGACCCACTCAGCGGACTATAGATTACCAGCATGGATGGTGGGATCTCGCGAGTTTATTTTGCGTGCTTGAGGTGGTACGAAGTCTGGAACGCGCTTCTACTACTTTATACTCCGTACTCCGTGGAGTCTACAGATGGAACGCCACTCAACCCTTTTTCCAAATCCAATTGTGTATAGAGGACTAATTAATGTACATTTACGAGATGACGGCTTCTTCGTGAGCATCTCAGTCTGCAACGCTCCGGGTCACTCACTACTCCGTGGAAAGAGCCGTTGGTCAGGCGTAGCGAGGGATTTTGGTATACTCGATGTAGGCGCCGTGAATAGAAATGAGATGCAGCCGGGAATACAGCGGCCTCGATCTTAAGGCTTCAACCACCGCTTCTGTCAGGCTCGGGGGCGCATTTCTGGTCGCTGATGCAAAGTTCAGTGCATTATCGAGAGAAGGAGACATCACGACCTCAACTCGGCAGTAGCGATACGAAGAATCCACGGTGAGTTCCATGCTTAGGATCACTTCCCACTTGGCCCTTCCTGAACTAGTGATCATCCAAACGAATACTCTTGCCCCATCCGACATCAGCATCTACTGTATCTCCACCCCCAAACTCCCTTTCCATCCTGCCTATGCTTTTTGCAAGACAGCAGGTTGTCATTTGAGACGTGTCAGTCGAATCTGCCCTTCCCAGTCATTGTTCGTAGTACAACATGACCGACAATAATACCTCAAACAAGATGGCCCACCCATCCCCCTCCGCTGCGAACGAGAGCACCCTCCAGCAACAAGTGGTATGCTGAATGCTTTACGTCCTCTCGATGCATGCAGATAGGCACGCTAATAACAACAGATGTCACGCAGTGTTCCCGATGCCTTAATCGAGTCGGTCATTCGGACGATCGCTGTCCACTACGACCTCAGCTGACTGCCGTCAGGCAGACTACCACTGTCAATCCTCGACCTGGCGCCGGCGGCACTACGACTTCCGGCCTGGTGATTTCTGTCGGAGTCAGTCATACCTGGCATTATGGCAGCCCCACCGCTACAGTTGCCGTCCAGATCCCTACTGGAGTCAATGAGACGCCCACGGTTGCGGTCCAAATTCGCAACAAGCCAAAGCGCAGACGCAGGAAGAGACCGGATAAGGCGGCCAGGAGGGCCCGATTGGCCGCTGGGCGGACCAACTCTCTGGACCCTACCCCCGCAGCCGTGAAAACGGAGGATACTGATGAGAATATAAAGCGTGCGGCGCCGTGACCTCTGTGCTGAGACTTGCTCCATGCGCAAATCCGGTATGTTTACTTGTTAAAGTAAAGTTGGAGGTCGAAGATGATGATCCTTGACGGTCAAATACAGTACTCGTCTTATGAAGAAGGCAAGGGGATAGATTGCAGAGGAGCCTTTTACAGACGGAATCGAACGCATGTACTTTAATTACAAGAGGAAGAAAGGAAGTGCTCACAGACCCTAAGGCATACTCCTCCCATTAAAAGAATATGGCCTGCTCTGATAGTAACATGCCATGTCAGCTAACCTTGTGATCAAGGCCAGGAAAACATTGGAGGCAATAACCAGGGATTCTTGGATACCACTCCGACCGTGCCGTCTTCCAGTGTGGGACATCTCGCCGTTGAACTTCATTTGCGGCAATGCTCGGCAGGTCGTTAAGGCTAGTGCTCCAATAGAAATCCTCAATTGTACCTGTAGTTATCAACTCACAGGATCCGCCATTCTCGACCACTACCGTCAGTTAATGACCATGAGGTCAAACGTGTCTTTCTAGGACTCGGTGGATCGAGTAGAATGTCTATTCTCCCCCAAAGAGTTGTAATACTCAATAACGTCGAAGCTTCTAGTTTCCTCGAGCTCTTCAAGAGCAACCTTCTTCACTTCGTCCGGTACAGAGACACATAGCTCGATGTAGGCCATATTGGCACCTCTCCCATTGTAGGGCACGCCCATCTCAATGTCCGCATACGGTTCGTTGGGCACTCTGTTAAGGACAAGGGTGGAGGTGGGCTCGTACATAAAGTCCCGTGTTACAGTTGAATACGTCGAATCGTGTTCGAAGTCGCGGCAACCACGCTCTGGAATCCTTGCTTCCAGATCACGGAGATATTTTGGGTTAGGACTCTCCCGAGCCTCCGCCATCAGATTCACATCCGGGTCTGCGTCAAGCTCGTCCCAGTAGTCGCTGTAATCGCGCAGGATGCAGACCCTCGCAACAGCCGGTTTCATAGATGGCACGCGTCGAAGCAGTTCTTTGCAAGTCGCGACGTGGGGAAAGGATGGGTACCAGATGCAGTACGGAAGGTGTCTGGTCTCTGGCGTGATCCGAGAAAGGTCGTTATTCATGATGAAGCGTGCGTTGATTGCTTTCTCGATACGGTCTGGTGCTGGCCCTGGCCCGGGTTGAAGGGACCACCATTTTGCGAACATGGAGTTGTGGTAGACGCCGCGCACGACACATTCCACCTCGGTAGTGACCCAACTATTCGGACGACGCAGGCGAGCATACCGTTCGATATTACCGTAATATGCCGCCATGAGGATCAACAGGTCCTTATTCATCGTCGGCAAGTCGGCTGGCAGCGGGGTATACAGTAGGTGACTCACGTCGTCGTTCTGCGGTGGCAGTGGCTCCGAAGTGAACTCGTCGATCCGATCGTCTTCTGTAATGTCAAAAATGCCGCGGTCCCGTATACTCAAGACATCAAAAATACTCCAGTCCTCGTCACAGCCGGGCGGCTTTTCAAATTTCGTCTTGATATCCAGGTAGGACCGTACTGCAGTATCTGCGTTGAGGTACCCTGGGACTGGCTTTGGAAATACAGCCCTTGTGTAATCGTCCATAGCGTTGTAGCGTCGATCTGCCGCCATGATTACTTCGTAGATCACCCACTGTTTGTTCTCGCGCGCCTCTTCTGCAATGTGCACTTCGGGAAGGAGGTCCAACTCTTTGAAAAGGTTTACATAACCCGCTACAGCACATGCTCGACCGACAAGATACTTCATCTGCGGATAGCGGCGGGCAAGATCCCGGTAGGTTTCTTCCTTCGCCGTCTCCGGGTACCAGATGCAGTAAGGGAACTCATCGGGGTCGCTCATATCGGGGATCTTATCGCTCATGATGTCCCTGGCGTTCAGTGCACGGGTGAATTTAGGACATAGTCCACGAAGTTCGGTGGCAAAGCCTGGATGGTATCGAATTCCACGGACAACACATAGTTGAGTGATTTCTTCTCCCAGAGCTTTTGGGATTCGTTGGCCACGTACGGCAAGCAGACAATCCTGTTCATTGTACTTTTTGTTCAAGAGACTGTCACTGGAGATGAGGCCCATGATGGATAGATGACCTGGAGTAAGGAGACCGTTTTTGAAAGAAATATAAAAAGAACTAAAAGAACAAAAGGACAACGAGCGGGAAAGATGTCAGAGACCGTATGATATATGCAGCAGAGTTCGGCCGTGATTGCGAATGTAACCTTGGCAGGGGCTGACTTGGTGGTGGCAGGGACACCGGAACAAAGCGCTCTGAGCCCCGCCAGCGATCTTTGAAACTATGGCAAATCAAATCAATTTAATTGTACTGGCAAACTTCCATTTGTCTCCATCTTTCCTAGGAAATAAAACTAGATACGAGATATGGAGAAATGCATGAAAACAAAACCCGAACCCAGGCCATCATACACACTCAAATCTCTGTTTCCCCGCCTTCATTGCTTGCACAAGGGGCCCATGGATCTTATCTTTCTTTCTGTACTCTCCAAGCAGTACTCCAAAATCATGGTCTGGATATTTCTTTTTAGTGGCTGCCTGGTCTATGAATTGTTCTGTTTCGGTTGCACTTCCCGGCCAAGGTTCATTTTTGGTGACCACTTCAATTTGGTAGTTTTCTTTTAGCCATCCCGCGAACCCCTTTGAATAGTTCCACTGACGGATGTATTCAACTGTATCGTACGCGGCTAGTGTCTTTGAGACAAGCTGGTTAACAGAGGGGTCCTGCGAATCCCTCGCTCTTTTCTTCAACTCTTTCAGTTCTTTTGCAACCTGTATCGTTCGTCAGACGGGCCGGGATATTTTACTACAAGAAAGAGAGGCACGAGGAAGGGTATATCAGGACAGCTCTACCTCTGTGATGATCTTGGGCATGTTCCCTGTCGTCGACTCATCAACTCCGTTGAAAAGGAATTTTGCCTCGTACTTCCCAATGTAGCCATGGTTTTGCAGTATTTGCGCCAGCTCATCGACAGTCTTTCGGCTCACGTCCTCTGTGATCGGCGTCGCCTTCTCGCTCCGGTCGAAAGAGTTGAGAAATTGCTGGAGAGTACATTTCTTGACCCTGTTTGGCATCCCCCTGGTGCATCTTGGCGCAATGATCTGTGGTCTGTCGTGGAGTGCAGCGTCTAGTTCATACATGTACCAGAAGAGTGCTCGCTCATACGCCCCATGATCACCGAAGCAACTGGCGTAGCACACCAGATATGCCAGCAGGGTAATAAGAGATAGTCTCATTGGGCCGGAACTGTCATGCGATTGGGAAAATTATGTATAAGAATATAATTGCAGGCGGTACACTTCCCTTGGGTGACCACTATCTAGCCATTGTCCAGGGTAATGGCTGCTATTTATTCTGGAGAATCTTACAACCACGACCAAACGTTGAATCGCTCGAACTGAACCCTTGCTACACTGAACCCATGCTACATAATACCATCCTGGACACGAGCAACCAAATCGTGCGAGTTGCTCGGAAGAAACCTACAACAGCTCGAGCCATGGCCCCTTATGCGCCCAATTTATTCTATGGCTAAATCGGAATACTGATACTACCATACAATCTCATTCTAATTAATAAACCTTGCACTATCTGTACGCCAAGCGGCCTTAGAGCAATAGAGCGGAAATGAACTGCAAGGTACCGATGTTATCCACTCCAATCAGCATGAATGGAGGTTAGAGCTGTTGGATTTGGAAGAAGGAGGCCCTCATTTCCCCGGCTCTACTGGACAAGGTGATCGTTCGTCGTCGGTTGACATTCCCGTTGGGGCTTATATATTGAGGTCTCTACTCCTAGTTCGTCGCCGTTCTTGGTAAACAACCGGGCAACTTGGCAGTGGGTCGTCTGTCGATGAGATCAAATTCGCCTCGAGTATTGCCCTGAAGGCCTGAACTTAACGGATGGGCCTATGGACGCGATGTAACGCTACCCCAGCTTTGCGGCGGCTAATGGGCTGATCACATCTTTTCCATATGGGGGTGGAGTAGGAGTGCTTTCTCCAACCGGAGTGACTCACTATTCGATTGGAACAAGACCAAACGGAAAGAAGCTTAGACTGTGGCAAAGGAGCACTTGGAGAAGCCCTAAATACAGACTCGGTCCTTGGCAAAGCGGAAGTGCGCCTGAGCTGCAGTCTTGTTTAGTAGCTCCGGAGCTGTGACCACAATATTAGTGTGAAAACAACCCTGTCGTGCGAACAGACTACTGATCAACCCCTCCACAGACTGGTTATGGGTTGCGATGCCTCTGTTTCTCTCACATGCGTTATTTAACAAACGGTTGTCAACTAGGAGATGGGTGAGTAGGATATAGACGCTAAATGCTCGTTAAATTAAACTGTTACATTGACCATCGATTCTCAGTCACTTGAGACTGTTCAAATGTAACAGTACAGGGATGTATAGCGCTGCCTCAGTTGATATCTTCCTGGTTCCTGAAATGAGACCGGCGTCGATGATCCCTCCAGTGCTCTGTGTAATTTCGAAATCAGAGACATCCCGCCGGTTGTCCACAACGTATGGAAGTGCCTGGACTCGATTATGCATTTAGAATGTTGTAACAAGTAACTGTTGAGATGGTAGTTGCTGTTGCGGACGGTTTCGCTGTACCTTTCATTCCTTTAGGGGGTCAAGGTCCTGGCTGAGCCCATTCGTTTAGCCCAGCAATTGGCCGGCTAGTCTCCTCCTTTGAGTTCAAATACCTCTTTGTCGCCCCGTATGCGCTCAAGTTTTCAGTCAATTCTTGTGCTTGTATGTCGTTGCTTGACCATCGTTGTCATACACAATGCGGTGGCAATATCTCCTTCCCTCGGTCATGGCGACCATCTCATTTGTCAATTCCTCCTTCATATCCTCGCTCAATGCTTGTCCGGCGCCGTGTGACAGTCTACATAACTCAATCAACTGGACGACATATGACCGAGTCGACCGTCTCAGTGTCTGCAATGAAACCATGCTACTGGACTTTGCTCTTTATAATCCTCTCGAAAGCCCCGACACGAACACGAAATTATATGCCTGTGTGCCTGATGGAAATCCTGCCACTCAAGCCGTGGAGAAAGCTGCAGCCAGCGTTTGCCCTGATACGAACGAGACTCAAGTGGACATGGAATTCATCACTTTCGGCATAGAAAGACATGAGACAGTTCCAAGCGTCGCTGCGGCACTTCAGCAGGTCCAAGGTCGCTTGGGCGGCACAGGCCAATGCCAGCGGTCTATCAGCTTTGGCTATGCGCAGGAGACAGCCATGGGCTTATATGTCGGCGGCAATATTGAGCACAACTCCGTAATCGAGTCTATGATCTCGAAGTTTCTGGACCACATCCGAACGAATGGGGTAGCTGACCGTGTGGTGTTGCAGCTATGCGGAACAGACTCGGACAGCACAGTCGGTCTTGTTGTGGATACCACTGGTTCGTTAGGGCAAGTTCAGGATGTGGTGAAGCAATGGAGTGACTCGCAATGCGTTGCCGACTACCCCAAGACATCCAATTGGGCCTCACTGTCTCTCAAATTTGCTCCAACTACAATTCAGAAGGCGAAGGCTAAGCGAAGCCACATGGATCAACACATTCACCGACGAGCCACCTGCTCCTACATCAAGGTTGTGTCCGGTGACTCGTGTGGATCGCTGGCCTCCAAGTGCGGCGTCACCGGTCCTCAGTTTGAGGAATACAATAAGAGAAAACCCAACTTGTGTTCAACACTAGCTATCGGTCAGATTGTGTGTTGTTCACCGGGTGATCTTCCCGATCTGAGACCAAAGCCCAATCCGGATGGCACCTGTTCCTCGTACACAGTCGTCACTGATGATAGCTGCTACAAGATATCCGCTTCCAACGGTCTTACTATCGACGACTTGGAAACTTTCAACAAGCAGACGTGGGGATGGGCAGGCTGCAGCAATCTCATGGTTGGGACTCGAATGTGTCTCAGTAAGGGCAACCCGCCGATGCCTCAGGCGGTGTCCAATGCCGTGTGTGGCCCACAGGTTCCCGGAACGAGAACACCAAATGACGGCCAAAAACTCGCTGATTTGAACCCGTGCAAGTTGAATGCTTGTTGTAACATCTGGGGCCAGTGCGGCGTGACTGCTGAATTCTGCACCGAGTCCCAGTCGAAGACTGGTGCTCCTGGAACCGCGGCACCAGGTGAGAACGGTTGCATCTCCCACTGCGGCACGGATATTGTAAACCAAAAGAGACCAGACCATGTCATGCAGGTGGCATACTTTGAGGCATTCAACTACAACCGGCCGTGTCTGAACTGGGATGTCACTGCAGTGGACACTTCATTCTACACGCACATTCATTTTGCGTTTGCCGACATTACGACTACTTTCGAGGTGGACATCTCTGCGGTAGAGTTGCAGTTTAACATGCTCAAAGGCATGACCGGCATTAAACGAATCCTCTCCTTCGGAGGCTGGTCTTTCTCTACAGAAGCCGACTCATATCCGATTTTCCGTGAAGGAGTGACGGACGCCAACCGTCAAACGTTTGCCAGAAATGTGGTTGACTTTATCGTAGCGCACGGGCTGGATGGCGTTGACTTTGACTGGGAATATCCCGGTGCTCCAGACATCCCTGGGATTCCGCCGGGGAGCAAGCAGGACGGTCCCAACTATGTCAAGTTTCTTAAGATGGTTCGTGAGATCCTCCCCAAGGACAAAAGCCTTTCCATTGCGGCTCCAGCGTCATTCTGGTATCTGCAGGGCTTCGATCCGATTACCGACTTCGAGCCTCTGTTGGACTACATGGTTTATATGACTTATGATCTGCACGGACAATGGGATTACGACAATAAGTGGGCCACACCGGGCTGTCCGAAGGGGAACTGCTTGCGAAGCCATGTCAACAATACCGAAACCATGACCGCCATGAGCATGATCACCAAGGCTGGCATGCCGACCAACAAAGTAATCATGGGTGTTGCATCATACGGCCGCTCCTTCAAGATGGCTCAAGCGGGCTGCACGGGACCTATGTGCCCGTATCTAGGACCAGTATCCGCGGCTGCACCGGGCCGTTGCACGGAAACACCTGGCTATATTGCTCTTGCTGAGATCCGGGAGATCCTTGATCAGAATCCAACAGCAAAGACATGGTATGACGAGCAGTCAATGAGTGACATCATGGTCTACAACGAGACGGAATGGGTCGGATATATGAGCAAAGACACCTTCGCTCTTCGGGCGTTCAACTATGTCATCCTTTATGGCTTCGGGGGTTGGAGTGACTGGGCCGTGGATCTGAAGGAATTTTACACCGTTCCAGATGTTACCTACGAGTCTTGTGATAAAACGTACGACACGCTGCAGGCCATATCGGACGATCTTAAGAATATCCCGGACTATTGTGTCGACACATATACCATTCCGATCCTAGGCAAGCGCCTTCAGTCAGCCCTGAACAAGTACAACGAACTCTTGAAACAAGGGTACGATGACAAGTTCAAAACATACTCCGAGTACACCGAGGATTCCGTATGGTCTCAAATCGACGAGTACATGATGGCCCACGGCGACGACCACTTCAATTGTGTTGCGCAGTCATACGTCACCTGCTGCGCTGACTGTGGCTGGCAAGGATGTCGCGATGGCTGCGACGGGTCGTGCGGAAAAGGGCAGTCGGGTGACCGAAACAAGACCGTCTCATGCCCTGTGACCCGCCCTAATACAGGCATTGGATCCGACGGGCCCACTATCTATTGGCAGCTAGAGGATGAGAACGCCTTCCTCAAGGACATAGCCGAGAAGTATGGTGTTGATCCCTCGTGGATCACCTACAAGCCGCGGCGAGCGTCGAGCTCTCAGGGATGCAAGCCTGTTGACGACTATAAGTGCGGGTTCTGGTGGTTCGGATACCCGGCCCGAAAAGACCATATATCGGTGCCAAATCCTAAAGACGTGATCGCCACCGCAATGACAAACCTGACCATTATTAGCGACATGCTGGCTGATGCGGCAATAGAAGCGGCAACCCTTCTGTATGTCGGCTCGACAAGCGACGTCGTCGCTGCTTCTGAGCTGCCCGTCTTCATGACTGAGTTCGCGGTTGAGTCAATGGAGAAGATCGTCAAGGCGGCAGATGACATTGAAGACGCCGAGAAAAAGGCGATGATCCTCAATTTTGTTATGGCTTTCTTGATGATTGTGCCCGCTGTGGGTGAGGCGGTTGGTAGTCTTGGGTTTGCCACCATCGGGCGTATCATTCTGCTGACTGGAGCCGCGGGGGACACTGCGTTTGGTGTGTACGGCTTGGTTGATGATCCAAAGAGTGCTATCATGGCTCTGTTTGCTGCCCTTGTTGGCTTCCGTGGTGAAATGGGCTTTGCGAAGGCAGCAGAGGTCAGAAGGGGCATGACCTCCAAGGAGATTGCAGCACTGGGTTCGTCGTTCAAGGAGAAAAGTGACTTGCTACATTCGATTCAGAAGGTATGCAAGGCTTGAGAGCATGGTTTCTTCTGTTCAACTCTGTAGGCTACCGGCAGTGGTATTCCATGTTCGAATTTTCGTGTCCTGTAATTTATGTATAGCTGTATATAATCCAAGCACATCTGGGACACTGCGGCGAAAGCCAGATTCAACATTCAGCAGTACAATTATATGCCAATTTACTTGACAATCCTCTCTTGCCATCTATTCCAGCCAGGCCTCTACAGCCACCTTGAGATGACTCGACAACCACTCCTGCTCAAGCGGCACCTCGACATCAAACCCATGGTCTCCCTCTCGCAGCGTCAAAACAATCTTATCACCACCAGACTTCCCCTTCATGACCTCCCGCGCCTTCGCAACAAAATTCTCACTCTGCTCCACCGGCACAATCGTATCCTGCATCCCATGCAAAATCGCAATACCTCCCCGCGGGATCCTCACATCAGGTCGATCAAGCCACTCAAGCGGATACCGCAGTTCCCGCGGCGAGCCCTCCGCGCCGTATTCGTAGAATTGTCCCAAAGCACCGTAGTAGATAGCCGCTACCATCAGATCAAACCGATCGGGTAGAAAGCCCGACGAGCGGATCGCACTTCTGTCCATTTGAGCTAGGTAATCAACCACCGTGGACGCAGGCACATCCGGTAAGGGCTCAGAGCTCGTAGGTGTGCGAAAGTACTCCGACGCCATGTCGACCATGGGATACGTCGCCGTCGTGGCGCGGATCTCGTCTGCGTGTGCCAGTCCAAGGCAGATACTCAGTAATCCGCCTGCGGAGTCTCCGGCCGTCAGGATCCGGTCCAGATCGAGCTGGATCGGCGTGGAAGATGTTGCGAGTAGCTCAGTGACGGCGGACGAATGCAGCCAAGTCCAAAAATCTTCAATGTCGGAGAAGATCTCTGGGCTGGTTGATTCCGGGAGGAGCCGGTAGTTTGGGCTTATGATGACCGCGTTGTGCTTTTTGGCGAGCTCCAGGAGCCAGATGGGGAGCCAGTCCATTAGGAGGGAGTCGCCGGTTATCTGGTCGTGTTAGTGCAAGTCCAAGAAGGGGTGGAAAGCTTACCAGGCCTCCGCCGTGGAAGCGGACGATTACTGGGCGTTTTCCTGTGAATGTTGACTGGGGGATGATAAAGTCGGCGCGGATGGCGTGGTCTCCGATCTGTTTATAGTGTGTCTGGAGCAGGTCGAAGCCAGCGAGTTTTTCGTGAGATTTGTCTGAGCCCATTTTCGATGATAGGGAGGAAGAGTTTGATGATGCTTCTGATGTCTGGGATTCATCTCTGCTGGGATATCTGCGAGGCTATATACCTGTAGGCTTCTCACGGCTTAATCAGCATATAATCAACGCGGCTAGGGTCAAGGAGATATCTTCCGGAGCCCTTGGCAACTATTCGTCCGCAGGTTAATAACGATTGTTTTCATCGTTTGCATGTTTTGCAGGCTATTCAGATAGACCAATTATAGTGCAGAGCTATATTAAGGCAGCGAAAGGACAAGGACGATGGCAGCGCAGACTATGTACGGACTATGGAGCCCGCTTATCTTTATTGTTTGCATGTTTTGCAGGCGATTCTGATGGGCCAATTATAGTGTATCTCTATATGAACATACGGTGAGAGGACACTGGCGATGGCAGTGCAGAATATGTACGGAGCCGCTTATGTTTCAATACATCCATTCATTTCTTCCCAAATATTGCAAACTGCTAGACATCCAAGTGACTCATCCCTGTATTAGCAAATATCCATCCACATCACCAAGCAAGACAAAACACGCGAATGTCCCAATATCAAAATATCCGACCATCAAGAACGTTCAGAAAAAGTTGGGATCAAGCCAGCATTGGTCCACCATAGGAATTCCCTCGAGTTCAAGGAGTATATCCTCATTCCATCCACGCTTGCTAGTCTCAATGAACTCCCTACTCCAGCCCCAAGGCCTGGTACCAGCTCCACCGGCGCCGGCAGGATCCGTCGACTCTCTGATCCTGTCCCGGACCGTGTGAAACACCATGCTCCGCCAGAAGGCATCACTCGGCTTGCAGAGAGTCTCGCAGTAAGCGACCCACAACCAGGGAAGAGCCAGGACATTCTGCAAATGATAATCAAGGATTGTCTTTCTGAGAGGCCGCTCTCTGAACACAGCATCACTTCCGCCCTTGGCTGGATCACGCAGTTGATTCACAGTGTTGTGCACCTGCTTCCACAGCGCGAGAGACATTCGAGGAACGTGCGCCTCCTTCTCGACGCAGCTCTCCAATCTTGCAGCTTGAGCCTGCTGGGCGCGCAGATATTGAGTCACGAGTTGCATGACCTGGAGATCTTTGATTCCATTCAGGCGGATCCCGTGATGGTTGAAAAGCCCAGCAGAGGCGTTTCCGACGTCGAATAAAATCTTTGATGCGGCGGAAGATTCAAGTAGGAGCTTGAGCGAGTTGTCGGCGAGGCTGGTAGTCGTAAATGCGTCGTCACCTAGGGTGAGCACGTCGATCAAGAAGACCTTTTTGATTGGTCGAACAAAGAGGGAGATGATTGAGATTGACCCGTCTTCTCCTGGATTGATGGTCTGGACGTCCAAGAACAGAGCTGCGGGTTTATGCGAGTGGTAATCGAGCTCGTTAAGTAATTTCTCCAGAGAACTGATGGAGTCGATCATCTGGACAGCGCCAGTCGCGACTTGAGATGCCATGATGAATGTAGCCATATGGCTCCGGCGACAACGATTTGCTTGACTGGTAGCTTCAGAAACGGATGAATACTGCGTCTGATTGATTCTCGTGGAATGTATGTTTGTAGTTCGAGGAAGTAGAACGCACAGCTACGTCACTCCATAGGTATAAAGGTAGCGAGTTGTTGAGAACCACGGATTGCAACCGAAGTTGGACCTGGGTTCTGGATACATCCATCAGATAATAACAGAGGCAAAGATCGTGAATGTGAGCTTATCTTTCGGGACATTCCGATAGAGTTTGGTCTATATTTGCATGATTTGTCTGTTCAGCAACATTAAGTGAATAATGAGTTAGGAATTCTCTCACGCAATGTCACAGTAATCATTGCTGACATGGAATGACGCAGGATCCTGTTCGCCTGTCTTTGACATGCCAAATTGGAGATAATGGCAGCTCAGTGGTATGAAATAGAAATCCTGCTGGATCTGGAGTTCATCTGCTTTCCTTATCCAAATATAGACCGTTGGTTTGAGCAACTCTCCAGCCCATTCCATAGCCCCTTTTCTTTGTCATGCCCTGAGATATATCATGACGTGGGCACATTGAACAGACTTTACCACAAATATCAAAAGAAAGTTGTCAGCAAACTGACAGAGACATAGTGTCACCAGGTATTGAATAGGGTGTTGCAGTTACCGCAACAACCACACGCATGCTAAATAATACCCTCTGGGAATTAGTAGCATATTCGTGTCAAGTGAGAGATAAACTGTTCTAAGCTCTACCCGTGATCCAATAGCAGATGAGCAGATTTTGCAGTCAATTCAACGATAGAGATAGGGAGTCGAGGTTCTACAGGAGAATCCTCGGTATGAAGACCTCTACTCTGTACAGCCTCGTTTAGACCCACTCGCTTAATTCCGCAGCATTTAGCCTATTCGGAAAATTAGCGTATCAAAGTAAGACATGATACGACATAAGGGTTTCGGACTGATCCGAAAGTTTCTGCTTTAAGTCGAGGGTCTTACCCTGGTGTGGAGATAAAACTGTTATGAAACGCCGGCGGCGGCTACGGGGCAGATGCACCATATGCCATCACGAAAGTATGAACAGACAAAATTTGCACTACATTGCTACTGGGACTTTGTGCAATCGATACTTTTGAAAAGGTAAAATATAACTCTCATTTGATGCCAGCGCCTGCGCACAATATATCTAGCTAGAATAGCTCACGACTCCGTCAACCGTCGGGAGCGTATCAAAAACAGGATATGATGGGTAGACGGTCAGGCACAACGCAACTCAACATGGTATGCTTAAGCCTTGATGCACTGGTGGTAGTAAGGGTTCCACTGCTTGCAGACGAGACCACCCTCGCAGCTTGTGGCACCAGAGTAGTTCTTGCCACCGCACTGCTGGTAAATCTTGACAGAGCCGCTGGCGCTTCCGGAGCCGGAAGAGCTGGAGCCAGAGCTGGAGCCAGAGTTGGAGCCAGAGTTGGAGCCAGAGTTGGAGCCAGAGTTGGAGCCCGGGTTGGCAGGAGGAGCAGCGGGAGCAGCAGTGGTGGTGGGCTTGGTGGCAGTAACGAAGGTGGTGGGAGAGGCTGGTGTGTCGGCGGAGCCCTGCTTGGTGGGAGCGGTGGTCACGGACGCAGCAGGGGCAGTCTTAGCAGGGCTAGAGCCGGAAGAGCCGGAGGAAGAGCCGTCCCAGACAGCAGGGCCAGGAATGGGGTAGCTGGTGAAGGAGTTGTACATGTCGAAGTGAACGCCGGGGTCGGTGGCCTTGTAGGCACCGGGGATGGAAACACCGGCAGGAAGGGTCTTGGTGCCGGCAGAGGTGACCTTGACCTGGACACACTCCATGTAGAATTGGGCGCCACCCAGGCGGTTACCCTCGTGCAGGGCGATGATCTCAGGACGGAGCAGGTACTCGCCGGCGGGGACATCGGGAACGGTGATCGAGTGCTTGCCCCTGTTGGCGATCAGGTTAGCAACCGCCCATTTGCCGTTCGAGTAGCCCTCCTCGGCGATCTTGACCCAGCCGTTGCCAGCTGTTCCCTTCTCGGTGGGAGCCATGTAGACCATGACGGGACCCATGTGGGAGGAAGCGATGATGTCGTCGGAGGCGGAACGAGAGTCGTGGTGCCACTCGAAGGTAACCTTGTCACCGGCCTTGACCGAGAGGGTCTTAGCGACGGGGTTCTTGCCGTTGACGTTGCAAGTCATGTCGGCGGAGGTGACATCGGTGAGAGGGCTGTTGTTAGGGGGAGAGCGAATGTATCCGGCAGCGGAGTTTCCCGCACCCTGGTCCACGTCGTTGATCCAGACGGCGTGGACGGTGGCGTGGGCGCTGACGAGCTTAGCTGCTGCTGCCAGAGCGAGCAATCCGAAGGTCGACTTCATTTTGAAAGATTGTTAAATGTAATGAATGACTGAAATGAAGGAGAGAAAGAGAGCGGAAAAGAAAGAATGCAGATAATCTAAGGAGAGATGAATGCTGAGCAGTCCGGGCTTAGAGTAAACATGATGAAAGGGGGGAAGAAGGGTTTATATAGCAACGGTGGTTAGAGGACGAAGTACTGGAGATAGCATCAACGGTCTAGTTGGAGCGATGGGGCCACAGGAGATGAACCAGTCCCTGCCAAGACATAGGGGCCTCTTGGCTTCGCCTGTCACCAACGGTGCCAAGATGGGGTTTCATCTATATGTTTCACTGTCTGACTAGCATTTTTGATCTATCCTGTTTGCCAATGACTAGTGCGGTGTCTTGTCGGCTAAATGAACCGGATGCCCCCCGAATGGGCAACGGGGTCTTACTCATGTCCCAATAGCCCTACTCTCGTTGACCGTAAAGTACGAGATCCATCTTTGCCGCCCAATAAGCGGCCATTTTCCCACCATGGTGCTGTCCGACCTGTGGAGTGGACAGAATCATGTAGTCCAGCACTTCTGCTTGGTCATATTGAAATATATTAACTTATACTGCTTTGTCTCACTGTGGTGTCGTCACTTTGCGTTTCCGGAATATCCTCCGATGCTAACAACCAGCCGCGAGCTTCTCGCTCCAACTGTCTCACTTGTTCCCCTGGTCCCAGACTCCTAGGAATATTAAGGGACCTTCTTCTACTAATTCTGGGCTCTTCCATCCGATCGATCCAGGGTCACTACGCCTGACCTACCTCCCTACCAGTGGCCTAGAACCGGAACGGAGGAATGCGCTATGAGCGATGAAACAAACCCTGCATAGGCGTCTACATAGAAATTATCCGTAAAAAACTTCCGAAAGGTCGTACTCGGTAATCCGTATAGCTCTCCTCTCTATACGAGGTTGTTGAACGAGCCAGGCGAGGCCGTTTGATGGGCATAAGAAAGCGCCGCTCGGCGACTCAATGTTTCCAGAATATTAATATGGCCCCTGGATCCTGATTTCCCAGAATTGCGACCCTATGGGTCTCTTTAATATCAATAGCCCGTGTTGCCTCGGCTTTTTATCATTCAACAAGTCTATATGGATCACCAATTCGCTATAGTAGATTAATAGGGGTAATTTAGTCGCCATTGTTCCTGACTAGAAACATACCATATTGTTCCTGGCAGGCTGGTTTAGCTTCTCGGGGATCATTAAACCTGCCTGAATGTGACCCAGCGTGGGCCTTAGGGCGGGAGTATTATTCAGGAACGACTGGTTGTCTGAGTCGTAGGGGAACCACCCTTCTATTAATATATACGTTAACTTCGTTGAAGACGGCGCAGAGATCCTGGACAAATATGTAGCTGGATTTACTTACCTATACCTGGTCGGTTCTCCCATAACTTATTACAATGTAGAATATTTCGCGATTTCTTTCTTTCCCTCCCAACTACTGTCAATTCTATTTATCCTGACAAATCGGGATGATTTATTGGAGAATATCGGGAAGATTATTTTGCTGGTTAATAAATTAAATTCGATGAATGAAATTTCAACAACAGCATGTTAGCTCAGGGGAAGAGCGCCGGGCTCATAACCCGGAGGTCCCTGGATCGAAACCAGGACATGCTATCCGATTTCTTTTTCTTTCTTTTTGTTAATTTGATTTCATTACACTTTTGTCCCTGGCTCCTGCGGAAATTGATTGGTTCTTTTCCCAGTGCCAAGTCCGCCAACCTAATTCAAGCGACCGTGCATAACTAAAACTGACTCGCGACCAGGTCCACTCAGGACAGGACTACCCCTGCACTCGCTTCCGCTTTTCGCTTGTCACAAAAGAAATTCATCGCGGACAATGAATGATGAAAGCAACTTTTCGAGTCCGATTCGTCGACAATGGCGGGATCACCTAGTTAATCGGTCCCATGCGTCATGCCACTCGCAGTTTGACTGCCCTAGGGGATAACATCCAGACGCCGTTATATATATTCCAGCAAAGCTTCGCTCCGCTTACACCATGATTGATACTCCGAACCTAAACCATAACGCTTGGATGAGGACATTATAATATAACGTCAATCTCTCCGCTGAGGGAAATATTGCGAGTCTTCTGCGACAACTCGGTACTGGTTAGCCCAGAGTCCGCACAGTGCTGCCGAACCGTCCGTCTCAACTCCCTGCACGCAAGACGGACAATATGGGACCGCAGTTCTTGGGACTCTCGGTTCCTGATCATCCCTTTGTATTAATACTGGCTTCTGATGTAGACAGGCATCCAACGGAAGGCTCTTTATTGCTGGTGCTTATCCTGACGGGAGGGGCAGCCGTTGGTCTTGCGGAGCGTGAGACAAATAAGTCACCGGATATGCGGATGAGGATTGACAACAACATGGAACAAAAGCGTGTCGCTCTCTCCGATCACGAATATATAAGCATCGCCTCTTCACCTCACTGATCGACTTGGCGGCATCGAGGCCATGCCCTCCTTCCTCCACTATGGAAGAAGCGAACGCGTTACCGGCACTCCAAGCATGCGCGCAAAGACCTACGGCACAGATTTTACAAAATCCAAGTGGATCGAGCTATCGGACCTAGCCAAGGGAAAGAAGCTCTTTACCGTCTTCGACAGTTCCTACCAAGGGCCCGCGCCGGGGGACTTTAGGCAGATGTTGGGGCCATCCGGTACTCCCCTGAGCAGATCCTCTCCGTCTGACTCAAAACTTCTCTGAGTTCGCCCAATCCTTCTTGACGTCCGACCGTACGTCGGCGCTTTACATTTGGTGGTTCCCCGAGGCATGTCTGCTTGAGGAGCTGAATCCAGATGTACTCTCATGGGAGAGTAGCGTACTCGCGCCCGGTCATGTTTGGAGCCGGTATTGTTGACAGTCCTTAGATCTGGAACTGAAAGACCAGTAAGAAGGAGACCTGATCACGATGAGCTCGAGGATCAAGATTATGCGGGCGCGGCTGCGTGGCAAGCTGGAGAGTCCGGGACATGCTGTGATTAGTCCTTTATTGCCTGATTGGGATGGTTTGCTATGCGGAGCTGAGTCAGGACCATGTGAGCAGGTTACGGGAGCAGAGTCACGTATGTCTGATGGCATCCGGTAGGGTGAGTGTTTGTGGTTGAGAGGGGGCAATGTGGACTATGTTACTTAACCTGCAATGTCGTTGATCTCGGCTGAGCGGTATTTTGGTAGGAATTACGGACATATGCTTCGGTTTCCGAGGTGGGATACAAATGATTTATACAATCTTGGCCATTTGTCATCCTTCTCCCCGTCCTTTGGCAAATGCCGGAAAAGCCGGCAAAGAATACATCGAAATTCTGGGAGATCCACACCTTTTATCTCCGCATTAAACCCGACTGAATGATCAGCCGGTATATAAATCTCTCACCGGCGACAGTAGTAACAATTGAATACCTTGTTCTCAGTACTAATAAAGACGAAATGCCCTCCATCAAAAACTCGGTAGTCGTCATCTTCGGCGGCAGCTCCGGCATCGGCTACGGCGTCGCCGACAAATGCCTCTCCGAAGGCGCCATCGTGCACATCTCCTCCTCTAACCCCTCACGCATCACTCAGGCCGTCTCCTCCCTGAAAGAAAAGTATCCTGAGGGACAAGTAACCGGTCACACCTGCGATCTCTCCCTCCCGGACGTGGAGCAACGCCTCGTCAAACTCTTCGAGGAAATCGGCTCTTGTGACCACATCGTATACACCGCTGGGGACGCACTAGCCGTCAGACCGCTCAAGGACCTCGATCTGCAGTTCATCCAGAAGGCAGGGCACATCCGCTTCGATGTCCCGTTGCTCGTCGCGAAACTTGCCCTGCGTGTCTTGAAGCCAGGGTATGCCTCGTCGCTGATCCTGACCGGTGGCGCTGTCGGGGATCGGCCGCAGCCGGATTGGGCTGTTATTGCGGGGTATTCGGCTGGGCTGTATGGGATGGTGCCCGCTCTGGCGTTGGATATGAAGCCCCTGCGGGTGAACTTTGTTAGTCCCGGTCCGGTGAAGACGGGGTTGTTTCCGGATGAGGTGGCGGAGATGTTGGCGAAGAGGACGACGCTGGGCAAGGTGGGAACTGTGGAGGAGGTGGCGGAGGCGTATGTTTATTTGATGAAGGATACGAATGCCACCGGGAGCTGTGTGAGCACGAATTCGGGGTCTTTGCTGATGTGATTATTATGGTATTATGCTGGGCGTGTGCTTGCGGTAGAGGATATTGCAGTAGTTATTCCCGCATTTGTTGGTATATCCAATGAGAGGGCGTTGTCCAGTTTAGTACCAAGTGCGATCATCATGTTTCTCACACGGATCATAATCTATTCAGGTTCTGAGATATCAGGATGTCCTTATGGTAGATAACATGTTGATAGGCAGCGGCGGTCTTATCTCTATATTAATGGAGATAAGGGCAGGGATGCCCTAATGGGATAGATAATCTGATAACATGATGGCCATCGAACATACTATGGAGACTATCTTGAGATACGCCACTCCAGCATGCATGATTTTGTTAGTTAATGGATACAACCCTGATGGTGCTGACCTAATGACCTGCAGGACAACAACCCCGCATCCAACTGTCCTCACTCTATTCACCTTGACTCATTCCTGACCTAGCACAGTCACATCAACATATTCCTCTACAGTAGCAGTAAAATGGATCCAGAAATACAGTACGTCCTTGGGCTAAAAGCTGTCCGTGAACGAGCCCATCGAGTCCTTAAACTCGCGGAGGAAGATCGCCTGAGCCACTTCGAGTACCATCCAGATCGCCTTCAGGATGCAGTACAATATGTGATAAATATCATCAAGGTTGGTTTACTGAAATAGCGTCGGAAGAAACTGACACCTTTAGCGCGACTTTGGACCCGACAAGTATCATCTCATCCCGCCACATGGCCGCTGGCAACACTTTGAAGTTGGGGGTGTCAATCGCCCTGAGAATCTACTGAAGCAGTGGAAGAGTAACCGGGCGGATGCACTGGAGCAGACCCGTAGTCTACTGGACTTATTCTTCGTCTCGGTGCTGCTTGACGCGGGAGCAGGTGACAAATGGCGGTTCACCGAGCCAGAGACGAATATCGTTGTTGGTCGTAGCGAGGGAACTGCGTTAGCCTCGTACAATATGTTTGTGAATGGCGACTTTGCAACTGCTGATAGTGAGAGAAGGGATATAGTTATGGGTTAGTGCCATTCTCGTCCTAGGGGGTGCAGAACTGAACATCAACAGGGCAAGCCCTCAAGGACTTTGACGCTGCGACTCTGCAGCGCGGCTTCCAGATAGACGAGAAGACGAATCCCCTCGTCGGAGCCTCTTCTCGCGTGGAACTCCTAAGATCTCTGGGCCGGTCTCTCCTCAACCTCTCAGAGATATTCGGGCCGGACGGGCGACCGGGAAACCTAGTTGGTACGTTCCCGTCTTCCTAACAACAGACGCAGTCTAACAGTAGCAGACTACCTCCTTTCTCAATCCCCAACGCCGGCAGAAATCAACTACGAAACCCTCTGGACCACACTACAAACCGTCCTCCTGCCCGTGTGGCCCTCGTCCCGCACCCACATCGACGGCCATCCCCTCGGCGACGCATGGCCCCTCCAGGTCCTCGCAGACGACGCTGAGCGAACACACCAAAAGTCCAAATGTGCACACATCCAGCCCTTCCACAAACTCACGCAGTGGCTCGCATACTCCCTGACCGTCCCATTTGAGCGCCTGCTCGGCGTGACATGGGCAAATATGGATCTCGGCACCGGCCTGCCCGAGTACCGCAACGGAGGCCTGTTCGTTGATCTTGGGGTTCTAACCCTCAAACCTGATGTAGAAGACCGCGGACGGCAGAATTCTGGAGCCGGACTTCCGGCATTTGAGGCGACGTCAGATGAGATTGTAGAGTGGCGGGCGATGACGGTTGCGCTCTTGGATAAGCTGCATGCGCACATTACGGAAAGCGAGGAGTTCGCTGGGGTGAGGTTGAGCCTCGCGCAGGTCCTGGAAGCTGGGAGCTGGAAGGCTGGGCGGGAATTGGCGGCTGAGAAGAGGCCGGAGACTAGATCGAGCCCGATTTTGATATTGGGTGATGGGACGCTGTTTTAGCGATGCGATTCTTACATCGGCTGGGGTGGTGGGGTATCCCTAGAATGCCTTTATTGTCTTGCCCTATTATGTCTATCTCAAGCAGAGTCATAACCCCGTTGCCCACAGGGAAACCCAAAATAGATATACAGTCATCTACCTCTTTCAAGGACTGGGTAAGTAATCAATACATTTCAGATCTCCGTTGACGGTATGGCCCTAAGAACTATACTACCTAGGTACAAAGCAACTATTGTCAGAGAGACAATGAAAAGCATTAGCTATTGGCCCATTTGCCAGCAGTGCTCAGGTCAAATCCAAAGTGAACCACGGCTATACAATGGCTACACACTCAGAGTTGTCAGGATATGAATAGAGAAAGCCAACAGGGCGCTCCCACTGAGAATGACGGGACTGGCTACAAGATCTACAGATTGTACCGGCTCTTCAGATGACGCCACCAGTCGCGGACCATCCAGATATCAAACTCGGTAATCTGTGTCGCACTGCCTGCCAGCATGATGAAGTTCGTCTGGCCAGTGGGAGTCCAGTCGTAGAAATCTTATATGCAGTGTCAGTAGATACCCATCCAAGGGAAACAAGGAACAGACTAACCATCCAAGGCAAACGTATGTCCGAGCTCATGCAGGTAGATATGGATATTCTCCGAGTTGACATTCTGCATGAAATACTCCTGGCCCACGCGCTGGCCCCAGTCGCCGCCCGCGCCGCCCTGGAAACCATCCGTGAGCCATAGGCTCTCGTCTACGATCGTTAGAACGTTATTATTAAGCAGAGGAGGACACATACCATAGTGACGACTCGCACCGCCCGGACACTGGCTATAATCACCGTCCTGGTGGAAGAACCGCCCACACCTCGGATCGCACTCGGGAATCCCGTCTCCATCCTTGGTGGTGTAGATGTCCAGGCCCGAGGTGTCGCCTTCCAGGAGGGACCGATCGCGCACGGCGTAACCGACGACCTTCACCTCGACTGTTTTATAGGGGAAGCCGTCGAAACCGGCGAGCCCGGCGATCCACTTGTTGTAGGAACGGTTCACCGCGGCGGCGATCTGCTGGCGTTGGGCGGCGGCCACCTTCTTGCTCGAGTCCCAGCGCACGCAGTAGTTGATTTTACCGCGGCCCGCCATGACCTGGTCGAAGCCGTAGTTCTTGAATCCCATTGGGTCGCTGTAGGTGGCCATTTGGTGCTCCCAGACCTGGATGTGTCAGAGGTTAGATAGTGGGCTTTAAGGCTAGAGGTCGGGTGGGATGTGTACCTCGTTGAGAGGCTTGACGAGATTAGCTGGGGGGTTCCAGCTCGAGCTCTGGCGCTTCTCAACCCATGCTCTGCCAGCAGGGGCGTCGAGGTCTCCTGGGATCTGGCTATCGTGCAGCGGGAGAGCGCAAACCGAGCTGGCCAGCAGCTGGATTGCGGTGAGGTAGAAAGTAGCCTTCATTATATACAAGTAAATGCAATAGAGATAAAGAGAGATTTATTAAAGAGAGAAGTAGCTAGTCAATAGCTATGGAATGGATAGTGAGGGTTTTCAACAGGGTTCCTGGAGAACTATATATGCCCCCAGTATGGTGGAACAAAACGCCAAGAATCGGGGGTCTATAGTTCCGGTCGGACGGTAAGACATTTCCTCGAGATTGTTCTCTCCATAGCATTCTTCAGGGTCATCTCCGCCAATGGGACCCTCTCTGTGTATCTGAAGGGAGCGCCAAGTGTTGGGTCCGGAGAGTAGACTCTATGACGCTCGACCATTCATGGACGAAACAATCCCCAAACAGCGGAACGGACATGCCAAGCGTCCGTCAATTTATTAAAAACAGCCCCTGACTCCAACCGGCGCATGACTCGTCGTCGCATGACTCGTAGGGAAACAGAAATATGCCGTCAATGAGACAGGTCAATCTATTTCAGGAATGTGGTTCTGCTAGTCTCCAGGAGATTTACTTGTCTTCAGTCAGGATGTCCGCTTCCTCAACCCACGCAACCGCCCTTGCATCATTGGCCTCATCTCGGTAGATGGCTCGAATGCGGATCATGCCCCTTCCGTCAAACACTTCATCCCATTTGAGGGATGCGTTATTCGGTCCTAACTCATCACGGATGCACATCCGAGCCGCCTTGTTCGCTTCCTCGATTGTGGCCTTCGTGTCCACCTCAGCCGGGTAACAAGCCGCCATCATGGGATCGATAGAAAATACTTCTTCAATCTGCATCTTGACTATGTACACCTTTTTATACGAAGGGGTTTCTAGCTTTCCGTGCAGGAACAGTATGACCGTTGACATGGGACCTGGGCTCTGGCCCGTCAACAATTCTGCAAAGATTGGTCGCATATATTCGGTATAGGTCCTCCATTTGTGCGAGACGCTTTCGAAGAGGGCCTGGCGGGGGTCGACTGCAGGGCGCTCGGCATCTTGATCAATCCAACTGATAGTGACCTGATTCAACGAACTTTGCAGATCTTCTTTCTGGTTTGGGCTTAGGTCACCTCGATAAATGGCGTCTTCCAGGACCAACACGCGAGCATAATGATCAATGGCTTCTAGCTTCTGAGCGAATGACAGCGTGTCCTGTACGCCTGCCACCGTCCAGCGGGGCTGGTCGTCTAGGACTTCAGTCTGGATCAATACAGCCAGCCACCAGACCAAGGGGTTGGTGTGTGGAGTGGCCGTAGCGTCCTTGATCATCTTCACGAAGAATGTAATGGTCATTTCACCGAGTACCTTTAACGACCGTCCTGATTTGGCGTAGTACCGAATGGCATCGATGTCGTCCTTGAGGGCCCAGGATAGATTCAATCCCATAGACTCCAGGGCACCGTCTGCACCATACGACTTCCAGTTACAGACAAGAAACGCCAGCAACGACGTCCATACAGAGATGGCCTGCTTCCGTTTCTCCTGATCCCGCGGTCGCGCCCATGTCTCGAAGTTCCTGTCAAGCTGGGTGGGATATCGCGAGAACCGGTTCATCAGCTCTCGGATACCCGAGGGCCATCGTTCAACCATTGCATCGCTGTCAGTAAAAGTCTGCGTGACTGCGACCGCGATCCTGTCGATGATGCCTTTCGTGGTCGGGCCATTAGCTGCGTGGAAGCGCTGCCGTGCTTCAGCGATTGCCTGCTGCTGAGCATCCGTGAAACCAGCCGAGTGATACCATTCTTCAATGACAGAATCCATTTCGAATTTGATGTTTGGATAAGTGGTTTGAGAGAAGCCTGTTAAAACAAGCTGAAGGTTGCTAAGGAGAAGTCGACGCGTGCGAATCACAACGCGTGAGGGGAATTCAATTACCCCTCCATCTTCATTGCATCCTGCACGCTTACATCTATCACCCAATTCATCCAGACGACAAGATTGCTGTATATTTCGGTTATGGATGCTTTTAGCGCGTCAAATCTTTGCGCTTGAGTATATTTAGTAATTTATGCCAAGGATTGAGTATGGACAAACCTTTGCAATGACCAGAGATATTTGATCCCCCTTTACAATGGCAGGCCAAAAGCGCAAAGATGCGACACAACCATCAAAGCAACCATCTAAAATGTCCCGGAGGGTCGCAAACAAAATGAACAAGAAAGACAATACTTTCAACACCCAGCCCTGCAATCAACACGCGTCGGTCTTCTTCCGTCTCCCCTGCGAAATCCGCGACATCATCTATCGAGAAATCTTCGTCTTCCCCGTAACCGTCCACCTCGCCTACGTGGGGAGGACCAGAAACCGCAAATTCCGTAGCTTTCTCTGTCAGTTATCCGAAGAGGAGCAGCCCGAGAAGCGCCCGCAACTTCTCTGCCCACGATGTCGAGTCAATCACCACCGCTGCTCACCGCGGAAGGGCAGGTCTGATGATGTTGAGGAGCGCCCCTCGTCGGAGACTCAAACCCAAGCTAGGGTTCTGGCGTTACTGCGGAGCTGTAAAAGAATGTAGGTTATGCTTCTCCTCTGTTGCTGATGCCGTAGCTGACAGGAGTAGATACGACGAGACGGTCGACATGCTCTACCGCGAAAACACATTCTACATTGAGAATCCGCGCACCCTGCTGGAACTCCCGTCGTCTTTATCCCCGGCGCGACTCAGTTCATTCCGGCGTCTGTATCTTGAATCGGCCCGGTATGGTGAGTATACCCCCGCTGACCGCTTGGATAAATGGGCAGCGGTCGTTGGTGTGCTGAAACAGCTGGGTGGACTCGAAACCCTTGTCGTTATTCTGCGGCCGATGTACGGGCTGGAATGGGAGGTTGAGGGCCTGATGAAGCCACTTGAGGCGGCTGAGCTTCCGGTGTTGAGAGTAGTGAGAGATCCCATGGTGTACATGGCTCTTGATAGTTCGGCGCCTCGTTGTAATCTTCATGCGTTGAACCAGAGGATTCCGCATTAGGGCTAAGCGGTGATCATGCAGGCTCTGGGAATGGATAGATGTCTAGGAAATCAGAGCATGCTTCTAGCTGATGGATCTCTCCGATCCCTTTTTGGATTAAACATATATGTCTAGAAGCATAGCTACGATACATGTTATTTGACTAGACATGCCTACTCCTTTACTGTACAACTACATCTGCATCAGAAAATTAAGATAACAGGCCCAGGATATATCCAATTAGAAATTTAACTCAGTGGCCTATTCCAAGCCTAGAAGTATCCACCGCCAGAAACCAAGATTGGGGCACCGTACTTTTACTATGGTGAGACCAATCAATCTATGATGCAAACACTTGCACATCTTGAATAAAGAATGTAACCATCGAACCTTGCCGGATATTTGGTTGTATTGATTGGTGCATCGAGAGCAACCGTTGGCCATGTTCCATTCCAGTCTCCACTGCGGATGCCCACGGAAGCATCTTCCATATTTCCACTCCCCGTTCCATCCCAGATTCCATTCCCGCTGGTAATGACGATCTGGTTTCTGGGGATTTCCAGGTTCTGATTCATGATTCATGGATTTGTTAGCAAGATACCTCTACTGAGACATTGGTGGGCATCACGATATTAGGGCTAGCGAATAGAATGTTTCATGTCGACTCTCTGAGTCAGGCTTGCAGTAATTCAATGCTTCGCGCCTGTTGGTTACAGGTTTCAAATCGACTAAGCTTGGCCTGATCTGAGAGGGACGAATTGACTTTTACTGGAACGTATCCTGTTCCCCCCTCTAGACCTTATAGCCAGCAGCCGACTTAGCTACAGACACTCATGCTCACATGTGCCTTTATGATTGAATGCAACCGCAGTGGACCAGCCTAGTGCCAACTATGATAGGCCATTGAGAATCGCCAGGATTTCAAAGCTGCAAGGCTGTAAGTGGGTATTGGACGTCATAATCCTCTAATCGTTTGATTTTGCGTTGATACCCAAATCGATGATTAAGAGCGAGGATCAGGGGAAATCATTTATTAGGACAGTACTTGCTTTTACCAAAATTATCGCTTTCATCGATTTGAGCGCTTGATTTTATCTGTAGAAACTGCTTCTACCAAGCCATGAGGTCAGGAACCGGTCGAAAACGCCCCTCAGACGCCGACGATCCCTGCCAAGCGACCCATGGGGCCCGGAGACGGATCAGCAGGGCCTGCGACCGGTGCCGTGCACAAAAAGCTAGAGTAAGCATTTTTCATTTTCGTTATGAGGTGCAAGAGCTGACTCTCCAGTGCGATGGAGGAAAACCGTGCCTTCGCTGCGGGGACAACATCCCTTGCGTCTATCAGGAGAAGAAACAACTGCGACGGAAGTATCCCGCTGGGTAAGTCGTCTACCTCGTTGTTGGATGAAACTGACAAAAAAGATATGTGGATATGTTAGAGGAACACCAGGCGTATTTGATCACCGGTTTGAGGAAGTTATACGAATGCATTCAGCAGGATGCCAAACTCCCAGAGGTCGATCGCGATGGCAATAACCGACCGATTGTGCACGAACTGCTCGATAAACTGGGTATCTTCGAAGAACCGATCAAAGAGCATAGGCCCTCAATCACTGGAAGTGCAGCGGAGGCCGAGCCGTCTCTGGGCGGGCTTCATGGAAACGATATCCTCGGTGGAGGGATTGGGACAACCAGGTTGCCAGGGACGTCTGGGCCCTGGTCATCCACTCAAGAGGTTAAACCCTCTCTTGCTTTGAATTCGACTGCCGCGGCGAATCTCCCTCGCGCTTTGACTCTACCAAATCATATCCCTCTCAATACTAGGATGGCACAACTGCGGTTCTCCCGCTCGTGCCACGATCAAGCCAGCCCAGTGGGACTCAATCGCCATCAACGACCGGTCGATCTCAGCAATGGATTCTATAGGTGGTCCTTTGACTTTTCCGACTTTTTGGCTGTCTCGAGTCGGGAATGATTGCGATGATGCCATACTGAGGTGGCGTCAGAGCGCTGCGATCATCGAGTAGCAGAACGACCGCAGCCGACTCTATAACTTGATGGCTTTGACTCAAAGGTACGGAATATGCAGTATCCAATCTACTGGTGAGTAAAACTGGAATCCATTGACAATGAATACTAATTCAGATAAAGGTATCAAGCGAACGAGTTAAGCATCTAAAGACTATCCACATGCACAAAGTGCAATATATCCCATCATCTACAGCCTTCAACCAAACCTACATCGCTCTTCACATGGCCAAGGAAAGACAGCTTACGGCTCCGTCCGACCCTTTTCCCACTCATAAAACTTCGGCAACGGCTCAAGCTTCTGCCGAAGAATCCAAACCCGAAAGTGCCAGACGGCGTTCCTAATCTGATACGCAGCGTGCTTCCTCGTCGGCACGGAAAACACCTGGTCCAGTTCCTCCAACGTAAGAGCTGCAACAGTCAGCATTAGCATTCGTACGAGTGATAGGTGATCCAAACCCACCCTTCGTTTCGGGAACAAAAAGCAAGATCAACACCCAGCCGACCAAACACCACGCCGCGTACCACCCAAAGGCACCCTGCGGCTTAAACGCATCCAGCAGCATCGGCCACGTAAACGAGAGAATAAAATTAAAACACCACGTCGTCGCCGTCGCCCACGACATCCCCACCTCACGCACGTGCAGGGGGAACGCTTCCGCCGAGTACGTGAAGGGAACGGGACCCTCGCCGGGCGAGTAGAACACTTCGAAGAGATACATTCCTGTTGTGACCATCGCGACGCGCTTCTTGCTGAAGGGGTCGTCTGGTTCGATCCAGAAGGAGAAGCCGGACCAGAAGAGGCAGATGGCGAGGAGGGGGAACGTGAAGAGGAGGAGGTTGCGGCGGCCCCAGGTGTCGATTGTGAAGAAGGCAGGGAGGGCGAAGACCCAGTTGAGGATGCCGGTGCCCATGGATGCGAGGAGGGCTTCTTGGATGCTGTAGCCGGATTCGACGAAGATGGTGGTTGAGTAGTAGGCGATTACGTTGACGCCGCAGAACTGTTGAATTAGCCAAATGCCGTCAAGATGAATTGAATATATGCTGAAGTACTTACCTGCTGCATGAACATGACGATCCAGCTAGCCAGCGTAGCCCGACGATTGCGAGGAATCGTAAACAATTCAATAAACATGGTGAAAAAGTTCTTGCCCTTGTTCACCTTCCTCTCCAGCTCCACTCCGACATATGCGTAGTACAGATCCCGGGCAGCTTGCAGGTCGCTCGGCCGGAGGGTTCGGAATGCAGCAAACGCCTTGTCAATCTTGTTGTGCTCGATCAACCATCGAGGAGACTCGGGACAGAAGTAGACTTGCGCGCAGACAATCAGCGGGAGAACAACCGTCGAACCCAGCATGAGACGCCAGGAGAGGTCGTCGGACAACCCCATGAATGCCACACCCATGATATTCCCCAGCATGATACCGAACGCTGTCCACATCTGCCACATCATGACCAGAGCGCCTCGGATCGGGGCTGGTGAGCATTCTGCTGCGTAGACGGGTACAGTTGATGACTTGGAACCGATCCCGAGACCCAGCACGAAGCGAGCGATGAAGAGATTGACCCAGGAGTTGGCGACTCCTTCCCAGATCGAGGCAACGGCGGCGATGAAGCACGACAGGAAGATTGTACCTCGTCGGGCGAAATAGCGGTTCAGAGGTTCGGTGAGCCAGCATCCCAGAATGGCGCAGGCTAGGTACGGTGCGCCGACGATGAGGCCGGTCAAGTATCTCTGCATGGGTTCAGAAAATCTCGAGTTTTCAGGGTGATCAGGGTTTGTGATGTTGAACTGCTTCAGGTAGATGGCTTGGGCGCCATTGTTGACCGTTTCATCCATGCCTTGGACTGCTGCGGCCAGCGAGCACATGGCTAAGGTAGGTCAGCTCTGCCTTGAGCACTCTGCTATCGTTTGGGGGATACTTACAAGCCATAAAGTAAAGCTGCCATGGCTGGGACCATTTGTGTGTAGACTCCCGGCGAAGAATGGCCTTCTCGTCCTCGTGCAGCTCCGGCAAATCCAGAGCACCAGCGGGGTTCTGCGAGATGAGGGCTCCTTTGCGAAATGCGTCGATGTGGTCCATCAAACCGTATTTCTGACAGAATTCCTCCACATTCTGCAGCAGTTTGTCCCGAGGGACGTTGGCGAGGGGATTCTCAAATACCGCATTCAGCCTATTGGGCGATCGGCCTTCGAGATCGAAAATGTCCTTTTGCTGAGGGGTATTTTCTTCATGTTGGAAGGTTGTGGGCTTTTCTCCTTTGGGACCAACCATCTCATCCGAGGGAGGCGAAGGCAAGTCACCTTCTTTCATGGTGTTGGCAGTAATTTGCAATATGACAATCTAGTTGAGATATGGAACTGAGTCTACAGTGTCTTCTCTCCTAGTCGAGTCGGCCAAGGTATATAGCCTGGGGTAATCGGGCACACTGTCTCCACTGGATCAGTTGTGGGGATTGTTCCAGTCTTATAATCTCTGGGGAAGATTGTTCGAAATATGGGAGATGTCTCCATGAGGGCTGCTTGACTCGCTGACGGAGACGCCTATTGGACGGTCAGTCACTGATGAGGCATATTCTTCAACAGTTCCAACGCCAGAGGAGATACTTGACAGCCTATTGGCACACCACTGCTATACTATAGACAATCCCGGAAATATAGTCGACCGTTGTCTCTGACTGGGCCGTCCTGGCCACAGAAAGCCGGGTATGCTGTCATACTCCCAGGGGGTCCCTGTTCTATGAGACAGGTTGCTTTGAGTTCAGATCGACCACGGACGAAGTGTAGCCGAGTAGCCGGGCGCAAGCGAATCGGAGATGGCATCTTCGCGGGGTGGGATGAGATCAGTGGCTGGAGGGACTCTCGCTAGGCTATCACTTGACACCTGTCTCTGCCAATAATCGCACTTGTCGGACCTGTGCGGAGAGTCTCACGCCCATGCGGGGGTTGAAGCCACCCGTCATTAGCACTTGGGCTTACTCCTAGTGGCTACGGGTCACTATGTAGAGAGGTACTTGTGGAGGCGCTGGAGTGGATCCTATCGCGGCCAAAACGCCTCCCGTGCGCCAATCCGCCTCAAGCATAACCAAGGTACCTCATGCAGTCTTGACTGCCTTGTCATGCATTGGCATTATCAGCTGTAGATGGTATGTAGAACACACTTTCTATTTTGGTCTTAGTCATGAATTATGTTGATTGATCTGGTTGCCCATCATAACCCATTTCGCTGTGCCAAGAGGCCATGATGCCATCGCTAAAGGTGATAACATGTGCTGACCGCATGCACTCACTGCTCTGAGTCAGGTATGTCTCAGGTTGTAGTAGACTAATGCTCTTACAGCTGGGATTAGAATTATGAAAAATGATAACCACTATAATATCTCTGTCCCGCCCTATACATACCCATCCATGAATTGGTGGTCAGCATTTAGGCTGTCAATGAGTGAGGCTGCCACACACCTCAATCGGTTGAGCCCAAGGCTCTTATAATTTGTAGTAATTTCTACTATCTTCTTAGACCATAACAGATAACATCCTGTTTGATGGGTTCAGCGTTGTTTCGCTCGATCGCAGGTGGTATAACTGCCGGGATATATAATTACGAGAGGCACTAAGCTTTCCGACACAGATTAGCAACGAGCAAGGACAACCGTCACAGACGTTTACAGTCAATTTGGAGACAAATATAAACATATAAATAAACCCAGGGAAAGTACCCCTGCCTCTCGATTCTTCTTAATACGAATACGTCCAAAGAGAGATGGGAATGAACGGAGGCTGCGGAGTGGTCACATGACCAATAACATGGTAGTGGTTAAGGATATGGGGTTGTTCCAGCGCATGGAAAGAAATCAATGAGAGCAGAGCAAACAGTTAAAATAGGAATCAATCTGGAAGGTTTTGATAAAAATGTTCTTGACTACGCCCAATCAGGGGGAATAGCCACGTGACATGCATCTCAAACACAAAGATCTTGTGATTTCCAAGCTGCGTGCATCGCCAGCAACAGATCCGTCCCCCGTCCTTCCCTCGTTGTCGCACAATCATCCGTGTTCCATCTCAGCATGATGTATCCTGCAAGTCAATTCCACTGCAGAGGGTTTCTTGCATCAAGCTTGACAGCAGCTCCGCTACCATGGAAGCTAAACCCATCATATTGGACGCAATACGCCATCACGCGCAGGAAATTCCATTAGCTCAACGAAGAGAACAAGGCTGAAATGATGCTGTGATGCTGCAGCTGATGCCAAGCCCAGCCTCGCACCCTCAAGCTGACTTACCCCTCTTCGACACCCCGTCACACCGATTCAGGGTTTTCGAGAATGGGTTTTAACAAGTTTGTCTTTGACATTCATTGTAACCATGCATGGATCGCGATCGCACTATGATTATACCGTGGCATGGATCAGCGCGCTGCCGCTGGAGATGGCCGCCGCGAGACAAATGTTCGACCAATTCCACGACCGACTGCCTCAGCCATTGACCGACACAAACACATACACGCTGGGCAGTATCTGCGGTCATAACGTGGTTCTGGCATGTCTTCCGTCCGGTGTCTATGGTACTACTTCGGCTGCTACAGTCGTCGCTCAAATGCGCTCGACCTTTCCTAGGCTCCAATACGGGCTGCTGGTGGGGATCGGGGGCGGCGCCCCCAGCGAGAAAGTTGATATACGGCTTGGGGATGTGGTGGTTAGCAAGCCCACACGCACCTACGGCGGAGTAGTGCAATACGACTACGGCAAAACTGTAGCTGGCGGGCTGTTTGAGCAGAGCGGAATGCTCAACAGGCCTCCGGAAATACTACTTACGGCGACGTCGAAGCTACAGGCAGAGCTCCACAATCATGAGAACCCGATATCTGACTTGCTCCTGAAGCGATCCCAGGCAAATGGAGGAATCGGCTTCGGTTTCCCCTATCCAGGCCAAGGGCGCGACCTTTTGTTTGAGTCGACGTATGCCCATAAGATGATGCATGCCAGAACTGTATGATGCATGCCAGAACTGTGATACCCGCCATCTGGTTCCCAGAACCGCCCGTGGATCGGACGAGCCTAAGATTCACTACGGTTTGATTGCATCCGCAAACCAGGTTATGAAGGACGGCCCAACACGCGACATGCTGACTCGGAACCTCGATATTTTATGCTTTGAGATGGAAGCAGCTGGGCTGATGAATCATCTTCCCTCGATTGTGATTCGTGGCATTTGCGACTATTCTGACTCTCACAAACACAAGGATTGGCAGCCTTATGCAGCACTAACCGCAGCTGCTTATGGCCGTTTACTCCTATCGGCTGTCCCTATTTCGTCTCCGGAGAAGCACGATCAAGCTCTCACGACGGAGGAAAAGGAATGTTTAGAAAAGCTTTTCCTGGCAGACCCCGGAGACGACCTAAATGCGCTCAAGCGTAGGAAAGGAGGTCGCGCTCCTGGGACGTGTGAATGGGTTCTGGTATCACCAGAAATTAGGCAATGGCTTGGGAAGGAGAGTCCGGCTGCAGGGCATGAATCGAATCTTTTGTGGCTTCACGGCAATCCAGGAACAGGCAAATCAACGATGGCTATCACCCTCGCCGAAAAGCTGCCTGAAGACCCCTTATTTGCACGTGAAGATGCCATCCTTGCCTACTTCTTTTGCGACTCCAGTTCTGAAAAGCACAGAACTGCTACGGCTATCTTACGTGGCTTGCTGTATCAAACAATACAGAATCGTCCATCATCACTGGGATCCCTTGTATCAAAGTACCGAGGTTACAAGGATAAGCTATTCTCCTCTTTCGATGCTTTGTGGTCAGTCTTGATGGAAATTGGCAATAGAAGCGGATTGAAACTGTACTGTATCATCGATGCCCTGGACGAGTGCGACGATGAAGCGCTGGAATCTCTGCTGATACAACTGAGCCGAACCTTTCAACCCGGTGATTCCCGGTACAATCAAAGCGGGATTCACGTCCTTATCACAAACCGTCCGTATGAAGAAATCAGACTATATTTGGATGAGTTTCCGAATCAAGATATTGCCTCTTATCCTCAGGTCTGCAACGATCTTGCAATTTTCATCGAACAGAAGGTCAAAGAATTGAGCATAAAAAAGCACTATTCTGCGAATGTTCGCCGCAATGTTGCCGCAATCTTGAATGACAAGGCCGAGGGAACATTCCTGTGGGCTGGCTTGGCATGTGGTGAATTAATCAGAGTTCGGTCGAGGGACGCAGTTGCGACATTAGAGAAATTACCGAGTGGCCTTAGTTTCATGTACAAAAAGATGCTCGACATGGCCGTCGAAGATCGCCAGGAGGACGGAAGCACGATCATCCAGTTGTTGACCGCCATTGTGATTGCCCGTCGGCCATTGACTCTGTTAGAGCTAGCGGAAGCTTGCAATCTCTATGGCACCGATGACCCGGAGGACCGAGTCGCATATGTCCGTGAGGATGTCTTCGACTGTCGCCTACTGGTCGTTATTCACGATGACAGGGTGATGCTCCTCCACAAATCCGTCAAGGACTTCTTAACTCATTCTCAGGATGCCCGTGTCATCAATGAGCAGCTAGCTCACGCAGAATTCGTTAGTCGTTGCATTGACGTCCTGACGCGGGGATTGGATGCTGAAAGACCGGTAGTGGCTTCAATCCTGGAGAATGCTATGGGCGACCGTTCGTTCCTACTTTATTGCGTGCAATACTGGCCTGAGCATGCTCATTTGGCAGGTGCCGAATTCAAAATTCAGGAACGCCACGGCGCCTTCTTCGAACTAGACTCTCCAGCACGAGAGAGATGGTTAAACCTTTTTCGACTATTCGATCTGTCTATTGACTCTGTTCCATTCAAGTTCTCCATTTTCCACGTGGCGGCGAGATGGGGTATTCCTGCCCTCATTTCCCATGCGCTTTCAACACAGATTCTGTGCGAGCCAGGCAAAACAGAAGCGGAAAACCTCCATCTGCCGAAGGATCATCTTATCAATTCACGCTGTTCGAATGGAACCACCCCGCTCGAAGAGAGTGCTACTCAGGGCCACCTCGACGTATTCGGCGTTCTGCTGGATTTGGCCGATGGCCAAATGCTCCTCGATGAAGCCATCGCCGCGGCAATTCGTAATCGGCGCAGAGGAGCGGGTCTCATCAAGCTTCTCATTGACAGAGGAAGACTACAAGCTATGCCTGAGTCAGGTAGGATGATAGCTTCCACCGAAACCTGGGATTTCCTGCTGGATTACTTTGGCCTCGAATTCCCTGTTTCTGAACAAATGCTTCAAGAACTTTGCTATAGTGAAAATGGCACCGATGTGTTGAGCGCAATATCGAGAAAGCTGCAACGGCAATTACCAGTCACCGAGGAAGTTCTTATGCTCGGAGGCTTACACAGAGACGCAAGATTTGTGGAGTTACTGCTGAATGACGTCGAAAAAAGGATTCCAATCAGTGAAGACTTCATCTTTTTCGCTTTGCTGAATAGGAAGCATGCATTAGGTATAATTGACCTTGTGCTGGCTCATTGGCAGAGGGGCTCGCTAGCCTTGGAGCGCCCAGAAGAAGACCCCGTCCTGCTAATCATGCAACAGCTGCAGAAGCCCGCTGTCCTGCCGGAGAAGGTAGCAAACGTCTTGCGCATGATTCAGCACAGGGGCTTCAAACTTTCGCCCTCGACGGCCCTCGTAAAACTGGTGGCGAAAACCGGAGACGTTGATCTTTACAAGGAAGTTCTGCGAAATTGGGAGACGGTGAACTTGATAGATGAGAGCAACCTGCTTTACATGGCAGAGCGAATGCCTGCAGAGATGTTTGACTTCTTCTTGGACACCCTGGGCGGTGAGCTTCCTATCAGCGCTCGCGTCGTTGAGGCTGCGGCTGCGAATTTGGAACATGGATGGCAGATAATTCAGAAACTGTTCAAGATCTCAGATGGTAACCTTCCTGTCTCTGCCTTCACTTTTAGCCGTGCAGCAGAGATGGCAGAAACGCAGCTGCATGGCAGTCAAACCCTCAGTTTCCTGCTCCAGCATTTCAAAGACCGCATTCCGGCCTCACCAAGCGTCGTTAGATTTGCTGCTCAATTGGGTAGAGAGGGATACCCTTTCATTGAAGCAATACTCGATCGCTTAGAAAACAATGGGTTGACTGCAGACGCCGACTTGATCCCCACTGTCATATACAATGGCAGTGTAGAGCTACTGTTGTTTATACTGGATCGAACTGACAGCTCACTCCCAATCACCGAGGAAACACTTGCTTTGGCTACCGGTAATCATAGGGACGGCGTACGAATGGTTAGACTATTAGCGCGGCGTGCTTGCGGGCGATTGCCCTGGCATGAAGAAGCGTTCAGACGATGCGATAAAGTCAATATTTGTCCGATCTTCACCGAATGGTTGAATGAAGGCACCTTCACACATGAGATGATCCACGCCGCAGCGATCTGCATAGCCCGGACGCCTATTACACTGAGAGACCCTCTGCAGCAGACTCTTATCGGTTATTGGAAGCGAGTCGACTTCGCCGAAGATATTGCCCGAATACTCATTCAAAACAATAATATGAAAATTTTAACAAATCTGCTAACTCTGTACGGCGGCGTCTCGCTCATCGACAAGGAGACAATGCAGCTCGCAGTGAAAAAAGATTCGCCTGGGCTTCTGATCGATCTGATGATCAAACAAGGCCGGGAGGATCTCATTTTGAAGGAGGAGCTTGTCGAAGCCTCTGCTTGGGGTTTCAGCGCGAGGAATGAGGGCATAACCTTCTTATTGGAGCAGTACGGCGAGAAGACCCCTCTTTCAGAACAAACACTTGTCTTTCTGTTGCTCAATTTCTCCAACAGAAATCGTACTGTGGCGCGCTTCCTCGAGGGCCTACCGGATGCAATTTTAAGGTCGCCGACGATGCTCAAAGCTGCCGCTGCAGGGACTAATCGGCAAATTGTCGGAAGGATTCTTGAGTCTTATCCGTTCGAGATCACGGACGAGATCGTTGAATCAGCAATAGGGCATTCTTCAGATGCCGAAGGTATCTTTTGCATGCTTCTTTCCAGAAGCGGAGGTCACATTACTGAGAGAATGATTCAGCTTGCGTGCAAAAGAGGGGTTGAGATCCTTCCATTTTTTCTTGACGAGACCATAGACAGGATTCCAATTAGCACCGACACACTATTTGCCGCTTTGTATGGTTCATCAGTGGAAACGCTACTCAGATATCCCATCGATGTGAACCAGATTACGGACGAGTTTCTGGTAATGGCAGCAAGTTGTTGGGAGCCTGAACGGCTGTTTTCCCTTATATTGGAGCGATTCGGAGATCAGATAAAAATCACCGAAACGATTGTCGCAGCCACGATCCAAACTTCTCGTAACGATCTATTCATTGCAAAGTTACTGAGCCGTCTCGATAGCGCGACGCCTCTCACCGAGGCGGTGCTAGTCGCCGCGGCAAAAAGTGAGCTGCCAACACCTGAGGTCATTGAGCTTTTCAACCGTCTTCTGAGCATGATTGGAGATGACAAGGTCATTACAGAAGCGACACTTGTTGCCGCGGCCGGCAATGGATGGAATGGTGGCGCACAGATAATACAGCTGCTACTCAGTCGTAGGAGTGATTTCGAGGTTACAGAATCAATGAGCAAGGCAGCAGTGTTCAAATCCGACTCAGTCCTCCGCGACGTACCAACCGGTACCGACGCAATGGAAGTCCTCCTGGATCTGAAAGGAGACACAGTCCCTATCACCGAGGAGGTTCTGCTGGCGGCCACTCGGAACCTTTGGGATAGGTACAGCATTTTCGCATTATTAGTAAGGGAAAGGTTCGACTCGGTGCGCGCTTGTCTCACCCAGAGACTGTTGCTTACTATCGCGGCGAGTGGGGATATGAAGATTCTGTCACTCTTGGAAAGGAGGTTTGAAATCCCAATCACGAATGAGCTGCGCTCAATTTGTCGGTTGTACATTGGCGCCCGCGATGGCGACAGTCGGGCTGTACGGACCCTTCTTCGTCAAGGATGCCCACCAGATATACGAAACGCCAGAGGGGAAACCCCCCTTTGGATGGCAGCAGACGGTCAGCATGATTTGATCGTCAGAGACCTCCTGGTAACAAAAGCGGTAGACGTTGATGCTGTTCCCATGACCGGAGACCCGCCACTTATCAAAGCAGTGGAAAGTTACAATGTTCCTATAGTACGCCTTTTACTGGCTGCAGGTGCAAATCCGAACCTGGCCGGCAAGGACGGAAAGACAGCCTATACTTTAGCAAAGGAGAATTCGTACTTGCGTATGATGGCTATCATGGAAGAATACGGGGCCAAGTGAAACAAACAAATAATAATTTGGCACGTCCGCCGTTGGAAAGAATGGAAATATGAAGTGAATACCTCCTCAACAGCAATGTACCAAGAGTTCCCACCATTCAACCACTCTTAATACGTGGTATCAATCCAGCTGTTCCAGCCGCTGCCAAGGACCGTGTTCATGCTAACAGCACCAGAGATGGAAGACTCATACTCTCTCTTCGAGGTATCCGCTCCAGCACCCTTGTTATTGTACTCATAGTAGAGCGGTGTCGCGCCCTCAGCCATGGTGGTCCAGCCCTTAGGGTTGATGATGTTCGACAACTGGGAATTCTGGTAGATGACACGGGCAAGCACACGCCATGGACGACCGAGGTAGACCTTGCCGGTAAGATCGACTCCGGACTTCTCGTAGATGTTGCAGTGGTCGAACGCGTACCAGGTGGTCTCGTCCGACGTCGTGCGCGACATGGCGGTAATGTAGCCGGCACCGACGGACATGATGTCGCATTCGCCAAACCAGGCCGAGGCGTCACCGAAGATGTAGTCCGTGGCTCCTGGAGGGCATTAGCATATGCAGGTGGGCATGAATGGGCGTGGATGGAGGGTGGAAAAGACTTACCCTCGATGTAGCAGTTGGAGTAGTATTGATGACCGGCTTTGGCGTAGAGAGTATCCTGATAACCGACGAAACTGCATCCGTAGAAGCCAAGCTTGTCGGCACTGGCGACGAGCCTATCATATCTTGTCAGTTACTTTCAATGGGGGTTCTGGCGGGGGCAACGTACGCTACAGCCTGCGAGCCCTTGCCATAGCCATTGATAACATTGATGTTATACATCTTGAACCCGTCCGACCTGACGTTGACCGTAGCACTCTTATCCAGCGTTCCCGCCTGAGGAGAGGAAATGGTATGGGTGATAGTAACCTGGTTCTTCTTGTAAGAGCTCGTGTCGGTCGTCTCGCCGTACATGGTGAGCTTTCCCTTGTAGCTGATGGTGAGCTGCTCCTTGTACGTGCCGGCACCAATGAAGATGCAGGCATCGGACGTGGAGGCGCCGAGAGCGTTCAACGCAGCGCCTATGGTCGAGTACTTGCCCGACGAGCCGACAGTGAGACATCCGGCCGGGGCTTTACTGCGATCAGACCGTCCTTCGATGGGACTTGCGGAAGCCATGAGGCCAAGGCCAAGAAGGCCGAGGAGGAGTGAGGGAATATGCATTCTAGAGTATGGAGTCTGGATATCCTGAATGTCTTGACAAACGTGGAAACGATTGTTGATCTCCAGGAGATGTCAAGGGTGATGGTCTTCTTAAATAGATTAAATCTTGTAGTATATTACAAAACTCGACCTGGATAAATTATATGGCGCGCCCCTTGAGACAATTTCTCCGTAGTCAGACCCGAGCTGTTTCATATTTTCCATGAATGGCTTGGCCAATCAACCCTACCTCCAATTCTTCAGAACCCTGAGGATCCCCAGGATGCGCGGATCCCCCGGGCGCATACTAAAAGAAGCCAAGTTGGCATTTATTGATTTGTTTAACAGGGTTCTCCGCAATCTCCCCGTTTTTCCATCGCGCTGATAATCCCGCTATTCAGGATGGAACAGACTGACCCTGCACCGCGGGAAATACGGATAGTGGCTAGATATATTTAATCTATCAGGTTTGGGTGCGGGTGCGCTAGTTTGACTTGAATTTTTTTTCCTCGAATGGCGCTGAGTATACATTAATTTACATGTCACGTTCCCCAGACATCTGCAGTTTAAACGGGGGTTGCGTCCTTTTACGATTTTACATTCAGCCAAAATCATAAAGTTAAATCACGAATGCTTCCAGTCCCGTGTGTCTTCAGTTCTCTGTCTGGACAATTTAGCCGCCTCGTACAATGCAGTATATATATGTGTGTGCGAACTCTCGTCGCCATGTCGGATATCCCTCATTGTAGAAGCAATTGGACAAGATGTCGTATTATCGCAGCCTCGCTCTTCTCGCTCTCTTGGGCCTAAGCAGCGCTGCTCCCTCGCAGGTTGAGCGCTCTCCTGATGCAGTTATCCAGCCTCGCGGTGTCTGCACCCCCACGGCTGGTGGAAGTTCTTCGATCGACGATGTACCAGCCATCAGGAAGGCCATTTCCTCGTGCGGCAATGGAGGCACGATAGTATTTCCCGCCGGGTCGACCTACTACTTGAACAGTGTGCTGGATCTTACTGGGTGCTCGAACTGTGATATTCAAGTCGAAGGTCTACTCAAGTTCAGTGGCTCAACCGAGTACTGGGGTGGCAAGACCGCTATGATCAATATCAATAAGATCAATGGCTTGAAGCTCCGATCTTTGGCCGGGTCGGGTGTCATCGATGGCAATGGACAGAATGCGTAAGGTACATCTGACCTTTTGAAGCAGGAGCTAAACAATACTACAGATACGATTTTTTTGCTTCCAATAGCAGCTATAAACGGCCAACACTGCTCTACATCACCGGCGGTAGCCATATCGAAGTGTCCGGCCTCCGCCAGAAGAACCCCCCGAATGTGTTCAACTCGGTCAAAGGTGACGCGATGCACGTCACCTTCACGAACCTTCGCATGGACGCAACCTCTCACTCTGACAATCCCCCGAAAAATACGGACGGCTTCGACGTCGGCGCCAGCACGGATGTCACCATCTCGTCCGTCAACGTGAGCAACGACGACGATTGTGTGGCCTTGAAGCCGGGCTGCAACTACGTGACAGTGGAGAATGTCACCTGCACCGGGTCCCACGGTATCTCCGTCGGCTCACTGGGCAAAAGCAGCGCCGATACTGTGCAGAATGCCTACTTGCATCATATCACCATGATCGATTCGACCAAGGCAGCGGGTATCAAGACCTACCCTAGCGGAAACGGCCATGGCTTGTCGACTGTGAAGAACGTGACTTTCTCCGACTTTACCGTGCAGGGGTGCGACTACGCCTTCCAGATCCAGAGCTGCTATGGCGAAAGCGCCTCCTACTGCGCGAGCCACCCTGGCAATGCCATTCTGCAGGATATCATCGTGAAGGGGTTCTCGGGAACCACGAGTAGCAAGGACGACCCGGTTGTCGCAAATCTGAATTGCGGCGCCAGTGGCACTTGCGACGTTAGTATCAGTGATTTTAGGGTCAAGGCGCCATCTGGAAAGGCAACCATTCTGTGTGCTAACACGCCTTCAAGCCTGGGTGTGACCTGCACCTCAGGTGCTTCGGGTTAATTTTCGCGGATGATTGTTCCTCGAGAGAGAGAACTGTATGAATGGGGGTTGTTGAGCTTCTATGATCGACCTGCTTTTGAAGTGTAAGGCTGCAGACTGGCCAGCCACTCTCTTATATTTGTCGAATGCGTATTGTGTTGGCTCTCTGCCTTGCCTTCTCTGCTACGATTGATTCTCGCTTGGCTATATGACTCTAGATGGATATTTATCCAGGCCAGTGACTGTACACTCTACCCCCCTTCTTTCTGTAGGCATGCTCCGAGCTCTATGCGATTTGTCCCGAGAAAAACACTCGGATAGTATAACGCGAATACTCCCCTCATGAAGGCAAATTATTGCACAGCGAACCGGTATTCTGGTTGAGCATAAGACCAGCCTTCGAGAACATGCAGCCTGTTAGATTATTAAGACACCGTTCTGATCTTGATTATAATATAGGTGCGCTGAGAACAATTTGCAGTGTCTCCGTCTCACAACCCGCTCTAATCTCGACATCAGTACAAGAGAAGGAGTACAAGAGACGGAGCAAAGTCCTAGTCGAAAGCGACTATTTATACGCAAGTCTCCCTAAAGCACTCCTCGCGCATCACTCCATCGCTAGTCGCTCCTTTCATTCACCGAATCTTCCGACTCCAATCTAGTCCACCGGGGCGTGGGATGTACCCACGAGGTGGCAAATGGCAGGGCGGAAGGATCAGACAAGTGAGGCGTAGGAATGCCGATTCGGGCCGGGTGCCTCTCATTCGATCTCACCGCCGGAATGGAGAATACCACAGTAGTAAGCACGATGACTCGGGATCCCGGACTCGGCTTTGTTGCATCACTCCGTGCGACTTGTCCCTGTTGTTGGTCGGTGTGGAGGCTTGATCGTCATGGGCCCATGGATGGGTCGATCTCGGGCGAGTTCCGAAACTATGATGTTGCCCTGGAGGGCTATGTTTCGACTGGGATTCCTTTGTATACTTTGATATCATGGATATGAGCTTTACTTGCTACTGTTGGAATGCCCCTTGACTGCCTAGTTCAAGAGAGGCGAGTGTACACTGAGTATGGCCTGAGGTGATGGTTGCGGTCTGAGATGCAACAGAGCCAAGTTTCTCCGAAGTTTACACGGACGATGAAAAATCTTCAGTGACCCACAGCAGTTGGAGTACGGTGGTCTGCTCATCACTAAGGAGAGATCGCGCCTCATCCGAGAGAAATGCAGTTGGAGACAAACCTGATGCCATGGCCGGACTCCGTAACCTCCCGAGACAGCCATTTGCTGCCGGAGATAGGGCACTATGGAGCACAAACCATGTATTCACTAGCTCTGTCACTGTAGAAGTGGCTCACCGCATGATTTATGCAGCTGATGACGAAGCACACTGGCTTTCCATATTTAAGCAAGCGGTCCCAGAATTAGCCTTCACGGAAACCATCCACACTTCCCCATACTCCCGCCATGGACAAGATAGACAAGACCGACAAGTCCCAGCCTGTCCAGGCGTCCCACGCCGAGAATGCCCATTCGCACTCTCAAACTCAGCAGCGTCAGCGTGGCCGTGTTGCTGGGGGAAAGTACCTGCAGGAGCTATACGATGACCACGCCTTTACTCCTAACGATGGCCCAATTCAAAAGGTCGATGTTGATATGCCGCTCACCCTGACGGAGACGATACACCACAACGGGAATCAGTACATTGTGCTTGACTTTGCGGAGGGAGACAAAGAGAATCCCTTCAACTGGAGTGCCAAGCGCAAGGCGTTCATCTCGCTGCTTCTCTGTCTGATGACACTGTTCATCGGTCTCGCAACCACAGCATACAGCTCAGGCATTTCCCGCATGACGGCAGAATTCGGCGTCTCCTCTGAACTAGGCCAGCTCGGCCTGTTCACATTCAACTTCACCTGTGCCCTAGCTCCGCTCTTCCTAGCCCCCTTCTGCGAACTCGCCGGTCGTCGGGTCGTCTACGTGGGCGCCTACGTCCTCTTCGCCATCATGTTCATCGGCCTCGCGCTCGGCCAGAACATCGCCACCATCATCGTCTGCCGCGCCCTGCTCGGCCTTTTCGGCTGCGTCGGCACCATCCTCGTCGGCGGCACCTTCGGAGACATGTACACGCCCAACCAGCGCGCCGTCCCCATGGCCACCTTCTCCTACGTCGCCATCCTCGGCACCGTCGGCGCCCCCATCTACGCCGGCTTCATCGGCGAGACCCTCGGCTGGCGCTGGATCGAAGGCATCCAGGGCCTTGCCAACATCCCCCTCGCCATTATTATTGCTCTCTGCCTCCGCGAAACCCGCGGCAGCGTCACCCTCGCCAAACGCGCCGAGATCCTCCGCCAGCACACCGGCGACGACCGCTACGTCACACAGAAGGACCTCGAGGCCCCGGGCCTCAAGGAAATGCTGCACAGTTCCTCCGTCAAGGCAATCCACATGCTCGTCACCGAGCCCGTCGTCCTCGCCTTCGGCCTCTGGATCTCCTTCGCCTGGTTCCTCACCTTCCTCTTCCTCTCCGTCATCCCCATCACCTTCCAGGAGAAAAAGGGTTGGAGCGAGGGCGTAGCCGGTCTACCCTATATCGCCCTCTGCATAGGCACAACCATCGGCTTCGCGCTCAACTTCCTCCAAATCAGGAAATACCGGTCTATCGTCGCCGATCCCGCCCGCGACGCCACACCCGAAGCTCGCCTCTACGGCGCGATGCTCGGCTCAATTTGGCTGCCTATCGGACTATTCGTCTACAGCTTCACGCAGTACAAGGAGCTACACTGGATCGCGCCGGTGATTGCCCTGGTCCTCATTACCATTGGGATTTTCTTTATTTTTGAAAGTTGCTACAGTTTTACGTCTGATTGCTACGGGGAGAATTCCAGCTCGGCGATTGCGGGCCAGGGGTTCATGCGGAATACGCTCGGTGCGGTATCCCCGCTCTTTGCGTCGCAGTTTTTTCATAATGTCGGGAGTCAGTATGCGGGGTTGTTGTTGGCGGTTGTGGCGACGTTGTTGACGTTTATCCCCTTTGTGTTTTATTGGTATGGGCCAACGCTGAGGGCCAGGTCGAAGCTGGCGGCTGGCATTACCGCTCCGAAACAGGAGGAGATTGAGTTGTGATTCTATTCCTACTGATTATTAAGAATGAAAATGTCAAAGACTAGATTGGCTGAATAAAGACTCCGGGTATGTGCAACCGATCGACATGCTAAGTCGAAGGTAACTTCGTGTGCTTCAACAGATCGTATATCAACAAGGCCCAAAGTAAATTTGTACAACTTCATATATGCCATAGATCATTATTTACCGTTGCAGGCTGGTTATCCCTGCCTGAAGGACAAGTACGTTACCCACGATCCTATTCTCCGTCCGGACGAGGGCCTGCCCAACAGCACCAAGGGCCTGTCGGGCGTCGGGTCCGACCTCGTCGGGAGACGAAACGGCTGCTAAAGTCATAGTCTGGTCCAGCCCGTTATGCCGTCTTCCCACCACGACGATGTTCCCGGCTTTGGGTGTTGTCTGCGACATTTCTTCTTTCACGGCGTTAATAGTAAATTCAATTACATTCTCGTCCGCCTTTGGAATGAGACGCGTGAAGACGACGCGAGACTCGAACTCGTCCGTGAGCGAGTCTCGCATCAAGGCAAAGAAGGTGCCGTCGCTTTCAGGCTGTGTTGTTGTGGCTGTCGAAGGGCTGGTCGAGCTCTCCGCTTGGGAATCTTTGGTGTTGGCGACCGACTTTCCCGAAGGGGTTGAAAGAACATCAATGTGGAGAACCGTCGCCGTGACCTGATCGTTTTGAGCGAGCTGAAGAAGGAATTTCAGGGCAAATCGATCATCATCGCCGCCAAAGAACGGTAACACGATATGGTGCGACCGGGCGGCGGCGGTCGCACCGCCCCAGATGGAACTGCGGATGCTGAGAGCGCTGGCTGTTCGGGTGAGTTGTGGCCGCTGCTTGCCGGAGCTGCGGCTGTATATGTTCCTCTCGACGAGGACGCCAACGTTGCTCGTCGTATTAGAGAGCACACTCGAAACAAAGTCGGTGTAGGGGCCATTGACAAATCTACTCGCCTCGTCGATACCAAGACCGGTTTGGACCTCGCTCATGCCACCTGTCTCGCTCCATGGGATTAGCAGGAGATCCACGGATTCTTCGCGAGCCATTCCCACAACAGTGTCCGCGTAGGAATACTCAGGAACGACGGAGACCCCGGCCATGATCGCAATGTCGCGCCATTGGCCGAAAGCCCGGAAGGTGTTGATAACAGGGTCCCACAGCGTGTATTCGTCGACCTCGGAGACCTTCATGACACTAGAGTCTCGATCGGTCAGTTCCATCAGTCGAACGCCATGGACTTGCAGCGCAGGCTCCGGCTGTACTTCGGTCTCGGCGCTCTCTTCCACTGCTGGTTCTGGTGATGACAGAGCTTCCTTGACCTTGGTCGGATGCAGCTTTGGGGCTTCCGGCGTGGCGGGTCGATTGGGCCCCAGCAGGGCGGCCAAGGTACAAATGCTGGAAAGCCCGTCAAGGCGCAGATAAACGAGCATCTTGCGGACTGGTGCCGTCTTGCGCTGCTCTTTCGCAGCAGCAACACTATCCTGACGCCCGTCTGGTTGAATCGGATGACCATTCCAGTCGATTTCCCCACGACGCCAGCGCTCCACCTTGATCTGATACCATTTTGGATACAAGAGACTGGTCAAAGGGGTGGTTGCAAAAGTTGTCACGAGGGCCATGACAACGAAAATGGTGAATGTGCGGGTGCTGAGGATGCGCGCTTGCAGACCAATGTTCTATCGCGGTCAGTTGTCGATTAGGGAATGAACGGAGAAAGCACTTACCAAAACAATCAGCTCAACAAGGCCCTTGCAACTCATCAAAACACCAATGGAGAAACTCTCCCGCCAGAGCAGGCCACATAATCTCGAGGCTAGGGCGCCCCCTGCCACCTTGGCGAGGAAGGCAATGGCAATCACGCCGACGACATATCCCCAGACCGTGCCGGAATCGAGCAGGCCAAGATTGGTGGAGAGTCCAGAAAGAGTGAAATACAACGGGAGGAACAGGACAGCAACCAGGTCTTCAATCTTCTCGGTCAACTTGATAGCGAAACCACCCTCGTGGGGACATAACAATCCAATGATGAATCCTCCAAAGATAGCGTGAATTCCAATGACTTGAGTGAAAAATGCCGAGGCCAGAGCTAAGAGAATGGTGATTGTCACAACCGATTGACTGGGTCCTTTTTGCAAGCTTCCGGTCTTGTTAAGGAAGCGCATGAACAACGGGCGGAATACGAGGGCCAGGAAGGCGATGTAGCCGGCAGCGACTAGTAGCACCCAGAGGGCCGTGATGCCACTTCCTGCGTTGACGAGAGCGACGCAAAGGGCGAGTAAGACCCAACCAACAACATCATTGCCAACACCGGCAGACAGTACAATGACACCGACATTTGTTCCAAGGAGTTTTAATTCGGTCAAGATACGGCACAAGACTGGGAAAGCCTGCTGAATGAGTAGCTGTCATCCACAGTTGGATGTCATAACGCTCACCGTGATCGCCATGGCAATGCCAATAAAGAGCAGATACGTTCCGAAATCGATATGAGCCATTCCAGGCTCCGTTCGGAACGTGTGATACAGGCCATACGAGATCGCGGAACCGAATCCGAATGGCAGAATCATCCCCGCAGCCGAGACGCTCGCCGCCACGCGCCAATTACTGATGAGAAAACGCAAGTCGGTCTCGAGGCCGACGAGGAACAGAAAAAGCACGAGACCCAGGTTGGCGACAAGAGTCAGGTTGGGAATAGATGCAGTAGGGAAGATTGCATTTGTAAACCCGGGAATCCGTCCCATTACCGATGGACCCAAGACGATACCGGCAATGACCTCTGCGATCACACGCGGCTGTCGGAGCTTGGAAAGCGGCCAGTGAATCAGGCGACATAGAATAATGATGATAGAAGCCTGGTCGATTTAATTTTGAGCTTTGCTTATCATGATGGGATACGGACCTGAATGATGAAAATAACAATGGGGTTCTTGGGGTCATAGTGGGACGGATTTCCACCTTCGAGAATGCCACCCTGCGGCGGCACGGTCGGGGAGCTGGCGACCGACGAGGTGGTGGTTACCATGGCCTTGGGGCGTGGCACTATGAGCGCCTGAATTCAGAGATTACTCGCAAATTGGATGGAATTGATGGAATGGGGATGGAAGACAGAAAAGAGAGGAACGTCGAGAGGGAACAGGTCGAGATAAGAGGATCATATTTCATGGCACTTGACTGGGATGCCTGGTGATGCCTGGAGATTCTAGATCCGGCGGCTATCTTGGCAGCTGATCCACGTGGTTAACCTGAGGCAGCGTTGAGTCTTGGCGCGGGGATAAAATGGGGAGACACATTTCACCCATGTACATCAAGATACATTAAGCCTACGGAATCAAATCAAGTCTCAAGATCAATCTTATAATCTATGCATAGAGGTTGCATCTTAGTTGTTATGAATTCATATTCATTTCTCCTCGCATTCGACGACCTTTTTGGTTCGTTTTTCATGATTTGTTGGAAGGATTTATAGGTCATTCGGCATCTTCTCTAAGCCACAGTCTGGCTTGGGACTCCACACAATCATATGTTAATGTACCCCAGTAAACCCAATTTCTTCCCAGTGACGTCGTCAGCCATATATCTAGCATGCTACCCCGGTCTTTGTCTACATGCTTTCTATTGGCTGATGCGGTTATACACAGTATATATCAAAACACGCATGATCGGATACACACACAACTTCTGGTGACTACTGATCATTGGTATTGCCAGGCTTATCAAACATAGCTCCACTAGATTCACGAGGCACAAACTGATCATACATCGTTTGCAGCGTGGGATGAACCACTGTATTCTGCGACAGAGAGACATTCGATTGCGGAAGTTGCAGACCATCTCGCATTGCTCGTAGGATATTGCTCCGCGGTGGTTCCGGCGAAGTAGAGAGGGAAGGCGTTACATTCATGCTGTCGGCAGGCGTTAGCGAAATGCAGCAGTAGAGGCTGTGGCAGACCTCCCATGCTCGTTGAGCAGCGAGGTCATCTGCAGCCATTGCCAGAAGCCACCCCATAGCTTTCTCTACCATCAGAGTGATTTTGGCAGCCTCTTCAACATCGAACTTGACGCAGAAATCAAGCTCGATCAGTAAGATAGTCGCGGACTGCATCAGATAATGGATGATACACCACCAGGGCGATAACTGGACCAGCCAGAGCACATCCGGCGTGTCCGGTAATAGGTCCAGGATATCGCAGGCGGAGTCAACACATATCTTTGCATTCTTCCGTTGGTCCAGTGGGGGGTTGTGGACCTGACCGGGGCGAAGCCGATCGGTGCGGCAAAGAGAAGGGCGGGAAATAGTGATTTTGGTGCTATAGAAGCGAAAGGCAAGGCTCCATCGCTGCCGTTCAAATGGCTTCGACCTCTGCATCGGCCTAAACTGGAATGCATCTGGAAGACTGTTACTCCACGCGTCTGCGTCTCTTACCAGGTCCACTATGGCGGCGCCGACTTCCGGCCAGGGTTCTCTAGACCCGCCTGGTGCATACAGCACGTCAATTGCTCGCCGCATGATCATCGTTATGTCAATGAAATACAAAAAGTAAAGAGAATTACTAGGAGCGGCCTCGTTGATGGTCGAAGCCAGGTAGTGTCCTACTGACGGTGCAGGTTTAGTTGAAACTTGGGAAGGGGGGTGTTTGTGCCTTCGCGAGGAGAAGGCTTGCATATAGCCATATCGGACACTGTAGTCCGAGAGAAGTTGGGACGCGATAGGTCCATGAAACTGGTCCTCTTCGTAAGGAATAGGGAGAGGTGTGGTGCAGAATGTATCTGCAGCACTCGTGGGACGGCCAGTCATGATAGAGAGCGTGTTCTCCAGCGTGTATATGGACCACCAAACTCGATATCGGAGCTCTTTAGAGAAATTCGGCGTGTCCTTGCTCTCGCTGCGGAGATTAATCCCCAGAGCGATGGCGGACCTCATGGAGACACCACAGGTTCTCCATGCCCTGCAGATCGTATTAGATGCATCATTTTAGGTTTATGAGAATGGACATTTACCTATTGACGTGCCCCATTGACATGAGCCAAAACGCGCTCAAGCCTTCGGCCTGCACCTGCTGCAGGTTGGGATGATCAAAAATCTGGCCATTCGTAAAATTGAGCTTCTGAGCCCGCGAAAAATACTCCAAGGGCCCATCGGTACCTTCCATCAACGGCTCCGAAAGAAGACGTTGGAGTTTGGCGCCCAGAGCAAAGATTAAGTTCAGAATCGCAAGCCACCTTTCTGGTGGTCGCATATTTGGCCGGGAATAATATAATGCATACTGCTGCATAAATGGAATCCTACCGACAATGGGAAAAGAGGGATGAACCGCGTCAAAATAGAGGTGTATAAGTCTATCTCCAATAGTACGCGAAGGACGATCATAGGGGGCAATACTATGATCGACTAACAGATTCTGATCATCCAGAAAATAACTTACCGAGGTCAATGCCTTGGAACCGTTGCCAGGTGAAGCAGCCTTGGCCTCCGCCAAAGGAGTGGCCCTGTCTATTTCCTTCCTCAAATCACGTATCCATGAAATTTCGGAATGCGACCCTAGATAGCCGAACGCGTGTAGTTGCTGATTCCGATGGTAGTCCTCCTCCACATAGTCCACGGCAAAAGAAGGATGAGTAGGGGTGGGATGCGTCGCGCTGACTGGATCTGGGGATGGGGGCCCAGCGATCGAGCTCCTCTATTGAAAGTGTTAGATCGAGAAGGCGAATGGAAAGAGACGGGGTTGACTTACTCCATGCAATGTCCTTGTAATAAGCTCCGCATCTTGAACATCGACTCTGGATCGTAGGTGCTGCAGTAATTCTTCGTAAAGAGCAACCTGCTGTTCAAGTTCTTCGATTTGCCTATACAAGTCTAAGCAGAATGTTCAAGCTTGTCCCGATCTCCTACTAACCTTTCCCTACTCTCGCGTTTACTTTCCAGCGACGTGCAAGTGATGCCAAAGCTGACACAGCGAAGACATGGCCGATGCTCACTACACTTGGCTTTTTGCTCCCTGCATGCCGCACATGCCGTCCTGATGCGCCGGTGGCCGGTGGTTCTCGCAGGAGCGAGTCGCGGGATCGCAACTTTCACCGACGGTACTTCCTCAGACTGTAGCTGCTCTGTTGATGCTCTGCTGAACGAGGAATTTGACACATTCTCAGAAGGGTCAGAAAATCGCGACTGCTCGGTCCGTTGTGCATCTTCAGACTCCATAACATTGTCAACAAAAAGTGTTAAAAGACTGAAGCTCTGAGCGACAGAAGTCAGAATGCAAAAAACATGATTGTTATTGCTGCCATATTAGGTCAGCATTGGTGACATCAATCCTCCCCACTAACAATGGAGCTGCCGAGGCACTGATTGGCCGGAATGGAGTTCCGACCGTACTAAGACATCGCAGGAAGGGGCGGGTTCTGCATATCTGTGATTGATTTGTCCTGGTTTGCTCTGGCATGACCGCCGCGTCATAATGATGTGTGCGGGGGTCTTATTGAAAAGGAAATTGAAAAACTGTGGTGCACAGACTGTAGATCTTGAACAGCAATCATTCTTGAGCAATGCTGAATAGAGTTGACGTACCTGTACCTTTCTGATCTGTCAGCTACAGCTCCCAAGAAACCAATCAAGTCAATCTGTCGTTGGATCCGCAGTCTCACGGCTCCGACTCGGGTCCGGCCATATTAAGTCAAAATGTCCTTGTTCCTGTGTTAAGTACTATGACGCAAGGGAATAGGTAGCCTTGAAGAGGTAATAGTTTGAGCATTCATTACATAGGAGTAGCAGAAAAATATGCGCTAAATGTTTATGAAATATACTATTCACAGGACATAAAATGATTAGTGATGACCGGCATTTTTAGTGCCGCGGTTTTGCCGCCAACTCTTGAACAAATTACTTGGTTCCATGGCAATGGATTCGATCTATCCAGCGCCACGGGAAATCCGTCAAGCATAGTCCCACTGTCTAGGTAAGATCTTCTGGGTCTGTCACTGGCTGAGGTCCAAGTGACGAATGGGAACGGAGTCCCTGAAACTTCTAACAGTGGATCTCTCATTTTGAGTAATTGGATCAGTGTTCCACATTCATAATCTTCCCAGGGGTCAAACAAACTGTCATATCGGGTGTTGCTTATGGAAGGTGCCCTGGATCTTCAATGAGGGAGCATACATTTGGTTCAAACGCTCCGGCATTATGCACTAAGTCTTCCATCATTAGCGACTGCACCTCTCTCGAAATCTAAGTAGAAGTCAATCTTTATATAGGGTAACAATAAACAATGATATGGTCGCTGAACAGCTATTCACGTAACATCCCACCAGATGCGAACCCACAAGGAGAAGAACCTAAGCCAGCAAGATCAATCATTGTTGCGGACAAAACTCCCTCTCAAACTCCCGTCTCTCCAACTCATCTTCCTCCTCTTGACTCATCGGCGGCGCGGGATTAGCCTCACCCTGCTCCATGCGTTGTCGCACCCGCTCCATATCGACCGTCTGATTTGGAGGAGTAGCCAGCATCTCTCCGACCAGCGCCGCTTCTCGGTGGTGATTATTCCTTTGTAAATGTCGATGGAACGCGCGCATCAAGTACGACCGCAGCGGATTGTCTTCTTGACCCTGCGCAGATCCAGGAGGAGGATTACTTGGCGAGGTGGAGGGGCCTGCATCCCCAGTTCCTGAACGGGCAGCGCGTGTTGGAATGGTCTGTGCCGGAGCAACAGGAAACGGCGTCCCGTTGATCTTCTTGTGTGCGTAGTCGGCTACTGCGCGCAGACACATATTGCGCAAGCCGTTTTGGAGCCGCCAGTCTCTGATCTCGTCGGGGACCACGGGACCAACGTAGACTGTGTTTGGATGGTCGAGAGCAAGAGGCCAAAGATCTTCTAGTAAGGCGGATTGTGATGCATGCATGGCGAACAAATCTCCCCAGACTAGGCTCCCCAGGATCCGCATCTGGCCGTGGTATCCGGGCGATTCGTCTGGACGATCGGGACCCTCGGATGGGTTCCACTCGGCGTCGACAGCTAGCACGAACCCTGCAAAATCTCCGTCGCGCGCGGTGAGCAGGGCAGAGGAGTAGCTTGAACTCGTATACGAAGCAACGCTGGGCTCGTCGACTACGAGGAAAACTCGATCATTTACCTGGTCCGGAGCGTCGAGAGGCGAGGGACCGAGATCATGGAAGTGCCTATAACGTTAGAATTCGAACAATCAATCTCGGACAGAACTCACTTCCTTGCAGCCTCAACGTCTCCTTCTGGAATTCCCAGTTCCTTCCCATCCTTCCAATGCAGCTTCAGATGCGGCTTGATCACGCCCGAGCCCGTCTGTCCGCGACCCCAGTCCGCAATGTGTTGCTCTATTTTCTGCTTGCACGCATCCCACTCAGCATCGCTCTGCTTATAGGTCAACCGGTAGATAGCCAGCCCGAAACTCTGACGTCGATCGTTCGGGCTCTGAATCCAATACAACAACCTCGTAATCCATGGCTCCCGGGGTACCGGCTCAACCGGATTGCCGCGCACTTCCCGGCGCAGCTGATGCTGACCATTGATCTGGTCGAGGCACGCCTGGTGCAGTGACACCGGATCAGCAAGATGGTGAGTCTCACCCCTGGCGCGCGCCTGCATTATGCTCTGGTATCTTGCTGTGCGTGTGACCTGCTTGAGCCTCCGCGAGCATGCTTCTCCACGCACCGACCAGACTGTTGAACGAAGAGCAGGAGGGATATTCGACGGGACGGCTGGTGCAGTGTAGCCCTTGTATCCGTCCATTGGAATAAGAATACCGTAGTCGGCGACGCAGTTGATCTCGGCCAGCTTGTGCAGCGCGTCGGTTGTCCGCCACTGGATCCTGTCTAACGTGTCCAGGTCCACGGGACGATGTAAACGCAGCGTAGTGAGTAACGGAGCGCGAAGGGCGCTGACTTTGACCGTCACCCAGCGATGTGCCCGCTCCGTCATGACCTCAAAATGGGCCGTCATGTATGCCGTCCACAGGCCCGTCACGCTTACAGACGGCTGCTGCTTCTCTGCACGTTGTCGATTCAGCATAACTTCTAGCTCCCTCCAATGCTCCCAGATTAGGTTAAAGGTGTCGCGCATGTTCGCCATCACTTTTGGCTGATTCAAATACTCAAAGGTTGCACAAACGGCCGAGAGATGCTGACATGCCACGTCAAAATTATCTGTCTTGTTCAGGCCCTTCTCCTTCCATCGCTGCTCACAGAGCGGGACAATCCCCTCCCACAATCTGTTCTTTAGGGAATGGATATTCTTCCCGACACAGCACAACCGATCCCCATCCTGCATGGACCCAATGCGATTCATGACCCGGTCAATGATGACGGTTTGATCGGCATCCGGATCAGGACTCGTCTGCGTCAACAGGATCTCGTCCGGTGTCATACGCACAAGATCGCATGCCTTGCCATTGGGAAGGGGAGCGCCCAGCGCAAACTCTAAGAAATGTGCTATGGTCTGCGGCTCAATGAGGCGATCGACTGGAAGTGGATCTTAGTATGAGGCTCATTCGGTGATCCGGCGCGTCATGCTGACAGAAACCTACCGATTTCCAGCTCTTGGTTCTCGATGTGTACTTTGGTGAGCACACTGTTCATTGACACGTTGTTGACGTTCGTGTGTGAATACGGCCGTCTTCCGCTCGCCATTTTGTCCCTGTGTTGCGAACTGCGATTCAATCTGCGCGAAATGCGACAGAAAGGGGGATGGAGTTTTGAGGCACCGGAGGGTCCAGGCACCAAGCGGCCAAGCGAGGTGTTGCCTAGTGTAGTTAATTGCCAAGCATCTTAGTTCCTTTTGTTTTCGGTTGCGATGGCCCTTGGACGAATCCCTGATCGGGAAAGTCGGGCTAGCTGCTTGGTGGAGAGATTTAGTCTACCTGGTCTCGACTGCTGCCTGAGGCAAGACTTTCTGCCTGGTTGCCTAAGAAAAGAGAACATGAAGGTAAGCTTTCTACCGCGAGGTAGATGACCCCATAAAGTAGTGAAGCTAGGCTGTTGTGATAGATATCGAATTTATCTTCCCGCACAGTTGTAATGCTGGCTCAGAGACAAGCCATAGGTGTAAATACTCCTTGCAGGCGAACATATCACCTAGTTCTCTTGGCATGCCTTACACTCCTACTGTATCTAGATAAACAGGTCCGTCAAGTCATATTTCTCTGTCTATATCTCAATCTTGGTTGGGATTCTGACTGGCTGGGCGTGGCCCTAGTGTGACATGGCAATCATCCTTGCACGCGGGGCCAACAGACATCAGCCCCTAAATAGCCGGCGTCTCCCGGTCTACAGCCCCCAGATTCAAGGCGTCATGCGTTGCCGATAACATGTGGCTCTACAACCTGTATATAAGTTTGTGTCAGTCCGTCAGTTACTTCAGACAGGGAGAACAACAAACAAAAGCCACATTCGTCCATGCCGAACAGCATGCGTCCCAGATCGTTGGATACCTCGAACGGCAAGAGTGGAGGAATCTGCGACAGCAATGCGTCGCTCCATTGCGATGGTTCTTCTCTGAATCGTTCCTAGCAAACCAATGGACGGCGATTCTCACCAACTGCGGGCCTCTTCGACAAACTGGTCCCCCCACCGTCACGATGGGCTGGTTCATCATGACTGCTAAAGTATCTCTGCAATTTAGTCGTGTCTCTCTCGCCTTATCACTTCACATGACACCTTCCGGCAAAATCATCGGCTTGCGAGTCCTCACGTTGCAAGCAGCGGGCATGATTCCACCCTGGCAGCCACCTCCATATGCAGCCGAGGATATTACTTCCATCCCTCTCACGCTCGGCAAGGGCCTGTACGGAGTGGCAGCTGAACTAACCACTCCAGCCTCCGGTCAAACATCCCAGATATATCCCTGTATTATATTCATCGGCGGCTCCGGGCCCATGGACAAGGACTCCACCATTGGCGCCCTAAAACCATTCAAAGACATGGCACTTGGTCTTGCCAATCGCGGTATTGCATCCTGTCGGTTCGATAAGTTTACGTGCACGATTGCTGGGAAATTACTCACGCGCAACACGACAGTCACGCTTACAGATGAATATGTCTACCATGTGAGGCATGCCATACGCAAGGTCCGTCAGCACCCTAATATCGACCACGACAGGATATTTCTCCTGGGCCATAGTTTGGGCGGGTTGATCGCTGCTCGTCTTGCGGCTGAGCCATCGGTAGCAGGCTGTGTGCTTATGGCATGTCCGGCGCAACCGCTATACCGGTGTGCTATTCGCCAACTGCGGTATTTCAAGAGCCTCGATGAGTGTAGTGGGCAGCCCTCTGCCGATGAGCCAAGTACAGATAATACGATCGAGACGCTGGAGAAGCAAGCAGAGGTAGCAGGTGGTCCAGCTTTGACCCTATCAACGCCAGCCAGCCAACTACCGTTTGGACTCGGTCCGGCATATTGGCTCCAATATCCTGAATTCGACCCAATTCAATCCCTGCAGAGAGCCGAGTGTCCTGTCCTGGTGCTGCAGGGTGCACGGGATTATCAGGTTACTGTCAACGAGGACTATGCGGCGTTCTATGCAAAGTTCAAGGATCGCCAGAATATGCACTTTCAGCTGTATGAGAAGTTAAATCACTTGTTCGTACCTGGGGAGGGGAAGTGTACTCCGGCTGAGTATGATATTAGAGGAAGTGTGGATGTGGCTGTTGTGGATGATATCGAGCGATGGGTTAAGACTGTTGATTCTACTTGAGTTATATCCTAGATGCTCTTTTTGCCTCTGAATATAGGTCATGAAACGACTAATACTGGACAAACCGACTATATTCGAATGTAAGGCGGGCCACACCTGTCAACGGCAAAGCTGACATGCTTGGTCATAAATACTCACAGATGAGACTACTTGGACATCCTCGACGACACAAAATCCACCAAATCAAAGAAGCTCTTCTTGTAATACCGCTCCTGCGTCGTCCGATTAACCACCTGCAGCCCAAACTGCTGTTTGTAGTCTCCAAACTCCCAATTATCCGCCCACGACCACGCCAGCGCCCCCATAACGCGCACCCCGTCTTCATGAATTGCCTTAAGGATTTCCGACATGAACGAAAGATAGTAGATACTCCGCGGAGTATCAAACAGCTGATCTGACAGGTCGGTCTTCTCGGCTTCCCCGAAAACAGGGAACCCAAACTCTGACACGAAGACCGGGCTGCGGAATGTATTCCACAGATAGTTAAGATACTCCCGGAGGTAGGTGGGTGTGATGTAGACGTAGCTCTGCGAGCGGTAGCCGATATTCCAGCCGTATCTGGTCTTCGTTTCCTGGACCACGCAGTACGGGAAGAGCTTGCTTGAGGCGTTGGCAGCGCAGGCTTCTATTCCCTCGGGCGCCGGAGAGACAACTGTCGCCGTGTAAGGGTCGATGCCGAAGAAATCAGACGTGTTCGCGATATAGGACAGGTCGTGCTTGCTGAGCGGTTTTGCACCGCGGAGGGTGTTCAGGATTGAATCCGGGTACTGCTGCCCGAGGAAAATCGGGTTCGCGAACAGCCCCAGCTGCATCTCCTGGAAGCGGTTTGCGGCCTGGACGTCACTGGCATTACGGGGGTTGCGAGGCACGCCGAAGTTGTCGTTGAACTTGATGCCCATTTTACCGGTGGCCTTTAGGACGTCGTGGTAGAAGTGGTATACCTGCGCGTGTGCGCGAATGACGTTGTCGGCGCCCTTGAAATTGAACGAGTAGAGGAGGGGCTCGTTGAATGTCACCCAGATGGGGACTCGGTCGCCAAAGTGTGTGAGGACGATTTTGGCGTAATTGACAAAGGCATCGACAAATGTCTCGTTGTGGTAGCCTCCGTTATTGTAGCCAATGTCCGGTTTGGCTGTGAAGTTGCTGCCGGCCACGAACATCCAGGGACTATCGAAATGAAGAAGAGTGACAATTGGCAGCATGCCAGCGTCGAGGACAGTATTTATCAGGTCATTGTAGTGCTTGATGCCCTGCTCGTTTACTGGGGTTCCGGGTAGAACAAAGGGGAGGATACGCGTCCACGGAATGGAGAAGCTGTAGTATTTGACTCCAATGGCCGCTAGGCGTTGGATATCCTGCTTGTACAAATAGTAGTTCTCGTTCGTGACGTAGTCCTTTGGCTGAGTCGCGTTGGCTAGTTTCTCCAGGATGGTCGGACTGCGGCCCTCCAAGCCCACTGCTCCCTCGACCTGCGCAGCACTACCTGCTACGCCAAAGACGAAGTCATCAGGGAAGCTATAGCAGTCTGTTGGGCCAAAGTAGTCGGCGGGCGGCAGGACCAGTGAACTGCTAGGTACCGGCGTGGGACTGACAGTCGTCGAGTACAGGCCGGTTGTCGTATAGTTCTGGATGCTCGCCTGCTGCCACAGCATCGACCAGGCGGCTTGTCCATAAGGGTCTGTGGTATCAGTGGCCGCGATGACGGTCTGATAAGGGAGCCAATTGCCCCATGTTGTCGTTGCTGGAACGGGGCTGAGATGTTTCAACGCATGAGAATAGTGAGGCCCATAGGTATGGGTGGTCGTGGGCTTCGGCACAGAGGTGGCAAAGCTGTAGGTATTAGTATACTTCTCTTCTGATCCACTATTGGCAATCAACTCACCGAACTGTCTCATTTAGAGTATAGGAGAACGGGTGAAAGTAGTACTCCGGGGAGGCAGCTGGCTTTGTGCATTGTGGTCGATCAGGATAGCCAGTCGTCGTGATATACAGCTGCTGTGCCTCAGCAGCACCCAGCAGTATAACAGCCCATGAAAATATAGTCTGCATTGTGTTCAAGTGGTAGGAACTCAAGTCACGCATAGCTTACAGCCAGAGGCACCCCTCTTATACTGTTTTCATAGCGCCAGGCATGCCCCATTCGCATTTCAGTCCGATGCCGCTTGGTCGCAGACAAACTGGCAATGATCAACGGGTCGAACTGGATTGTATCATTTGTATGGACAGAAATGGGTCGCCACCCCGCAGTCTCCAGATTTCCCCAACCCCACATCCGAAGTATCCCCGAGATGGTTGATGACTTCATGTGGGGTAAGGGAAGCAACAGGCGGAAAATATATTCCAAATACATGGCATCAGTTGTTGCATTCAGGTCACACAACGACATCCCCGTACTGATCCGTACATCCGAGCCCGTCTCCTTGTATTACAGCAGTATACTTTGGCAGACGTCAGGCAATACCACTGGAGCACACAAATTCAAGCGCTAGAATACATGTTTACAGAAATTGTGAGACACAAGGTAGTCCATTTCCACGGGAAACTTAAAAGGTCAATTAGCGAGAATTCTGTCTTGATCTTTTCTTTCTATCTCGACATGTACAATGTATTGACCATCCAAACGTTGTCAGCTATTGTCTTCCAAGCAATGCAAAAAGCCGAGGTACTCTCAATAACATTTGTTCCTCATGAAAGGTTGCTTCTACCATATTTCCTCCCTATTTCCCTTTGATTATGGAGACGTGGGAAATGCTCGAACTCGGACAGCCATATTGCCAGGTGTGGTACCCCCGCCAGCACCTGCATGTACGCAGTAGGCATCATTCAGCTGGAGGTTCGAGCAGTCATCCTTGAGATCGGGATTCCACTGCTGCAACTGCGCCATAGTAATGCCATACACCGATTCGATCTTGGCGCAATAGTCGCCCGATTGTACCACATACCACTGGGGCCAGGTTAGTGAGTCCCAGTCCAAGGATACCTTGGGTTCTTACCTCGTAGCAATTTCCGGTAGTCCCACTGGGCGCGGGTGCCGGTGCGGTCTGGTAGCTTGACGTGGTCGTGGTTGTAGTCTGGTTCCAGTCTGCTGTTGGAAGAACGCAGTAGTATAGCCCGGGGCTGAGGTTTGAGCATCCCGCGTCAATTTGCGGGTTGATGGCTTCAAATAGGGAAACGGTGATGGTGAAGTTGAGGGCAATGAGCTGGCAGTAATCCCCTTTGTTGACTTGATAACACTTGCCACATTTTGGAGTTGTGCCAAAGGCCACGGGCCCTGGCGGAGCGACAGTCTCTGTGGCATGGACGCCCGTCTTGGTGACTGTGGCGCCAGGGATGGTTGTGCCCGCCCAGAGCGCCGGGCTGGCTAACACAGATCTGATTGCCCGCAATGAGGTTGCTGCAACCAGCGTTAATGAAAGGGTTCCAAGCGCAAAGCTGGGGCAATGTGATACTTGATGCATTGGTAATCTGCATGCAAGTATGCCCGGACTTGATCGTGTAAAGCTGGCAGGCGTTTGGGATACAAGGTTCCTGTCCAACTGGACGCCATTAGTTCATGTTCGGTAGGTTTCTTGCACAAGGGTGCCCCGCTGTGTTTATAAGAGAGAGCTTTTGCAATGCTAACGACCGTAACCGCGTAGACCTAAAGGGCAGGTCGAGTAAGCTGTCAAGCCTGACAGTGCTCACTCCCTGGCTTACCTGAAGCCACTGGTCAAGTGAAGAAGAAAGGTTTGGTAGAATGAGGGGCGCATGGTCGAGGAGAATATGGATGTGCTGGTTTAGTCAGTTGCAAATGGGAGAAACCTTTTGAGCACGATATCCAAATGATAGTAGCTGCAAGGCTGTCTTCCACGTAGCTGCATGTGTCCTGTAAAAATCGGACAACATGATGTATATGGAACAATCTACAAGAGTGCGAAGAAAGGGGTGGAGTAGCGCATGAGATGAATCGGTAATTCAATCGACCCTGTCTGTCTTCTGATCAATCGCGGGAGTTTCGAGGTTCACGCCCCCCAAATTGCATCCTCCATCGGTGGCACAAGCTCCGAGGTGTCCTGAGAGTCAAGCAGCGCGGGGTAGAACTTGGTGATCAGCGAAGCGATTGCCACCTTGAACGTCCCGGAGTACGACAATCGCTGCTCTCCCAGCGTGACGTCAACCGCCTTCATGAACGGCGCAGGAGAACCCGGTTTCGCATCCAGAACGGAACGCATACACTCCTCGTCGACCATGAGGCACATCCGTGTGTGGAGGCCGGGCTCAAGTCTGTCCTCCTCAGCATCGTCGTCCACCTCCTCTGCGAACAGGCGATAGGCATACGCCACCCTTGCTGGCGTCTCCCCTGCCATTGCTTCATCCGACACAAACTTGAGAAACGCCCGGTCGCGAATCCGCTCAATCCCAGATTCTGCCGGGGCGGCATCTATCCCCTCATCGAGGATATCGCCGTATTTGGCCAGAAACTTTTCCCAGAGTGGTTCATCGGAATAATACGTGCGAAACACCAAAAAGCCGAAATCAGACCAGTCTTCCTCCTCGACTAGCGAGACTAGCGTTTGCAGGTACTCGAGATCGGCTGCTGGCGATGGGATTTGCATTGGGGGAGCCCTGCGCTCGATGCGTCTCTCATTTATGCAGGCCATGTTTTCCGCACTGATGAGTTTGGCTTCGGCTGCCTGGCGCTCCATCAGATTTTGTAGTTCCTGGTCATGTCAGCATCTCCTCTGCTTTCTTTGCTCTTGTTAATATTTCCACGAACCTGTTCTGACAGGGCTTCAAGGGCGGCATCAGTCTGGTTCTGGTACATCTCCTCCGTCCATCCTGGGGGCAGGTAATGTAAGATTTGGTCATCAGCCATTGTAAATGTGTTGGTGATCTGCTGGAAAGTTGGTCGAGATGGAACCCAGTGTTTGGAGGGACGAGGATGATCATCACATGATCCCGCTATTAGCGGGGTTTCGGACTTTTCATATTACTCTATATATGGAGTAAGTCTGGGTGATGACAGGAAGGACATGGTTATGTATAGTTTTTAAGCTAGAAACTACAGCCTTTCTACACTGTAAATTACTACTTTATAAGAACTAGTTAAGTCAATCTGGGCTTTCATATCCATAAATATAGCCGTATCTTATTCCAACACCACCCCTAGTGATGCTGGTTTACCAACTATGATTCTGTGAAGTTACAGTTCTTAGATTATTTAATATTATGCTTGGTATGATGATTGCTCTCTTACACTGGATTACTATTTTTAAGATATGCTGCTAGATTCTTAATTTTCTAATCTTTTCCCTGAGTATGCCTGCGATCACTCTATAGTACCTGCTCTGGAGCTGATCTGCTTAGCCTGAGGCTAGGTTGACCTATTCTTTGAGTTCTAGGTAAGATTCAGTGTTTTTAACAGCCCATGGTTTAAAACTTAAATGATTAGCTTATACATTAAGATCATTTCTCAAGCTTTCCATTACCTGCTTTCTTGCTACATGTCTATCCTCCTTAGCTTCTATTTGCTCCTTTATTGCTTGCTTAATCTCAGCCTACTGTTTTGGAGTGATATTTATAACTTTAATAGCTTTTAGATAACTGTGATGATGGAGTAGTTCGCCCTAATATTAAGTTACTGTTCTTGTATATCTATGGAGAGTCTTAAAATAGCTTAAGCTAGAGTGAATCATAAAAAGAGGAGAATCAGCCCTTTGGAGGGAGTTAGCAAGAGAAGAAATATTAAAACTCGTCACTGTGTTTGGAATAAGACTTCCTCAATGGAGTCTATGTTTTGTTAGAGGACAGACATGGACATGGTCTAAACCCTCTTATAGGATATTAGAACTGAGCAATAGTCGCCTAACAAGTTGATTGTAAGCTCGCTAAATGATACTGTTACTGACTGAAATCTGAATTCCACTAGCTATTGTCTTACTTGTCACCTGATATTTATTGCTGGAACTTGGAGAGTAGTGTATAAATACTTTTAAGTGTCTTTGAGAATTATTGAGAAATATGAGATTTACATAAACAGCCCAATACTGCCGAAGCTGTTGGGATGAGTTTAGGGCAGCAGGAATACGTGGAGAGATAAGGAGTGGCCAGATGATATGACATCACTCCTACATGCCTTGTAGTCCAGATGGGTCGATTGACGATGTAACTCAAGTCCGGTTCTCTTGAAGGCTTTTGCCAAGTGTAATATATCAGACGACATACTTGACAATAAGGAGCGCAGAGGCTGTAACTGAAGTTGCGTGTTGAAAACCGATAATAGAATTAGGCTCGGCAGAGCTTGAAACCTTGTTGATTGAGCCACCTAGCTGATCCATGGTCATAGTAATAAGATACAGTCTATCACTGCAAACCTCTGCCTAAACATATAATTAGATACTAGATCTGGTAGTAGCAACTCGATGCATAACTGAACAGTGGGAATCTCGACCAACACATACTAAACACGTGCAGGTTCAGCCCCTAGCCTACTAGACAGCTCCCTTTGACTTCATTGTAGGATTCTAATAGGCTGCTGGCAGATACTGAACCAGGCTGATTATAGAGGTTTGACTTTCAAAACTTTGGTGGCAAATTGAGGGATTGCAAGCGTCGTCAACTAGTCGTTTACTAGCAAAAATAAGTAGTAAAATCACCCCTTCCAGCAACGGACTGAGAGAATATGACTGGTTTGATCTGGAACTCCGACTTTGGATTGTACCGGATTATATCCATGAAGTCTGCGTTCTGTGTCACTGAGGTGTTGTCCGGGGTCATGCCACTCATAATAAAACTTGCATGCCTCGTGAGTTTGGTTATTATAGTGGATTTTCTCAGTCACAAGGCCCCTAGATGTAAAACCATAGCAGCCCGTTTGCGGATAATGATCTGAAGTTATCAGGTGGCCCATAAAGTTAAACTAGAGTTACGGAAAGTTACTCTCGCCATATTGCCTTTTTGGGTACCCATGGGTTACCGCCAGCACGCCAAGAACCCAAGGTGTCATATTTTGCTGTATGCAGTAGAAATACTTGCCTTCTGTATGTCAATTGCGTAGTGATTGTATATACTCCGTTATTTATTTGTCTTGGCAAGCTATAGGTCGGTCTGGGGTCGAAACCCAACCCGCGACTTGGCGAGGTCCGCAGCTCCTAGTATGGAACCATAGTCAATGTGATGTACGAATGTCTATTGCTCAAGCCTCAACTTTCTGTCTCCCAGTTCTCATCTTCGTCCGTGTATTATCTTTGTCTAAATGCGCCTTCTTGTCTTGAAGATGCACTGGATGCTCCTGACAGTTATGAGGTGACCAAAGCGTCCTTTGCAACGTAATTGACGAATGCTATTAAATTCAAATATGAGGGTGACATAGATACATCATATGACCATGTTCTCACGCGACTATTTACAGACATGGTCAAGATGGACTTTGTGTAACATTAGCTATAATGCAATCTTGTAGTTTGAGTTGTGCAAAGTAGTGCCTTTTCTCCATTTTCTCTTCCTGTACCGTCCACTTCTGCTTTTGGCCCGGTTTTCTTTGACTGTTACTTTCAATATTTCCAATCTTCTTTGATGCCTTCTGTTGAGAATCTGTCGTATGCCATGTCGGACTTAGATTCCTGTCGAAGAAAACCAATCCAGAAAGTCACATAGTTAATTGACGCAAGTTATCACCTCTGTCAGGCGATGGCCATAGTGCATGATCGACACCTACTAACTTTAACTACAATATGACCTTCTCCAGGAAACTAGTCAATGAGGCTTCAGCCTCTCATTCAATGAAAAGAGCATGCAACTATATATTCGAAAGACGATATTTGGAATAATGATGATTTTATGTCTAGAACAAACCTAAACAAATAAGACTTTTGTACTTTCCATGCGATGGTCTCATGTGTAGGTAGATGTGATACCTACCGTTCTGGCCTCTACCAGGGTTTGATACCTATCGCCATTTGCATTTGCCACGTAATCTCTAATAGCTATCTGAGCAAATACTCCACGGCAAGCAATGGCAAAGAATGTCTAGAACAGTCCAATTACAAATCCAGAATCTTCCTAGTAGGCAGCCAGACTCTCACTCGTGCAAACATATAAGTGTGGGTAACAGAAGCCAGAGAAACAGTCAGATATGCTCAAGCATTACAACGTATGATTCCGCCTATGCTTGAAGAATATCCCAAAATCCTCTTATAAACAGTGTCTGTTTTCCATCTTATTCTACTCTAAAAGTCCTGGGTTTCCCCAAGATACGACAACTATGGAAGACACCAGAATATGTGTTGAGCTTCTGCCGCCTGATAATGATTCAAGGCTCCCTCCCACCAATCTCGTGCCGCCTGCTTGGGGCTCTGGGCCATTGGAGCTTGCAATGGACAAATCTGCTTACTGGCGCCCAGGAACACAGCTTCATGTTAGGTTCCTCTCTGGAAGCGTTTTCGTGAAGGAAAAGGTCAAATATTTTGCTCAGACATGGGAGCAGCACGCCAATATTGACTTTGTGTTCGATGATTCGCCAAATGCAGAAATCAGAGTTGGCTTCGTTCAGGGCGGAGGCTCATGGTCCTATCTTGGGAGACATAATCTCAAGATTCCACCTGACAAGCCAACCATGAACTTTGGCTGGTTTGATGACAACAGCACCGACGAAGAATTCAGCAGAACCACCATTCACGAATTTGGTCATGCTTTAGGATGCATTCATGAGCATATGAGCCCTGCCGCCTCTATTCCTTGGGACTTCGACAAAGTTTACAAATATTTTACGGGACCACCAAACAATTGGACCAGGGAAGCTGTTGATCGAAATCTTTTCAACAAATATGCACCTTCAGCGGCATACTACAGTAAATTTGATCCGCTTTCAATAATGCTGTACCGAGTCTCAAATGATTTGACGCTCGGAGACTACGAAACCCCTAACAACACAGTGCTCTCGTCCACAGATAAAATGTTCATTCACTCGTTATATCCAGAGCAGACGCATAATAAAGCTCAATTCAGCACCCAAGAATTCCGTCCTCCGTCAAAGTCCAAATTGTTGAACGCAATGCAGGTTAATTTTGAGCCCAAATACCCCGAACCTCCAGCCATTGCTGTTGGCTTGACGGAGCTGAATATTGGCAAAGACTTCAATGTCCGTATAAAAGCATATGCTGATCGCGTCACACAAAGCGGGTTTGTTGTTCACGCCGATTCCTGGTCTAATACTATTCTTTACTCTGCGGGAGCTGCCTGGTTTGAGGTTGCCAGCACCGACACCGAATTCCAAGTTGGCAATTTCAACACCCTAGAGCTTCACCCGTGGAATGAGGCCAAACCACAAAATACACAACGTGTTGTTTTCGAACGTTCTTTTAAGGAGCCTCCTAAAGTTGTGGTCTGGCTCCAGGGATTCGATATGGATAAGGACAAGAACTGGAAGATTGCAGTTCATGCATCAAATATATCCAATGAAGGATTCGATATCCATATCGACACATGGGGAGGAGACAGCACACTCTACAGCGGCTCTGCATCCTGGATCGCGTATCCCGCAGACAAGGAGCGCATTGTCAGCGGGGTCGCGGATACTAGTATGTTCCAAGACCCGTCCTCCCAAGGACAGTACAAAGGAGGGAGAGTGAGCTTTCCCAAGGGAACATTCGACCGAAAACATCGAGTATATTTGGCTCTAAAGTCATTTAATTTTGTTAGTAAACATGATATGAGGCTCAAGGCTCTTGCAGAAAACGTCTCGAAAGACGGATTCGATTGGAAAGTTGAAACGTGGGGAGATAGTGTTCTGAATGGCGCAGGCGTTTCATATGTGGTAATTTAACTCAAAAGTGCTTTCATTCCTGTCTGGCTACAAGCAAACTCGGTACGATGACTAACTACAATCTAACTTCAGGCTTAGCTTGAATATGCTAATCAGACCTATAAATGGGTCTTAGTCAAAATATATTTTTCTTTAAGATTTCTTAATCGGGACCTCCATCAGATACATGCCACATCATGATGTTATCCTGCACTTTCTGAAAACCAACGTAACCCATACACTCCAAATATGGTGATGCTTGGACATCTAACATCAAACTTACATGGAATTGGCTCAGGACATATTTGATCTTCTTGGCACAGTGCTGTATTTCCATCTTAACCGTGCGCCTGCACATTACCGCTGCAACGCAGACGTACGCAGCTGTTGCAAGTTCTATGACGATCTGACTACAGTCAGTGACGAGACTCCACGATGCAGGGAAGTAGTAGTCGCGAAGAAGGGCCCTCCATTATGCATTCTGTCAGGCAAATACCTTTATAGAAGGAAACAATGTCGTCTTAAAGTGAGTTAAACCAACTGTCCACGGGCTCATCCAAGCCTAGGCTAAGCGGGATGTCTGAGGTCCTGAGATAGCGAGGAACCTCATTTCAGTTGTCCGGTGAACATTCTGGCCGTGTCGAGTAGTATATTTATTTTCGTCTGTCTAGAGCTCTAACTGAATGACTCAGGCATGCTAGCTGGGTGATGTAACCCTTCAGTTGCTTTATGATCAGCAACGTCCGCACGACAGAGAAAAAATATGGCTCAACAAGTCAATACGCCAAGCGATTAACATATGAGACATAGATCAGTGGTCTTCAGAGAATGCAATTAGGCTTGCACCGAGGGGAGCCGATGATGACCAATTTGCTTCTGACAGACGTAGACCAGGAGTTCCAGTGCAAGGGCCGCTTTGGTTACAGCTATGAGTGTCTTGATTGGAAGACAGCACGCAAAACTCGCACAGCCAGAACCAACCAGACCAAACACCTGGAAAGCAGAACACTAGCAGACTAAGCAGTAGAAGCCTTGGTAGAAGCAGAAGCAGTTGTAGAAGCACTTCTTTAGTTGATTGATAACTCAACCGAGAGCGCTCCGCAAGCAACGAGGACAATCTCAAGAATCTCTTCTCAGCTAATACACATTTCCCTGGCTGCACTACCGACACCTCACTCATAGCGCGCGCATGGGCTTGTTGGCCCACACTCTGGCAATCAGTAAGTATTGGGGATTTGATGTACAAGTCAAGTAAGTCTTTTGGAAAGGCTAAAACTCCTGATGTGATGGTATTATATATGTAGGAATGTAAGCTGTCACGTAGAGCATTTTCAAGTCTTTTTTAGGTGAAATATAGGATAAAGCTCCTTAATGTCTAGGTCTGTGGGGGTGTTAATGAACAAACATCTAGGACAGAGTGCAAAAACTCAGCAATATCATAATCATCTTGAAGTCTAGAGAAATATTTCTCTGCTGATAGGGTGCACAAGCTCTGGACATCATATTCATCTGCTAATGTAAAGACCTCTTGTATGAAGTTACAGCACAGACATATCTGGGCAAGCGCCATCATCCTCTTCAGATAAATAGGTATAATCTCCATAGAAACACGGTAGAAGTTTTCTTAACTATATGTTTGGAGCCAACAGCTATCCTGTGAATATCTGTTTGTGCTTCCTAGTATATCTTAGAGCATTTATTAATTTTATTAGCTATGGTACTTACCTTAAAGTTCTATGGTCGGAATGAATCAGTACAGCCATGTGAACAATGTCAACTTCTTTGATTGCAATTGTAATAACGGGACCTGTGAATCCCTGTATCTGGTCAGTTTTCCACTTTTTGCCTTTCTAACCAGACTCCCTGTACGCGCCCCTTTTTACCTTCTTATTTGTAAAAGGCAGCTGCGCTGCTATCGACTCCAACTTCAGCTCTTGGTCAATAATTGTAGCCTTCTCTGCAAGTGGGCAATATCCACTGTATTATTTTGTGTGATAGACAGACTGCAATGGAGAGCTGCAATCTTCTAGTTCACTTTGTGCTAGTAAATCTTATTCTGACTGCTACATTGAATGATAGGCCAATCACTGTGAAGATCAGTTCCCTATCTTTACACTGCGTGACCCTATGAAAGTTATGATAAATTTCGTAGTGGGATATTGATTTGCTGTGGGCATGCTCCATATGCCCACTGCCTGAGATAAGGCCTTACTTCGAACCACTTTGGATGTAAGCGAAAATGATCAGGTAACCTCTTCAGCTGCCCACGCCCGGAGAAACCATAGAAATTCGCCCACCCAGCGTTTATTGCCCCGGTGCAATTCTATACTTTGTAAACATTATACTGCTGTGCAGATCAACTTCTAAGTCTTCAGGTTGCTTATGCAGTCACGTATTCTAGCACAAAAAGCAAGATGGAAAGAATTTTTTAACAAATGATATTGTGTAAGACGGCATCAACAAACCCAGATGAACAGGAGCATGCAGATGGCTACAAAAGATAAAAGCACAGGCAGTCACTCTAGGTTGAGCAACTCTCTAATTTTAGTTCCCTGGTATGGTGGAACGGCCCTGTATCTTGCGATAGAATTGGCCGCTGTTCGCAATATATCTGGACTATTCTTTCTCTGCTTTTTCCTCAACCAAACTACTAGCCAGGGCACGTATAGCAGATCAAGCAAGCTGCTGGGATCCACCAATGAACTCCTGTCTGCCGTCCTGGTGATAAATCTGGAATAGGAGAGGTTTATCTATATCAAAAGTAATTGCTCTTGGGTCGTCAGTTGTCCCTGTATCCCTCATCACAGAATGATACCTGTCAAAGTAACAAGCAGTTCCTTTCCTTCAGTGTCCCATGCGCAGCTACCCTCATTGCCGAGCTGCTGCAAAGCAATCCAGACAGCACAAACAGTCCTCTCTTTTATCAGGTTGCTATTATTCGGAAACTACAGTGTTTATCTCTTGTCTGCAGTAGCCTTGAACCTACTAATCGAATCTAGGACCACAACTGTGGCAGGCGCCGGTCTGCAGTTTCTGCAAACCACATCCCAGTGGCCAATCCATCTCCTCTCAGTAATTATCCCAACGTCTCCTGTAACCAACATGTGGGAGTTAGATCTTGAGTCCATTCTATTTGAATTTTCCCATTTCCAGTAAATTACTCTCATCGTCTGGATCACAAGGCAAGAGGCGCAAGGTGATTCAAATGATAACCTATATGCGCACGGGACAACAGCAGGATAGTATTTTCTTCAATAGTAAAGGTGATGCGCTCAATCGCCCCACTGTCAATGGAACTGATGCTTGGGCTAACTGTTGGGGAATCTAGGAGACATTGTTCAACCAGACCCATTTCGGGGGGAAGTTATGTTAACTTTATACATAGAGTTCAGTAATAGTAATTCGTAATTCTTCTCATTTTGAATCAGCGCTCTGACAGCCTAAAGAACCAGGCCGCCGAAGCACCCAATGCAAAACTTCCACATCATCTTCTGTATCTTCGCCGACTACTCTCCATCCACATTTCGTCAGTACCTTCGCACTTGCAGTGTTGATCTTTTCTGTAACAGCAAACAGTGCGAACGCTTCGTCCGCCTCCAAACCGTGACTAATGGAAGGCCCGGGAAGTAGTAGCTCCCACCACGCCGTACTGAAGCCCTGAAGCGCTTCCGTCGCATATCCCTTTCCCCATGCTCGAGGATGAAATAAATAGCCAACCTCTGGATCGCCCGAAGGGGTGAGAGCTACAACGCCCAGAACACCGATTACAGCGTCTTCCTCATCCCCTATCAGTGTGCTCGATGACAATGTAGGATTGCTCAGATTCGGGTCTTTTTTCTTGACCACGACGAAATTATAGCTCATCCGCTCCTGTGTACCATTTTCGCAAGTGTCACTTCCAGACATATACAAGTCCATCCACTTCCTGGTCTCCTCTAGTGACAAGTCAATGCGTCCCTGCCGTGTCCAACGCATGACCTCCGGGACTGTCCGAAGCGTATGAAATGCAGTGATGTCTGTGTCTCTGAATGGCCGCAGCAGAAGGCGAGCAGTGTGAATCGTAGGGGTTTGAGAAAACCTGGGCAGGTAATGAAGAGGCATGGCGTTGATTCGATGTCGTTTCGCGATCTATATTGGAAATAACATATAGAATTAAGGAAGTCTTCTTTCAATAAGAATCAGCAGACATTTTCATATATACCGCGCCCATAGGGAGCCTTCTCACTTATTTGTGCTGATTTAGGGTGCTCGAAACGGGAATTTTACTGCCAGCTATGAGTGGGACACGTCTTTTATTTATGTTTTACGAAACATCCAGGATTCGTGTCGTATGTTTTCAGGCACCCATCACGAACACGAGTGAGCCTTCGTATTCGTTCCCACTTGAAAGATATAACCCGACAACACCTTGACAGTAGTCACACCTTGCAATTTACTCCATTTACATGTTTAAAATTTCTGAGTCTACTTTCTCACTAAGTGCCTATTAAATTAATCCCGCTCGTTCTAGTTCCTAAATTGCTCTCTTTTTGTTGTTCATTATCCTCGATGGCTGTCTGCCTAACGTTTTTAAACGATGTTTACTACGCTGCCTGCGCTTGGCATAGTGCTTTATTCTTGTGATCTGCTGCTTTGCCTCGGATAATTTTTTTGATCCCTGCTTGGTGCTATCGTGGTTAGAGTGCCTCATAGCCGCTAGTTCTGCGCCCCATTATAACTATTTAATAGCGAAAACGTTTCTCCAAGCTCTAGCCCAACCGCTCGTCTCCTGAAGACATATCAAGTTGAACATGACCGAATAATGCCATACAAGAATGAATGATTGTATCGTAGCGCAGAGCCCGGTGCGAAATCCCATGCATTAGTGCGAGGCTGTGTCACGGTCTCCCATTAGAAACCCGGAGACGCATGCTCAGCCCTGGGGCTGAATTGAACGTGACTGAAATTTGGTGGAGCTTTGATGCCAATTTTGGATACAACACCGACCTTAATAGCAAATATAATACCACCTCACTTATCTATCCGGCTGCCCATCTACCCTTACTTCTCCTACATCGTGAGGTCCTCACCCAAATCAGACCAGAAAGCAAGACTTAAAACAAGAATGGAAAGCGATGGACAGAAAGTAAAATGGGACCGAGAATCTCTCAAGCGAAGCAGTGCGCTCTCCTTTCCTTCACTCACACAAATGGAGCGTAAAATCCTACAGGATGTGCAAGCTATACTGACAATTCTTTGACGACCAGGAGTGGAGTTTGAAGAAGATGAGTCAACTGATGATGATGATGACTCTGAATACAATGAATTAGATGATTCTGAGGAAGAAGAATGGTGGAAGGAAGATGAGAGCGAAGAGCTGGATCGTGAACGGGACATTGAAGAGCACGAGTATACCACCTCCGGCGACACGGCACGAACGGTGAAGATTCGCCTCTTTTTGACTGATGAGGAAACGAACGAGCCTACCTGGATGACAAATTTCGTCGCCGAATGCACTTGTGACGGCGTCGTTGTCGCCACCGCTCTGGCTCGGTATATTCATCGAGAGGGCATGCGCTCCGAATTCTGGGAAAAGATGGAAGAGCCCAGCGAGGAAACATGCAATGTGGCTTTCCATGTCTTTGATCGATATGGAACAGTCAAGGCCAAGTATAAGGACCATCCAGCACAAAGAGGAACTGGTGCATGGGGAAACGAGCTGGACCACGGCCCTCTTTTCCTGATCGAAAAACTTCATGTTAGGGCAGTGAATCTGCGCCGGAAAGGTCTGGGGCAGAAAATAGTGTCTTTACTTTTGAACAAAGCCCGGCTGTTCTGCCTAGACGACAAGCCAGATGGCGAACATGCAGACTTTATCTACGGTTCCAATAAGGCCTTTGAGCTAGCTTGGACTCTGCATGCTCTAGTTAGTCCCGGAGTACTAACAGCTGATATTGAATCTCAGCTAGTGGGCAAGTCTGCAGAAGAACGCTTAACGATACGGACTCGAACTCAATCCGCTGCTATTGACTTTTGGCGATCGTGTGGTTTTCGCCGAATCGGAGCATCTCGGTGTTTCGCATTCTCGTTCGATCTCCAGCATCCGTCTCGCGCCATTGCGGCGGCTTCTGATTTCGACCCGCGTACGAGCCATGCTAAAGATCTTGAGAACGAAGAACTCGAAGTTTTCTATGAAGCAGATCGATTTACTGGGGTAAAGAAAACGAAAATGGACAGACTTCGTGACGCGTTGCCGCTGCATCATGCAGCCCTTACTATGATGGATGAAGAGCTCAAAACTTTTTTCGCCACTCATGCCGACGACGAGATTGACTGGGACCGAGTGACGAACTCTGAAGCCACGCTTCTGCATATAACAGCTTGCAAGCTTAAGCCCATGAGTACACAGTGGCTACTTGAGAATGTCCACTACGCCGACCGCTGGAAGACGGCCCGTGATATTGACGGGTACACCCCGCTCGAAGCGTTACAGGAGACTCTAGAGAAAATGCGAACGCGAAAGGAATACGGCTTTCTCAGGGTCTTGCATCTATCAGACCACTTTGAAGGGTACCCTGACGCTGCAGTGGCCTGTCTCTCCTTGCTATTTGGGCAGGAAGCTTTGGGGTTTGATAGAGCATGCCTCCGCTACGGATGTACATGCGGAGGGTGTGTTGGAGGATTTATATCCGCCAGAATGAGGACCTCTTTAGTCCTTCAGGGCGAGACTACGTTCGACTTTATGCAGGATGATATTGATGATGGCCGCGTCTGGATAGAGGACAATGCATTCAAGCTCGAGCATCTCGATCTCGAGGTGCGAAAGAACCTCAAAACCAACAAGTCTCTACGAAAAGGCTTTGTGAATATTTTCCAAATTGCCGCGGAGTGTCTTAAGGCAAGAAAAGTTCCCACCGTGGAGAATCTCGAGCGGTGCTGTAACAACCGGAGCGAGTGGCCACCTCATACCAAGAACTACCTGCGACGCGCTGGTACGCAGATGGGCTTTCGGGCAGTGCTTCGTTGCATGTTCGACGCCGCTAAGGAAGAGGATGAGAAAGCAGGTAACGGGGAGTGTCAACTCATATTGAAGGAGTTGAAGCAATGGTCACACCTACCAACTTGCAGAAACGATCATGAGTTTGAAGTAGTTGCCAGGGCTTGTGGGTACGGCGGGGATGATCTCATTTCGTTACCAATCTGGTAGACCGAATTATATGCATGTCTGGCCTCGCCCCCTCATTAAGGAGATTAGCTTGGGTGGTAGAACAACAGGGACGCAAGCACGTAGATGGACGACCGTCGGTGATTTGCACCTGGCGACCAGTATCTGACAACCATATCAGTTGGCAGCATCTGATCTTATTGCCCGGGTAATCACCATATGGACACATCGCCCCAACCCTCTGCTGAAGTCCCTCCGACCTCCTAGGTATTTGATGTGAAACACATACCCAAGTCCGTCACCGACCTAGGACCCCGAGATTATTGGTGACGGTACCATTAACGTGAACTAAGTGCATGCTTACTATACTGAGCCCTAGAGCTACGACTACGATCAGAGACAATGTTACTTGCAAGCATAACTTTCCAGAGGACTTGTAGCTCCCAGGTGAGAACAACGTAGACCTTGGGGACGGATATCTCGCGTGCTATTATTGTGTTGTCTCCAATGGACAGAAAGTGACAGCTGACCAATCATAATCTTGGTGAGAGATATTAACTATCATTGGCGGGCCGGTACTCCTTTCTCTACCTTGGAGTATCAGCTAGAATTACAGGTAGAAAGGCGGCCGTTTCTGGCCTCCAAAGCGGTCATTTCCGGCGTCAATTGATCCTAGTTGTAATCGAGGACGTAACCTAATATACAAGAACCCTGCAGGAGCCCCCGCTGGAGATAACACTAACGCTCTCATTCTGCCACATCTAAGCAATTAGCTGTTGTATTCTCAATTTGGCATCATCCAGGTTTCAGACACGCCCCGTGGTCGATCGATTCTCCGAACCCTGGGATCGAGTCCGAGCGCCCTTATGTCGTGTAGACGTTCCAAAATGTGATGGGGCATCATTGCCCCTGTCTGAGGGCTCTTCTTCCTGCTGCTTCGAGCGGACGGCGTTCTCGTAGTCGTCAATCGGAGCGTCGTCGCGGGTCACGCCGTGCACCTTCTTAGGTTGGAGCGGATGGTCGGCGAGTGGTTTGGAAGGCATTGGGTAAACAAGAGTATTAAATGAAAGTAGTTTATTGCGTGATGTGCCTGTGTAGTGGAGACTAGATGTGAGATCCAAGTAGGTGGTTTACTCATATGTTGTTCTTATATGCTGCGCCGCGGAATGATCCTAGCATGACGTGCTGTTTCCAATAGTCAGGACACAGCATGATATGTCGAATCATGAGCTTAAATCTCTAGTGGCAAGCCAAGGGAGTTTGTGGAATGCCAATAACAACGCCATATAGCAAGTCACGGTGACATGGTACTGCAGATGGCACATTCCCGTCATACTTATGTCAACAAAAAGGGTCATATTCAATCTTGTCGCTGGAGCGATTGACGTATGATCAGTTGTGATATTTGATAACACCATATATTGAGTGTGTATTGTGACAATAAGCGCGCGAAGAAATCTCTATAAACTCAAGCGGACCAAGACAATAGGTAATACAGAATATAGCACAACGACAGAGAATGCTAGCCTAGACTTAACCACTAGCCAACTTCCTCAACTGCGTCATCGGTCCATTGAACTTATCCGAGTCCCCTCCATGCTCATACTTGTCCGAATTCTGCCAGATCGTCCATGTCTTCCAGTCGCCTGGGATCGTCTTGGGAGGAGAGCTGCTGTACCCCGCCAGCACCAGAGGAGACTTATCGCCGAAGCCCTTGGCGTTGCCCGTGCAGCGATTCCACCAGTCTGCCGTGGTGTAGATCATGGGCCACCGGCTTGTCGCATGGTGGTACTCGTCCACAAAGTCGTGGATCCAAGCGACCATCTGGGAATGGCTGAGGCCGTAGCATGTCGCTCCGTATGGGTTGTACTCGATGTCTAGCATCCCGGGCAATGTCCGGTTATCGTTGCTCCATCCGCCGCCGTTCTTCAGGAAGAATTTGGCCTGCGCGCTTCCGGTGGACTTGTCAGGGCGGGCAAAGTGGTATCCACCGCGGAGAAGGCCAGCCTTGGTGGCGCCCGTGTAGTGCGAGTTGAAGACGGTGTCTTTGTATGTCGTGCCTTCGGTGGCCTATAGCACATGTTGGCTGAGTTGACTGTGGGATGGTCGGATATCAACAAACCTTGATCATCACGAACTGAGCGCCATCCTTCTTTGCCGCTTCAAAGTTGACGCTCTTCTGGTGGTTGGAGATGTCGAAGCCCTGGACGGTGGTTGCGCGGGCTTCGGGTTGACTGGGGAGGGCCGAAGCCAGGCCAGCAATAGTGGCAATAGCAGCAATGGAGAATTTCATTTCGTAGAGGGAGGCGATGATACTTTCAGTGCCTTGATGTTGTCTCTTGCAATTTGCGCAGAAAGGTAGCTGGTATATATATTCGATCCACATAGACTCTTTGCCGACACCATCATTAAGTTTGATTGCGATGTGCGCACCTCAAAATAGATCCAGACTGATACGAGCGACCGAATCGACCGTCGTCGGATTTTGGACCCCAGAACATTCAATCATATGAAGAGATTCAGATACCTCGTACAAGGACACGAGTAAAGTTGTCACATCCCGTCTGTGGGGCGAGTATACGAGAGGATCGTCATCTCAAAACTCGCTAAAGCACACTATCTGGCTAGACGGGTATCATTTTGCGAGGCCGGGGATCGCTCTAATAGGATTAAGAGCAACACACTGCTGATCAAAGGTCCCTGACTAGCCCGTGTTCGTTCCTTGCGTAGCCAATTCTGGGGCCGAATGCGAAGATCGTTTCCGTGGACATTGAATGGGGTCAAATACGGGGTCGATCAATTCACGCCACTCCCGTCGGTCGTGTCGATGTGGAGATGTACTAAAAATAGTTTCATATTCAGAATGATTCGATGTTGCATCGGAATGAAACTTTGACTTCACTCCAAGCTAACCACTCTGTGTCCTATGGTCGACGACGATACAAAGGACCTTGTTTTCGACTGTTTTAGGAGTGCATCCTTCCTCATCAGGATCTAAAGACCGCTTGCATGGTTTAGAGAATGCATTCCATTCTTACGCAGCGTGTTGTTAGGACATGAAGGACTCAACAAGGCCCTCTGGAAGCAGAGACGCAGACAGACCAGCCTCTGATGCCCCGACGGTAAACGTCCCCTTCCCCGAGCCGATGGTAGTAGTGTCCACGACAGCTGTTCCCTGTCGTACACGTTCAGTTGGCAAGTAGGATAGCTAAAGACTACAAAGCAGTGTGTCATGTTGATCATGCTGAATACCTACGCCGCCTACTTCTGTAGGCTATACCGCCTGTTCGAGCTTCGTAAGCTGACCTCTCAGAGTAATACAGGCAGATGGAGTCTGCTTGATGAGCAGCCTGCAAGCCTCCCTCAAAGCCGTCGTGATATGCACTGGCATCAGCTAACGGCGACCTCGCAATCTCGGGACATGCATAGATCTGGCGGAGATTCTTTGAGAAATTGGCTATTTGCAACAGTCATATCGATGCGGTCATCTCAGAGAAGTAAAGATGGGTCTGATATCCACAGGCCGCACCGTATCCTAGTACTCATCTCAAATTCCTCTTGTCAAGAAATATAACACCGAGCTCAGATATCACCGAGCACAACCGCGAGGTTTCGGGATGAAACGCATCAATGAAAGGCTCAGTCTGTCGAAGGGAAATTAACACCAACGAGATTAATAAAGCAAACTATTAATACGCAGACTGCTGTTCCGCTACCGTTCCAGGGCAGTGCCAGGGGCCCAGGGTTACCCTGAACATCACGAACCCCGAGTCGGCATTTTCGGAGATACTGTGGGAAGATGGAGGACGGGAATAGCTTACTACAAGAGTTCGCTATCGGCTGATTCTTACTATAAGAAGGACTTGCGACATCTTTAAGACAGTTGAATTGAACATCTGAATGCATATACTCGCTCACCATCTAGTTTCTATCTACTATCACCATTCTCAAAGGCAAGCACCCGGGAACATGACTGCTGAAAAACTTCGTATTATCATCGTCGGCTCTGGCCTGGCAGGACTAGCTGCAGCCCGGATCCTTCGTGAGCATCACGATGTCACCGTCTACGAGCGCGGCGGTCCAGATACGGCCACCGGTGGACAAGGTATCTGTCTGTTCTCCAACGGGGTCAAGATCCTTCAAACTATGGGATTTGACCGTTTCCGTGCTGGTGGAGTACCATGTTACGGTTACCGACTGTTTGACAAGAATGGCAATCAATTGCAGGACTTCCCAATTGACTTCAAGGGGCGGTACGGAGCAGATACCCTGAGTATGAAGCGGTCTGATTTCCGTGACGAGCTTCTTCGGCTTGCAACTGCCCCATCGGATGAGCTCGGCATCCAGGGCAGTCCGGCGCAGATAGTGTTCAATACCAGTGTGATTGACATTGACCCTGAGAAGGCTACTGTGACGTTGAAAGACGGATCGGCTGTGGAAGCAGATGTAGTCATTGGTTAGTGGTACACCTAGCGATCATAACGGGCGCAGAAGTGTCTGACATTGAAATTCAGTTGCTGATGGCGTACATTCACGTCTCCGTCGCCGGATTGTTGGCAGTGACAGTTATCAGGCAAAGAAGAATGGACTGACTTGCTACCGTATAGCCGCCTCCGCTGAGGCCGTTAAAGAAGCACTCGGCTATCTCCCAGTGTGGTGGGAGCCGAGTACAGCCGAAGGCCGCATCTCTGGGCTACAAGCAGGGGACGGGAGTAGTCGCATGATTGCCGCATACGCTATACGAAATTATGAGTATATGAACTTCTCATGCCTCTTTCCGACCCGGGAGCATAAAGGAAATGTCCTGGAGTCCTGGTACGCAGACGGTGACCGACGGGAAATGATTGAGGTCTTCAGCGATTATTACGACCCTATACGCAAGATTCTCAGGTATGCACCCTGAGTCCTTTCAGGGCTTTTATCTGAGGCTAACGACTTCAGTATCGCCACGGAGGTGAAAGTGTGGGAGCTCCAAGATATGGACCCCCTTCCTAACTGGAATCGAGGGCGCGCAATCGTTATTGGAGATGCCGCTCACGCGATGACCCCATTGCAGGGTCAAGGGGCAAACATGGCAGTCGAGGATGCTGACAGTCTCCGCTTATTGCGTCCAGGCCTGTCCCATGTGGAAATCGAGTCGGTTCTTGAACAAGTGGACAAAGTTCGCCGGCCGCGTGCTTCAAGGGTCCTGGAGGACACTCGTGTCATGGCAAAAGATATTACCATGGAGGAACGGCTGGCCAATTTAGACTATAACTGTGGCTACAATGGCGTATTTGAAGCTCTAAAGGAGATTCAATAATCCTAAGCCCTTCTCAGTCGAAGTGCGTATGGAATTTTACTGACAGTGATTTCCCTCTTGTTGGCTGTAGGGATAGCAAAGCAGAATAAAGAATTGAATGGAATTTTATGCAGCGTACGATTCACTCTTCAGGATGCCCCTTAAAAAGGACTCCAAGCTAGCAGTAGTATATCCGGGCTTGGTATACAAAATTCGACATTTGTGGACCGACGTAGTATGTCAAGTTGTCTTCCTCGTTTGCTGCTTCTTATGGCGGCCAGAACCCTGCGCTTCCTTTGTGAGGAAGTCCTTTAATGTTAATCGGAGAATCGCCTACCTAGATTGATAATCACTGATCTAGAAAGTCTATCCCTGTAAATAAAAGATCGGCTTACAGGACATAACGATCGATCCCGGACTTAAGTCCCTACAGGCGGTTGCCACTCGTGTCCCGGTTTCGGAGATATCGGCATTTTATGACGTCCGATACTCTGCCGGAGATAACATTTAATTCTAACTTCGCCCATGAACGACTGAGCAGAATCAACCTTGACTACTTTGTCCGAGCTAATCTATCCCCGATCTGACGAAACGAACGAGCGTCTGCTTTTGTCCGTAACCTACACCAATGTCTCCGCCGCCTGAGCCCATCAGAAAACGCCGACGCCCAGCGCTATCCTGCGTAGAGTGTCGGCGGCGTAAGGTCAAATGCGACCGAAACAGCCCCTGCGGGCAATGCAGAGCGCATAAGTCGTCTGTTTGTACATATGCAGTGGCCCGCGCCACAGGCTTAGAGAGACAGCTATCACGACGAGCCCAGGGACTAGTGCTGGCAGAAGCGGCCGAACAAGGCGCAAGCGCACCACAACAACCTGCCTCCAGTCCGCCCAATCCAACAATTGGCGAGAGCACTGAACCAGTGACATCTATTGTGCCAGAGGGGCCTGTGCGATGCATCCCACCGGACCTGGACAGCACCCACAATGTCCCGCAAGATTTGAGTGTCAGCCCATCCACACCCCAAGCTCCTCCTGGCCCATTCCACGGCATCTTATCAAAGACAAGGGTGTTTGGCAACGGCCATTGGATGAGCTCGTTGCCTCTGGTACGTCACCCTACTACATGGAGAATACTGGCTCCTGATAAATGTTGACCAACCAAAGGCGGATGGCCTACCGTTCAACAAAGACATGCCTGCTGAGCGCTCTGGCGAGCAGATCTCAGAGGCGATTGCCAAATGCAAACAATTGGCTCGAGATATTAAGAAGCAACTGCCGAGTCGGAGCCCACTTCCTACAAGTATCCACCAACTTCTCCCCAGCCGCCCCGTGCTCGACGAGCTAATGAAACTGTATTTCGACACTTTTGAAACATGCTACCGAATTCTCCACATTACATTGTTCAGAGCAGAGTATGAGAGATATTTGAGTGACCCACAAACGGCAACTACTCCGTTCAAGGTCAAGCTTCTCCTGGTCATGGCTATCGCAGCACCGTTGCAGGGTGATGCCCAAGCATATAATGATCTTGCTGCCAAAGCCAGAACATCGATCTATGTCGCTCAGGGATGGCTCTCTGCGCCTTTTGAGAAGGACCGTTTGACACTGGATGGTATTCAGATCCATTGCTTGCTTCTACTTGCCCGTCAGGTAAACCGGGTAGGAGCAGATTTGGCCTGGATTTCAGCCGGTTCATTAATCCGGATGGCCATGCAGATGGGCTTGCATCAGGATCCCAGCCACCTAGGCGAGACGAGTGTGGTTCAGGGGGAGTTACGAAGACGACTGTGGTATACAATCTTGGAGCTGAATGTACAGGCTGCGTTGGATTCTGGAATGGCTCCCATGATTACTGCCGCAGAGTATAATACCCAGCCGCCATCCAACCTAGACGATGCCGATTTGGTCGAGGCATCTGGGGAAGGTCCCCGCGCCAAAGCAAGTTCGATACCGACCCAGACTTCAGTCCTGCGTCTGCTGGCCGACTCCCTGCCTTTAAGACTGGAAGCGACGAGAGTTATCAACAACTTGCAGGACAAACCTTCCTATGACCAAGTCCTTCGTCTTGGGAATGATCTGGCGTCAGTTTGCCGTAGTGCAAGAATCTTCGTAGATCAACTCATGTCAACTGAGCACGATATGTCGACTCATCAAGCACTTCGGTTTAAATATAGTTTCTGCGAGCATTATCTCTCTCGCTTCCTCCTAAGTCTCCACTACCCTTACGCGATCCAGGGCAAACGCAATCCGTTATACAGCTACTCCCAGAAAGTGTCTCTCGAAGCTGCGCTTGACTTGGTTTCACTCCTTGAGGACGAACTGTACCCTCGCTTGCTATTCTCCGGGGGCGGCATGTATCGAGATATTGTCACTCGGGGTGCCGTGGTGATATTCCTGGAACTGATTACACAACTGGAAGCCAACAACTCTATATTTTCAAGACAACGGAACCGTGCTCGCAGAGAGCCGTTACTAGAAGATGCGCGCAAGGTGGTCCAATACACACACGATAGACTTTGGTCTGGTGAAACAAATGTGAGAGGCTACCTTTTTGCCCGTATGGCAATGGCCCAAGTTGAGGCACTACTTGATGGTCTGCCAGCAAAAGAAGCTGTGATCAACGCGGCCAGCCAGAGCTTGACAGTATGTCGCCATATTTTGGAATCCATGGCAGCCAGTTCCCTCTCAACCAGTGCCAGTCCTTCAGATATTGCATCCTGGACATATGGGGATATGGTGGCTATGCCCACTGTGGCTGATACCGACCTTGACTTTTTGAGTAGCGAGAACATCAATTTCGATCTTTCGGACCCCTATTTTGTTCAGCAGTGGACAGATCAGTGTTGGCCTCAGCATTTGTTTAACTCCGAAGAGGATCCGAGACAAGAGCCAATCCTCGGCGAAATGAATCTTGGTGTAACAGCAGAAGAGTGAACCGAAGCAGGAATAGGGATACGTAATTTCATAACAATTGGAAGCCAGCTGTTAAGGGTAAACGTGTGGCATGTGTTTGTTAACTAATTTAGACAGAGGACCAATTCCAAGCCCTTCGTTGACATCAATAGTTCATATTAAGGATACTTCAGGTGACTATATGATCACCTGTACCTCCTGTGAGATTCTCCTTTATATCCGAACCCGGAGAACATACTTCATTGTCCCGAGCACTGCCGACGCCCCGGCCAGAATTCTGATACCGAAGCATGAGACCCGTAACGGAGATAGAGCTGTACTCTGGCTGTGTGCCTGTTCCGGAGGGCTCGGTGATACTGTCCCACCCGAGGCCGACTGGTAGCTCTGTCTTGAAAGAGCATGGCAAGACCGAAGATTTTATCCCCGTCAGGAGCCAACGGAATAATCGTAGATCAAGGTATATATAGGCCTTACTAGCATCTCCAGCTCCTTCAATCAACTTGGAGAATATCTTGATTTGCTACAGAAACGTATCTAACGTTCTAGCACCGAGATAGCTATGGCACCGTTAAAGGTCCTTATCAGTGGCGCAGGCATTGCCGGCAACGCTCTTGCTTTCTGGCTTTCAAAAATGGGCCACGACGTTACGGTCATCGAGCGGTTTCCAACCCTGCGCGCCACAGGCCTGCAGATTGATCTGCGGGGACATGGTATCGAGGTTATGCGACGAATGGGTCTCGAGCAGTCATTCCGCGAAAAATCGGTGCAAGAGCAAGGCTTGGAAGTTGTTGACCGCTCCGGCAGGCGAAAGGCCTATTTTCCGGCGAACAGGTCAGGCAAAGGGATACAGAGCTTCACCACCGACTTTGAGATACTGCGGGGAGATCTATGTCGACTTTTGTACGGCGCCACCGTTGACCGCGTCAAGTACGTCTTCGGAACGAGTCTCGAAAGTATCAATGACAATGACGGCTTTGTCGAGGCAGTCTTTTCAGATGGCCGGAAAGAAAGGTTTGATTTCATTGTCGGTGCGGACGGCCAGGGATCGCGCACTCGGAAGTTGATCCTCGACTGTGACGCTGCGGACCCTTTCCATCCCCTCGGAGTCTATATAGCGTATTTCACGCTCCCTCGGCCCATCGGAGGGGATGAGTACCTTGCTTCTGTATACATCGCTCCTCAAAGGCGGTTTGTGGCCATGCGCAGGCACAATCCACGTGAGATTCAGGTGTACCTCGCCTGCAAGCCCGATTCGGACCGACTGAAGAATGCGAAGAAGGGTGACGTCGTGGAAGAAAAGCATGGTTTTGCGGAGATCTTTCGCGGTGCAGGGTGGCAGACAGACGATATCCTCGAAGCACTCGAGTCTGCTGATGACTTTTACTGCGAGCGACTGGGAGTAGTCAAGTTGGACTGTTGGTCGCGCGGCCGTGTGGTTCTCCTGGGAGATGCAGCATTTTGCCCGTCGGCAACCACTGGCATGGGCACCACCTGCAGCCTTGTCGGTGCTTATCTATTGGCTGGCGAGATAGGAAATTATTGCAGGAGAGGTTCTGGGGGAGATGCCGATGGAACTGCGACTAAGGATGCTCTGTCCAGCGCGTTCAAGGCGTATGAAGAAACCTTTCGACCTTTCATTGACCAGGTCCAAAGGGGCTTATCGGAGGGTTCTAGTTTTTGGGACCGAGTTCCATCAACATCCTTCGGTATTGCTGTTCTCCATTTCCTCCTCGCTATAGCGTCATTCTTCAGATTGGATGTCCTGGCCAGGTTTATCCTCCGCGAAAATGTACAGGGATGGGCACTCCCGGATTACGATATGTTGTAACTCGCGGCATGGCTGGTTGTGAGCCTCTTCTGCTGATGATGAACAAAGGAAAGCACATACGCATGTTCATGTTGATATCAAATATCTAGTGTTGCTGGGTTGCTAGGCCTTGATCGGATAAGTCGAGATTTGTATGTAATTGTCGTTGAAATATAGGAAGTCTACCTCAACCTTCAGGGTGAACATGACCTTTAACCACCTGTTATCCAAAATAGACATCAAACAATAGGGCAAGGACCTGATATTTGCTATATATTCACATCGAAAGTTAAGTCTTCACAAGTTACTAGAGAGGCGCAAGATGGTATCAGTTATGTATGCGCCGGAGTCGGAGGAATACATTATTGGGTGGTTTAAATTAGCCCGACCGACACTAACATCGTGTACATAAGGTGGATGAGTCGGGCAGACAGATCCTCCGGTATGATCAAAGTAGGGATGACGGGCTAAATGTTAGTTCCCGTGGCCGTGAACCAACCACTGGTTGCTCCGAGCCCTACGGCGGTATATTCAGCCTTACCATCAACTGGAGATGGGACAGGAGTGAAGTCATGACTATATTAATCATGGCGTCCCTTTCAGAGTTCCTGATTCCACACACCATCATATAAACTACTTTCTTTACCTCTTAAGATGAACTCCCAGAGAACCGCATATTTTGGCGCCACAGGCGGATGCACAAACGCATGTCTGGCCTTCGCTCTCCGACAAGGCCTTAAAGCCGTCGCACTGGCGCGGACACCCAAGAAATTGCACGATATGCTGCTAGCCCAAGGAATCAGCGAGGAAGCCATCACCGCAAACCTCATTATTATCCAAGGCGATGTCACCGACATCGCAGCCGTCAAGAAGACCTTGATGTCTGGAGACCAAAGAAAGCTCGCGGACAAGATCGTCTCTGGCGTTGGTGCCCGGCCGTCGGTCCAATTTTCCCTGACCACTCCCGTCAAAATGGATAATGAGCATATTTGCGAGCAAGCCATCACAACCATCATCAGAGCGCTTGGGGAAATCTATGCCGAGTATCCCGACGAGCGACTGTGCAAACCTGTCATTACCATCATCTCATCGACGGGTGTGGACGGTCCGGATGATGTACCGTTTGGTTTCAAGTCGCTGTATTCCGTCCTTCTTGCAGTGCCACATGAAGATAAAAAGAGGCTGGAGGAGTTGGTAAAAGCCGATGAGCTGAAGGATGAATCGTCCAGGGCTTTTGGTGGAGCAGTGATTGTTCGTCCGTCGTTGCTCGTCGGGGACCAGAGCATTGCTAGCATTGGGTCAAAGAAGCTGCGGGTGGGAACAGAAGAGAGCCCACCTGTTGGGTATACAGTGCATCGTGCTCGTGTTGGGCAATGGATTTTCGAGGAAGTTGTCAACAAGACGGTGGTGGACTGGGTGGGAAAGATTGCGACTTTAACTTATTGATGAGGATTCTGTATGCTCTTGTTTTGATCTGTTCTCCTGGTGATACTCCGTTTGTTCTGCGCTTATGTTATAATATCTCAGCATGTATATTTTCCATTCAGTGACCTACATGACAGTTTTAATTCAACGCCAATGATCCTTTCAAGACGCAGTCACCAACGCCTTTTTGCAATTCTTTTCTAACCTTGTGTAGCTGTATCTAATGCTCCCATTACCAGACAGATTAACCTAGTGATAAACACCTGCCTTATTTGGAATGATGGATCCACAGGGCCTTCTTCAATACTGTTGTCCAAAACAAATATCTGTCTGACGTCCTCCAGAGTCTTCGATCCTAACCGAACGAAGTGCAAGCGGATCCTCGACTAGGCTCCAGAACAGAGAAAGGTCAGCGGTCGATATCGGATGAGCATACATCCTAGCAGCATCGAGCGACATTATATCAGCAAACTATAATAATCTAATGAAGGTTCACTCACCATAAAGATTCCGAGCGAAGGAAGCGTCGGAACAGATGAACATATACCAGGGTTAACCATGACGTCTAATAGAATAAGGTTATACTAGACAATAATGGCCTATTAGTTGACAACAGCATGCTATAGTTAAGGCTAGCCTCGTGGATCTTCGCCATGCAATGGTAAGAGTCCAGGTTCAGTATCGTTATGTGCGCTCATATCCTCGTATGCGTCCCTCTGTCCGGACAAATTGACTGACTCAATCTCAGTGTTTCGGCTGCCCAGGTTGCTTTCAACGCGCTGAGCTCTTCGCCCAGTTCCCGGACTTGCCGGAGTCTTTCAGAGATAGATTTGATTTTGGCAGATCTAAAATATAGCAGTTGATAGATTTTCGACTTTTATCAACGCGAGTCGAAGGTCTGATGGGAACAGGGGGCCTTGGCTTCGGAGATGATCCTGTGTTGGCCCAAACTGAGGTGAAGTTGAAAGGGTGCAAAGAAGATCCAAGTCACAGTCCTCATCTTGCATCAAGGGCGGTTGAGAATGTCTCAGCGAAAACTCGCGGTCTAGAGAGTAACAGGCTCAGAATAGTGCTCGTACATATGCGGACGTGACACCGACGATGCTAGAGGGCCTTTTGCCGTCCGAATAGTTACCTAAGTGCGGGATGCTAACACGCGTAGCCACATCCGATGGCGGGGATTGGTCGCTTGCAAGCAACGCTTCTAGCTTGGAATTCTTGCTCGGAGCTCTCTACGTACAAATCAGCATGGCCACTTGGAGATCTTGGACCCCGAACCCTCGACTTCTTTTCCGAGGCTGATTAGCTGCTTTTGAGGGGTACGTGCATGGGACTCCGGCATACAGGCAGTTCTCGCACACTGGAGAAGCCGCATCACAGTAATCAGAAAACAAAGCCGCAGATCAGAATGACATAACATTAGGTACACCCCGTTTCCTCAGCTTCTGGCAGAGAAGGGGAAGAAGAACATTACGGAGTTTGTCATCGGCAGCACAGATATCCATTACTGACTCAGAGGCCTGGCTTCGTGGCATGTGGCCCACCGATGAGGAAGGCATGATGCAGATGAAGACCATCTTCCCGGGTAAGTTGCAGGGTCTCTCCAAGCAGCCTTTCTGAATATCCCATGCCCTCATCTCGGATTACAAGCAAATGCTGCAATACCATCAGCATATGCACTTTACACTGACTCAGTGATGTAAAATAGGCTTTACGTCGAGAGGGCCATTCATATCCATGTTCAGGTCCACACGGACTGAACCTCACGTGAAAATGGTACCCTTGTCTTTGAAAATACCGTCAATACTGGGCAGCTATACTTTGAGGAGGAACTCGAGGAGAAGATCATGGGTACGGAGCCCTCCGCCTCTCATACGCAGATAAACCGTACTACAAACGTCGAAGATATGGAATTCTCGAACGGCATGGTGAACGGCTTCAATCCTATTGTCTCAGTTGTGCAAGTTGGTGACAATGATCTTTCGAAAGGGTTGATTGGGTATATCACTCTAGGAGTGGATAGTACTGCTGTAGAAGATGAGCACTGGTCGCTTTATTTAGTTGATCGTGAAGTTGTCTTGCGACGCGGCTATTCTATGAAGGCCCTACCTCGCCATTTGGGGATGTGAAGCCAGCTTTGGTCCAAACTGTGCACTCGTTTTGTAACTAGTTGATTTCTTACCAGCATGCAATCGTTACTCAGCTGATATAGAATCTAATACCAAGCATATTCTGTTCTGCGGATCGTTGTCGACACATTAGCGATGAGTTCAGATATAGGCGAACCCGGCTTGTGAATAGATTGATGTAAGCTTGAGCTCTTGTATACGTAGATCCAATAACCACGCGCGCTAAATCAACTATCCATGGGGAGTTGCCTATACAAATTAACTTCGCATTCTGCACAAGCTCAAAACATGTCCTTGAGAACTTTTCTCTCGTACATCAGATTCGCATATTTGATGCCAGTTAAAGCCATATGTGATTTCTGGTAAGATACTGTAATATATACTGCTGTATAAGGCAGCATATGGGGTGTTGAAGACACGGCAGCGGCCCAGCATTTACTGAATGGCTCCTGGGATATTTAGCTGTCACGGAGTTCCCTAATTAGTTGAAACTTATTAGTGTTCCTCCGGTAAAGGTAACTCCAATCTTGTTGATGAACAGCATCTCCAGATCGAGAAGTCAGCCTGCCATGGCCGATGGTCACTTGTACAGTGTTATGATCTGATAAGGCCCGGCCCATGTGATCTTACCGACCTATCTGGGTCCGACGCCAGGATACAGTTCAGCCGACCTTTCGGATAAGTTCGGCTGGTGCCAAGACAGGTCGGAACATCAAATAAGCATCATGTGACTAAAAATCATGTGATTTTATAAGGTCAGCTTAGCTTAATACAATACCATACTATTCTTTAATACTACCTATATCTAAGGGGTATTTTTATCTACACTAGTTACTAACTAGTCAAAAATATAGGTAAAAGGTCAAAAAATATTACAGAACGTTGTAACTTTTATAAGGTCGGCTGACCCACATTTGTTAGCCGAACTCCTTAGTAAAGGTCGGTTGACCTGTAGCATGTAGGACGCGTAGGAGAATGCTGAGGCCACAACATCATAAAGCCTTTTATCAGCTTGAACCCAGTGACGAGATATTCAGAGCTTTTTCATCCACGCACTTCTGATTGGCCTTAGTCGCTGTCTTCTATCATCTTCCGCCAATATGGTAGCCCTCACTACCGGCACACTCATCATGGCCATCACAGCGCTCTTCGTGACCATCGGCACCTTCATGGCCGACTACAACGAAACCCACATCAAGAATCCGCGCTGGCCACCGCACGCAAAGTTCCATAACGGGCAAACTATGACTCTGTCAATTGTCACGACCCTGCTCACTCTATACTATCTGTTCCGCCCCATCCCGCTTTCCCGAAACTCACCGCCGTCCACGATTCAAGCAGTAAGACGAAACGACTTGTTCACAGCAGCATTGATTGGGAGCATCTACTGCGCGACTGCGCTCTCTGGGATATTGTATCCTGGGACTGCAGGCACGGACCCAGAGTTTGGAGAAGGCTTCCCTCAGAAATGGTTGTTCAGTGGGCTTATTACGCTGAACTGGGTGGGCTGGTGGCTCGCATAGGAGAGTTGTAAGAGATGTATTTAAAGTAAATTTGGATTGGCAGTGCCGGTGGTGTCGTCGATTAGCTAGAAGAATGAAGTTGAGGCGATAGAGATCAGCACGAGGAGCCTTTGGGGGGATGGCACAATTGAGTGTTAAGCACTCAACAGCCATTATTCTATCATATCAATAGCTACCAGTAAGCAACTGGTAACAGCTACCTGGGGACTGGGCGATGTATTATCCCAATGCTAAACCACTTCTGCGAAAATTTCTGGGAGCTCCTATTACATGTTCTGTATTGCAAGGGACAGGCCGTCTCATGGCTTGAGATATTTTACATCAGTTACCCCGCATATAAACATAGTCTTTTGAGATGTAAGTATCGCCACTGGCTGCCATTCTCACCCAACTGTCAGAGCTGCATTTGGGAAGGGCAACTTTAAACACATCATAATTATATCATGACCTATAACTCCATTCAGGAAGATATAAATTTACCTGGTTTCCTCTTGCAGGAGATCCTCTTGTGATCTCCCCTCTGCTTAGCACCGTTGACCTCAAAGTAATCAAGCGCATCAATAGCACAGCATGAGCGGAATAACAGACGAGGCAGCCATAGAAGGCCATGACCTTATTCATCAAGCCGAACTAGAGGAAGAGAGGGTAAGCTACACTCTGACTGAGTATTTGAGCCAGGAATAATCTAAACCAGACTGCAGATGCATGAAAATGACGATGCGCCACATTCTGATGTTAGCCAGACAGCAGCACCATTGCCGAACCAAACCAAATATCCTGATACTAGTCCAAGGCATCCACATGACACCCCGCAATCCCAGCATAAAGAATCCACACTTGACAAAATAAAGGACGCACTCCATATCAAATAGCAAGCAAGGAGGATTCAGAGGGTTATGTAATAGTGAAAAACCAATTTGCTTGACTCGCAGATGAATATCAGTGTGGTGAATGAACTTTTTAATCCTCTACTTCCAGTTATTACTTATTTGTTAGCCTGTTATATTTTCTTTTAATTATTATTGCTGCTCACCATTACTTGAATATTTAATTTACTACTCTTTCGCATCCTTCTTCCTTACTTTCTCATCACTTCCAGGGTTGCAGCGTGTGAAGCGCGTGTCTTTAAGTACAGAATTATATAACAAGGCCTGTTGGAACCTTGTATAAAAGCAGCTTAGTATGTCCCACATAAGGGCTCCTGAATTATGAAGAGTATAAATATTTACTGATGCTGATTCCAAATAGCTTCAATCTAAGTGGAGTAGTGCATTCCAGACAGAGTAGTCACTAGGGGGTTTTCCGTCTCCTGCATGCCTGCAATATTACTGTTATGTAGCAGTGTCATGTTGTAATTAGTAATAGGCTTCTTTTGTATTAGAGAGTCTCTATTAATGTCTACGACGTATAAGGGAGTAACACATCCATGTACTTGAGGTTTTATCCATTGGAGTCGGCGTAAGGCACGCGCTCCAAATGTCTTCAGGAATCCAGGAGAGGAGCGTCAGAAATGTGGGAATCTTGGTGACATCGGTCTGCAGCATTCCATCATCACATGGAATGGTGTGATCCTTGTATCTAAACAAACCTTGTAAACACTGACTGACATGGAATATTATTGCCAGTCACATCCTCACTGTCTGACAATCCTGAACACTCTTTTCTTCTCCACGCAAACCTACCACATGCTCGTCACCATGAGACTATCCCTGAATATTGCAATCTTCACTCTCGTCACCTATGTGACTGGCCTTCCCTCCCACCATGTCATTCCACGAGGCGAGCCGCAGTTGCCGCTTCTCGATCCTGGGATGACAATCAAAGAAGCTGCACGCAAATGTGGGGATGAAGCGCAGCTCTCGTGCTGTGGCAGGGTCGTCAAAGCTGGGGATGTCACCTCAGTCGACGAGGGGATCGGCTCTGGACTTTTGAGCAACCTCGCCGGCGGTGGTTCAGGGATAAGCAGCATTCTGGCGTTTGATCAATGCTCCAAGTTGGATGCGCAGAGTGAGCAGTCTAATCTCATCTCTTCCACTCGTGAAATGACTAACAGTCGCAGTCGCTGTGCTTATTGTACCGGTCCAGAATCTGCTGAACCAGCACTGCAAGCAGAATGTGGCTTGTTGTCAGAAAAATCCCGCCGATTCGGTATGTATCCGGCCTTATCGGTGGCTGTGACTCCTGCTAACGCATTTAGTCTTCATCTGGTATCGCCGCCAGTCTACCATGCATTGCTTTGGGATCAATCGCGTAACATTATAATGGTATATGGACGAAACTGGCTATCATATATAATCATTGTTGATTCTAATACATTCCTACTTGTGCTATCTATATAGCCAATGCGGGGATTCATGATATGTAGATTCTCCCCTCATAGGGTTGTAGTGTACCCAGTTCCGAGAAGGCATAGTTGCTGATCAAAAGCTTCATCTGCCCCGCCATGTCAGCTTGGGTAAGTGGCTGAGGTGAAGAGGTGAAGTTCAAGGCAACCAATGCACGCATCTCCTCCCTTGACTTCACAAAGCAAAAGGTCTCGAGATTCTCAAAGTCAACGACCTCAAATGCACCGTGGATGAATAACTCCCGGTACTCCTTGCGCACCTGCAGTACCGTCTTCCAGAATGAAAGTACACTTTGGAGATCTGACTCTTGCTTCTTCACGTTGATCTCTCTGTACAGATCGTGAGTGCGCATCCATGGTGTTCCCGTCGTGAATCCGGCGTTGGGAGAATCATCCCACTGCATCGGCAGTCGGGCATGATCCCGCGCTAGAACCCGCAGACCGTCCATGATGCGTTCTGGTCTGCTTGGATCCGTGCCATTTGCAGCCTGGCGCTCGGCCTCTCGATAGTATCCCAGCCCTTCAATGTCCTTATACTCATCAATGGACCAATCACGCGGCGCATTAATCATCCCGATTTCCTGCCCCTGGTACAAGAACAAAGTTCCGGTCATGGCTACCATCATCAACGCCAGCATCTTGGCAGAGTGTTCTCGGAATTCAGGGTCATCGGATCCAAATCGTGACACGGACCGGCCGTTGTCGTGATTCTCACAGAAAACCGTCGTCCACCCGTCCGTCCCCTCGACAAAAGTCTGCCATTTGCTCACGATGGCCTTCATCTCAGTGAGCTTCCACGGTTGGAAGATATACTTGTCTTCCAGGCTGCTGCCCATACCGATATGGCCAATATCCAAATGGAAGACCATGCTCAGCTGCTTCGCAGACGCGCCAACATACTTGAGCACGTCTTTCGGGTCAGGCGTATTCGCCAACTCGCCGACGGTCATCACGTCCCCATACGGCGCCAGCGCTTCATCATACATCTCACGCAGGAACTCGTGGATCCGCGGACCATTGCACCACATCTCCACCGCGGGCTGAATATAGCTCTTGGGGTCGGTGACGGGCGCGTCGGGGAAATCCGTCCGCTTGCTATACTTGTTGACGGTGTCGACGCGAAAGCCATCCACCCCCTTGTCAAGCCAGAACCGGATCGCGCTGTCATAGATGGCTTCCCGCGTGGCGCGGTTATCCCAGTTTAAGTCAGGCTGCTCCTTCGCGTACAGGTGCAGGTAATACTCTTGCGTCTGCTCGTCCCACGTCCACGTACTCCCAGCGAAATAGCCCCTGTAATTTGTCGGCGGAACCCGATTGCCCTGCTCGTCGTACCGTGGTGGCCGCCAGAAATACCAGTCGCGTTTCTCGTTGTCCCTGCTGCTGCGACTTTCTTTGAACCAGGCGTGCTCGTCGCTGGTGTGATTCACCACCAAATCAAGGATGAGCTTCATGCCACGCTCGTGGCACTCGTCAATCAGCTTCTCGACGTCCGCGACAGTTCCGTATGCCGGAAGCACTTTTTCGTAGTCGGATATGTCGTAGCCCATGTCGTGCATCGGCGAGTCGTAGTGCGGTGACAGCCATACTACGTCGACGCCCAGTGAATGGAGGTATGGAATCTCCGAAATCAGACCAGGGATATCACCCCATCCATCGCCGTTGGAATCCTTGAATGATGCGGGGTATACCTGCCCATGTTAGCTATGCAAGGAGGGATACTCGTCAAGGTAGACTACCTGGTAGACAGTGGCCTCCTTCCACCAGTTGTAGGTCCCTGTGGGGACGGTTGTTGTAGCATGCGGTGACATACTTGGACTCTAGAGTTCTGTACATTCATTGTTTTCCTGCGTTATGTGGCGCACATTTGATTATTTATGTGCGGAGATTGTGTGGGCTTTCGGTCTCTCCGACTTGCATCCGCATCAACTCCGAATAGAGTCCGCCCCGCAATCGTGGACGTGGGGGAGGATAACTAGTTCTCACATTGCACAAATTGGTAATGAGACAGCTGAACAATTCATCCTGCTGCATTTTAATGACTCATTTGATATGCAAATAGGGCGGACAGCATTCGCGAAAGACTGTTTCATTCTGGCGACAGTAACGGCACCGACTCAACTGGATTTGATCATTGTATCATACATTGCATCTTTTATCCTTACTCCGTTCAATAAAAATTACACCCTATCTTGATTCCTCCAGCTTCAGCTCGGCGGTGCCTCTTGTATGGATATACGCCGCCGCCATTTCGTCTCAGACAGTTCACAATGGGGTTGTAAATGCCGCGAGGTCGACACTCATTGCTATGTGCAGATTCAGCTCATGTTTGCCTATTTACCAGATATTCTTGAACTGCTCAGGGGTACTTCCAAGGCCCGCCTCCGGTATAAGGAAGATAATAAAGCGTCGAAATGTCATGATATTGATGGAATAGTTTAGCAGACGTTGAATTGGTGGAATATAAAATATGCGCCACATAGAACCAAGCCATATCTCCAGACGTCGGTCAGTAATACTCGGAACCATTAGAGCACTTTTAATTATTTACTAACAAAGACACAATAGAAATCTAACTAGTGGATATTCTGAGCTAACTCCTAACTTAAAGTACCTTGACCTTGAAATCCTTCAACATCGGGGTTTCGGCCCGGAAGCCGTGATTGCACGCTCTGCATCATCACATCGACGCCATTGTTCGTATTCTTTAAGGCTGCTTGTCGGTTAAGATTGAAAGATGCCCTGATGTGGGCAGCTCTATGCCAGTGATCAGTTTCTCTGCTTGATATGGTGAGTCATGCCTCGTATTCAATATCAGAGGTCTTCCATGGACTCAGGCGCAGAGGTGCGTCACGACTATCCAGCATTCTCATGCGATAATAAATGCTGCCATTCCACTCCCTATAAACGATTCACCAACTGCGAAACTGCCGACTCACCAGCAAGATGTCTGCTCCAGAACCCAAGAGTCCTCTAGGGTATCATCGTGTTCTCGCACCGGCTGCGGGCGTCAAGGTGTCTCCACTATGCCTGGGTGCGATGAACTTTGGGACCGCATGGTATGCTCTGAAGGAAATTAAAGATGAGGCCAATGGCGAGTTACTGACCATCGCATAGGGAGGAATCCATGGGCAAGTGCTCAAAGGAGGATGCCTTTGCCATCATGGACACGTTCTATGAGAATGGGGGTAACTTTATCGACACGTATGTGGTGCAGTCAACCATAAAAAAGCGACTAACTCCTCCTAGTGCGAATAATTACCAGTCCGAACAATCCGAAGAATGGATTGGGGACTGGATGACAGCCCGCGGGAACCGCGATCAGATGGTGTAAGCATCGCCTATACCGAACTCATTTCCTTTGCGTCCTCTGACTGAACAGCATCGCAACCAAATACACCACGGGCTTTCGCTCCGCGCACTTTGACAAAGAACCCATCCAGTCCAACTACGTCGGCAACTCACTCAAGTCGCTGCACATCTCCGTCAACCACAGCCTCAGGAAGCTGCAGACGGACTATATCGATCTCCTCTATGTGCACTGGTGGGACTTCACGACCAGCGTCGAGGAGGTCATGCGTGGCCTTAACGCTCTCGTCTCCGCAGGTAAGGTCCTGTACCTCGGGGTTTCGGATACGCCCGCCTGGGTGGTAGTCAAGGCGAACGCGTACGCGCGAGCCCACGGGCTGCGGCCATTCTCCGTCTACCAGGGCAAGTGGAATGCGCTGTGTAGGGACATGGAGCGCGAAGTTATCCCAATGTGTCGGGATCAGGGCATGGCGATTGCTGCGTGGGCGCCGTTGGGTCAGGGGCGGTTCAAGACGGCGGAGGCCCGCGAGGCGGCGCATGCGGGCGGAGGACGTTCGGCTCAGATGAGCGAGGATGAGGTTAAAGTGTCCGAGGCGCTCGAAGCGGTTGCGAAGCTGAGAAATACGAGTGTTCATGCTGTGGTATGTTTGCTCATTATATGCAGTCACAGGTACTGACTAGGGTAGGCTCTCGCGTACATTCTGCACAAGTCGCCTTACGTCTACCCGATTATTGGGCAGCGGAAGGTTGAGCACCTTCTGGCGAATATTGAGGCGCTCAAAGTTGAGTTGTCTAGGGCGGATATGGATAAGATCGATACGGCTGTATCATTCGATCCGGGATTCCCGATGAATTTCATCTTTCAGGACACACCTTACAACTTGAATTTGACGGCCGCTGATGTGACTTATACTCGCCTTGCAATGCACTTGCATTCCCCTCCTCATCAACCGCCAGTCAAGCCGCGCAAGGCGACTTGAAGTGGAGGTCGATCTCCGGTGGGCTTCTATCTTGCTCCTTATTATGTGCCTCGAGCCCTCAGCCGTTATCAAGGTCCATGGACCAGCTTCCCGTTCTATGAGTACGGATCCTCAAGGCAAGGTCAGCTCAACAGAAGGAGACAGATAGTTGGTAATTCCACAGACATACTAGAAAATATGCCCTTTAAGAAAGTCACGTATGCGGTATATATAAAGCAGCATGAACCGTGATTCCCGATAAAAGAGCTCCGCACTGGAGGACAAAAAGGACAACTCCTGCGGAAAAGGCTGGCTGCAAGCACTCACTGCTCTGTGGATTTTACCCAGGCAAAATAGTGCTCCATGTGCAAGTTGACACCACGTAATTTCAGATCATGGAGCTATAATTTCGCGCGTTTTCAGTTGCAAAAATCTTAGGCCAACAGCTATCAGGGAAGCCCGACTTGAGATCCAATGGTTCCTGGGCAAGTTTGCGAATGTATTGAAGACGGCTGGCCTCAGACTGTTCCCGGCCAGAGTCAGATTAGAGAAGACGATATACTTTCGATTTGATCAAGAAAATGCGTATGTCTGAAGAGAACAAAAAGCATTTGAGATGACAAAGGATGACAGAACGTAGTTGTCGGGCAGCTGCAGGTCGCAGTCCTTGTCTTTCATCAAAGGAGGGTAACCGAAGCAGATTGCCATTTCTTTTCCAGACCATAGCAGAGCCAGAATAGAGCACGCAGATGTCATCCTTTTGCCTGGCGGATGGCACAATACCTGTTGTACTCAGAGAGTATACAACATCCGAGCAGCCATGGCCAGCATTAATGACGCGATCTCGCCTGACTAATAGAGAGAATATAGGAGAACTATCCGTTAGAGAGACTATCGGAGAATTAATCGTTAGGAAGACACTTAAGTCATTTGTGGTGGGAGAGTAACCTACCAGTATAACGACAGACTAGAGTTCTCAGGCTAGTCTCCTCCATCAAGAGTCGGGGCAGCAGTGTCAGCCCCGTTTGCCAGTACGCGTCAGGATCAGCATCGGCAAATGCAGGCTCACGACGGGCATTTGCGTTACAATTGCGGTGAGTGTAATGAGGTAAGCCACATTAGCAATAGCAGTTGAGTTGAGCGGGTAGTCCAGAACATTTGGATCAAGTAATTCTTCCGACGGCCTGAGTGTTGACGAGAGGGAAAACAAGGTATACCCCAGCCTTTGCAAAATGGTGTATGCAGTGTCGTATCAACTCAACCGGTGGGCCATTTCTGAGACATTCATTTCGATTCTGCGGGAACATGCATCCTCCTTACGGATTAGACGAGTTCTGAGTTCTTATGCCTTAGCATCTTTTTGTGGTGGAGGCGAGCTTTCAGTGATGTGAGTGGCTAGTGCCTTGTAAGACACACGATGGCCTCGACATGTTTAGTCTACATACCTTTCTCAGTCAACTGTCGCGTGGGAGGTAATCCACTCATCTTTGACCATTAACAACCAGAAGACTGGGTACACAGGTCCAAATGTTGAGAGGCAAGTGACTAGCGCGCCAGATTCGCTGAAAAGTTAAAACCCTTTAATTCCAGCCTATACAGAGGGGTCCTGGAGATTACAAATGGAATCTAGTAACATTAATATAGTGATGAGTTATCAAAAATGCTCTTGCTCCGGAACTAGTATATAACCACGTTACCTATGTCAACGATAACCATTTCAGGCTGCCATGATGGGAAACAGACTTGCAGATCAGGATATGTGAAGGATTCTTAGCAGAAATACTCAGGAAAATAGTCAATTATTTATAAGCTACATATCAAGTCTCCCCGACCATTACTTATCATGCATACAAATGATCAGCTCCGTTTGCACCTGCTACGCTGCTAAGTTAATAGGACAAAAGGTGGCAGTGCTCTATTTTCAATGCGCTACCAAGGACCACGCTTTGATTCAATGCCATTCCTTCTCCTCATGTTTCTTCGTCAGCCTTAGGCTGGAGTAACTGAGGATAGTGATGACGAGCCACTGTGTTATAAACTCACCCTTTGCCATCATCCACCTATAGATATATGGTAGATTGGGGCAAACCTTAACCCACCCGGACTCCGGACGTATGGATATAGTCATAAGGATTTGCAGATTAGGTCAGCCAGTCTAAACTAGGCTATTGTGTTTCACCGTTTCCTTGGCCTCCTCCACAACTAATGTATCCACGAACAGCCTTCGCATCCTTCAGGCACAACGGAATCAAGCTTGCTAAGCCAGTCATCAAGCTCAAAGGCGCCCATGTGTCAGGGACAAGCCTTACAATATTTTCCGAAGATGCGCCGGATCAAGCCGTGGATGGCCACGCCAAAAAACTCAAAATCTCCGATATAGTGTTATTACTTACTAGGTCTCACACGTGGCTAGGTCCTTAGAATTTAGATCACTCCCAGTAGTCCAGATAAGGTGATACTCCGTGCCTAGCAAACAGTTGCGGCGCTAACAGGTAAGTCTCTGTCTAATCTAGACCTGCCCGCCTTATTGGCAGCTAAAAAATCAAGGCCCTTAATAAATGGGAATTCGTCTATTCAAACCCTAAACTTACGTGATGGCGCCTTTCTAGACCTCGAGTAGCAGAGGATTTCAACTCTATTCTAAATCCTAAACTTCCATGATGACACCTTTCTACGGTACAGTTGCAGAGAATAGGAACAGAAGGATTCCATCATCTATTCAAACCCTAAACTTGCCTGTGTAGAGGCAGCGGATAAGAACGAAAGGATTCACAGAACTAATCCAATAGACGTCAAGCCCACACTCACGTGGGAGGGACTTCTACACTGAAGAATCTCAGCTGGAACGAAATCATACCTATATAAGACCGCCCAGCTACTTTGATGGCTCAGTTTAAGTAGGCGACAACAATTCAACCACGCGATCCCAATCTAATATCAACAATGGTCTCTCTCCGATCCTTGGCCCTCATCCTTGCCATTTACGGGCTCGGAACGCAGGCAGCACCAGCCCAGGAAGAACAGGCAGTTGAGCATCATGATGGAAAAGTCTCTATCTTAGACTTAGCTCGCAATGGCAAAGTCACGGATAGTGGCACTGTCAATGTGACATACAAGCACGAATTGCCTGAACCGAACCGGGATGACACCTTTGAGGTCGACGGTATCACCTTCTACAGTTTCCCAGGAGGAGCCGACGTCCATCCTGAGTTCTGGGAAGAACGTGGCATCTCTTTCCCCGATACAGTCAAGTAAGTGACATTGCTACGAACATGAATCTGAGGCGTATCATTCTAATATCGATGCAGCTCCTCCAGCCTAGAGGCTAGACAGAGTTATATTACCTCGTGTGAACCTTGCAAATGCAGTTTCAACCAGCAGGTTTGGTATGAATGGCAAACTCAGAACTGGAATACTGTCGTGGGCAATACGCATCTGCTCTCTGACCCCCTCTGCCCGCCCGGCAGCATTTCGAAGACTTGGACTAAGTCATGGTCTCACCAGATTTCTGTCCAAGCAGGCCCAGACCTCGTAAGTTCCGGTATCGAGTCACTTTTACTTGGACAGAACTAATGAACAAAAGAAAATTGGCGCAGGAATACTGGAAAAATTTGGCATTCGCGCTGGCTACTCCTATACCTGGGGGTACGTAGGAAACCCTTTGGGTCTAGATCATACTAACAAACTTCAACAAATAATAGGCACGCTGAGGCAACACAGTACGGTGTCAGCTGGAACAAGGATGGTCAGCAACATCCTTTCGTTGCAACATTTCATCCAAACATTTTTGTGGTGAATGGAATTGCTCGGGTCTGTCTCTCCTTTACCTAGGAACCTTGCCTCACTTGACTCATCGATATCTATCTATGTACAGGCCCACTATGTCGATCACTACTACAACAACATGGCGTGTGGTGTTAGCGATTGGAGTCACATGAACCTCCATCTGCCACTGGTTGAACAGACTAATAACGACTGCCTAAAGGAAACCAGCACATGTGGTGCCGCCGGTACGTGACTCTTGTTTTGGGCTAAGAAGAAGTCCGCTAAAACCCGACTCTAGGTTCCTACGACTCTTGCTTCTATATTGGAAAGTATGCCAAAAAATTATGCCCTGGTCGAAACCTTGGTCCGACTCCTGTGGGCCGCGAGTGCCCGAATTACCTTTATCCTGCTCCTTTCAACAACCCGGCGAATAACTGAAGGAGCCAAAGACGAGGTGTTGGAGGCCTGAGACCAAATCAGGTCTTCACCCACGACCTTTACCGCGGACTATACCGTGGCTGGCCATGAGGTGGACTTTTTGTACGTCTACAGTGATTTAATATTAATACTCTAACTATATAGTATTAATATTAGATCATTATCTACCTTGGTGTCAATGTTGAATCATCCTCTAGCAAGGATATTAACTACAGTATTATTCATACTAGTGTTAAATCCTTATATACCAAGGTTGTGCCAGTATACTTACAATTTACATATATATTCTCCTTTCAGGCCCATCCCAGATCTCGACTGGGATTTCTGAAACTGCAAGCAACACTAATCCGTTCTTCGGATATGCCTATTGAGAAATGGCCTTCTTGCCTGGGTCACTGTGGGAGTGGATGTTACGGCCAACCACGACTCGGTTGTTTTATATGCTGTTACCCTTACATCTGATGGTGGTATTACAAACGACGATTGCGCTGGGGTGAGATTCCCTCCGGCTCTGCCGGTGCAATGTTGCCGCATAAGAGTCGCGGTCGTATGCCCAACAATCCTGGCTTTGAGGCAGATTCCTCACAGTTCTGGAGACGAAGCTTCCACAGCCCTTACGGACCAAAAGCATGGTAAATGGCCTGGAAATTAACATCTTGTGCCTATGGTTCTCTGTTTTCCAACTAGTTCAATTATTGTACTGGAGCCCACATAATTTTCCCTCCAATGCAGTCACTGTTCTCCGCCTTTGTAGCTTCTGTAACCGTGCAATGTTCGGAATCAATCTTATTTCACCTTTCTTCAGGATTGCTAACAATAGCTATCCCATTAGCCGCGGCCTAAGGTTGGCGCCCCGCAATTCGGTACAAGGGTCCAGAGGTACACCATGTGGCAGTCTCCAACTTTACGGTAGCCCAGTCCACAGACACGATGGATTTCTCGTTGTTATCAAGTAAGGAGAACAGTAATCATAGTCATTAGCAATACAGCACATGCTTTCCGCAACTTCATGGCAAAGCGAGGTCAGTGTTGTTCGTAGCTGCCGAAATATATTCACGGTGGGGTGTGGTGAATTGCCCGCAGATGAGCACGAATCGCGTCTTCAAGTGCTCAATATTGCGATCATTTAATAAGCAAGGTAGTGTCGAATATATGAGTCAGGGCTACCGGTTTCCGGTCGGATTCACACGAGCCAAGAATCAAGGTGCCAAGAGAATAAGCATCGAAGGGACTCTTCAGCTCGCATGACTGCAGCTTAAAAGCTGTCGTCCCTCGCATAAGGGGAAATGCCTATCACGAGGTCCCGGGGAAACGTTATCAGTGCATTATGACCTGCAGCAGTATAGCGCTGCTAAGACTCATCTATGTAACCCAAGGAACTGCCAAGCATTTTCTCGAGTCAGTCCGACGGAGAATGGATGCACTCCCATTGGACTAAACCAGGAAAGTCGCGGCAATTACTTCCCCTGTTGTAAACCAAAGACCAGCTTGTACCAGCGGCAATATAAAAGTCTTGGTGCAGTGGATTCTGCAGCAAAACCCACGCGGACATCCGACGGACAGGTCCCTGAAATCCTCGTGAAGATTGCGTCCATAGTCCACTTGCCAATCGACCATGCAGATCGTTATCTTCAGCAAATCTCACGGGGTCATGCACTCGATTGAGAATACAGTCCGCAATGCTTACAGATGGGTATTATGTCTTATCTCTGTTAATGTAACTGTCTCGGAGAGTGATGCGGGGGAACGGACGGTTACCGACTTGCAATATCCCATGATGTGAATAGCTCCGGACTGGGTCGGGCCAAGATCGGACAGTCCTACGCTTGATGAGAATGACCTGGAGCCAGATAGGAGGTGAAGGACCAGTAACGCCAGATGCTCTGCTATAAATTCTCAGCTGCATCTCATAGAATCCCCAGAAGCAACCCACTTTGAATCCGGCATCATTCTCCTTCAGATCACATCCTCAACATGCGAGGCCTTCTTCTGGCTGGGGCTCTTGCCCTCCCTGCTTCTGTCTTTGCCCATCCCGCTCACCAGTCTTATGGACTCAACCGCCGTACTGTTGACCTGAATGCTTTCCGCTTGAAGTCCCTGGCCAAGTACGTCAATGCGACAGAGACGGTCATTGAAGCCCCGTCCTCCTTTGCCCCTTTCCAGCAGCAAAGCTATGTGGAGGCGGCGACTCAGCATGTCAAGATGATTGCCCCTGATGCGACTTTCCGCGTGGTCGATGATCACTATGTTGGTGACAATGGCATCGCCCATGTCCACTTCCGCCAGACAGCCAACGGTCTCGACATCGACAATGCCGATTTCAATGTCAACGTATGTATCGTGTCAAGCAGTGTATATCTCTTGCTAACAGGTGTACAGGTCGGAAAAGACGGAAAGGTCTTTTCGTATGGCAACTCTTTCTACACCGGTCAGATCCCTAGTTCGGCTGCATTGACAAAGCGCGACTTCTCCGATCCTGTGACTGCCCTCAAGGGAACTACAAATACACTGCAGCTTCCCATCACTGTGGATGGCGCGTCGTCCGAGAGCACAGAGGAGAAGGAGTCGTATGTTTTCAAAGGCGTCTCTGGAACTGTCTCCGATCCCAAGGCCAAACTAGTGTACTTCGTCAAAGGCGATGGAAGCCTCGCTTTGACATGGAGAGTTGAGACAGACATTGATAGCAACTGGCTCCTGACCTACATCGATGCCAAGAGCGGCGAGGAGATCCACGGTGTGGTGGATTATGTTGCTGAAGCAGACTACCAAGTATAGTGAGTATTGAGCCAATTCCAGCAGAAGAGCCTTACTGACATGCTTCCAGCGCATGGGGAATCAATGACCCAACAGAGGGCCAGCGGACGGTGGTCAAGGATCCTTGGGACTCTACCGCGTCGGAATTCACCTGGATCAGCGACGGCAGCACAAAGTATACGACTTCGCGCGGTAACAACGGCATTGCGCAATCCAATCCCAGCGGTGGATCGAGCTACCTGAACAACTATCGCCCTAGCAGCTCGAGCTTGTCATTCAAGTATCCCTATAGCACGAGCTCATCGCCCCCATCATCCTACATCGACGCATCGATCATCCAGCTCTTCTACACAGCCAATACCTACCATGATCTGCTTTACACCCTGGGCTTCAACGAGAAGGCCGGTAACTTCGAGTACAACACTAACGGGCAAGGCGGTCGTGGAAATGACTATGTCATCCTGAACGCCCAGGATGGCTCTGGCACCAACAACGCCAACTTTGCCACTCCTCCTGATGGCCAGCCCGGCCGCATGCGCATGTATGTTTGGACCGAGTCGACGCCGTACCGCGACGGCTCCTTTGAGGCCGGAATCGTGATCCACGAGTATACTCACGGTCGTACGTATACCTTATGCTTGTTTTATTGCCACAGACTAAAAATTTGCAGTCTCCACCCGACTCACTGGCGGCCCTGCCAACTCCAATTGCCTGAATGCCCTCGAGTCAGGCGGCATGGGCGAAGGCTGGGGAGATTACATGGCTACGGCCATCCGTCTTAAGCCCGGCGATACGCGCTCGACAGACTACACCATGGGCGAATGGGCTGCCAACCGGCCAGGCGGAATCCGCCAGTACCCATACTCGACCTCCTTGAGCACCAACCCTCTGACATACACCAGCGTCAACTCGCTGAACGCGGTTCACGCCATCGGCACGGTCTGGGCGACCATGCTGTACGAGGTGATGTGGAATCTGATTGATAAACATGGCAAAAATGATGCGCCGAAGCCCACGCTGCGCAATGGTGTGCCGACCGATGGCAAGTACCTTGCCATGAAACTAGTCATAGATGGAATGGCATTGTAAGTTGCCGAGAATGCTTCGAGAGTTTAATCATGTCGCTAATCAGGAGGCAGGCAACCATGCAACCCCAACTTCGTCCAGGCCCGTGATGCTATCCTTGATGCTGATACTGCTCTGACTGGTGGTGAGAACCAATGTGAGATTTGGAAGGCATTTGCCAAGCGTGGATTGGGTGCTGGTGCGCAGTATAGCTCGAGGAATCGTGTTGGAAGTACTGAGGTCCCCAGTGGTGTCTGTTGAGTGGCCCACCCTGAGCAATAAGGGGTAGTTTAATGAGGATAATGACAATTCTTGGCACTGTTACCTTGTATCCGGCTAATTTCTTGTAATAAGCGGGGGAGACATAGGGTGAATCCCACAGCACTCCATAAAGACGAGTAACCAATCCTGGATTTCTGGTACCTATCTCGCCTGTTGGTGATTTGTAGACGATACCACCTTAACTTCTACTAAATAGTAATCCAATTCTTGTCAGGAAATGAGCATGAGATTCTGAACCAATTGCGCCCCTTTATTTATAGCCAAGAAACTAGCCGAGCTCGGGCCCAGGAACATGTCTCGAACACGGCCAATAACGGTCCATACTAGGATAAATGACTGTCCCGAAGAGGTTACGGCAGGAAGCATTAGATGATGGTTGATCCAGTGCTGCCTACTCTTTTGATCATGGGTTTGTCGACCCTGCGACGCTACTGTGGTTCATTTCCGGGGATTATAGTAGAGGGCTCAGAGCAGTCCCATACTTAACCCTCGTGGTCCCCTTTTCCCATCTTCCAACCGTCAAAGCATCAGCCTATTCCAACTACTAGTCATTCTTTGCTTTGCATATATCACAGTCACTCATTTTACAAGTTGCATTCCATTCAGACGAGTTTTCTTTTTCTGTCTACCATTTATCCCCACAGTAGATCCTGAAACCTATCCCAGCAAATCACACCAATAAGAATACGAGGATCAACATGATGCGCTCCGTGATCCCCCTGATTGTCTCGCTTGGCTCGCTGGCTGCGGCCATCAACATCACCAGTCCTGCAGCCAACACCACCTACGCAGCCGGGTCCACTGTGACTGTCAAGTGGACCAGCGTCGATACCGATCCCACCAACTTCAGCCTCTACCTCTGGAACTTTGTCTCCTGGCCTCCCACCTATGTTCCGCTGGCGCTTGACATCCCAACGGAAGATCTGTCCCACTCCGTTCAGATCCCCTGCGACACCAACCCCGAATGGGGCTACCAGATCAGCGGCATCAACGGCACCAATGTCTACATCATCTACGCGCAGGGCGACAAGTTCACCGTCTCCGAGCCCGTCGAGCCCTGCGTCGACCCTGCCCCCGTGCCCACGCCGTCCACCTGCCCCAGCGCTGCGGCGTCTACCGTTTATGTCACGGTGAGCCCTACCGGTTCCAGCTCCCGTCTTTTCCATCCATCTTCCTCCCACGTCTCCTCCTCTCCTGCACCCAGCACCACCACCACTGCAACCTCCAAATATGTGAAGCCCGGAATCGTGCCTAAGACTATTGGTTGGTGTTCAGACTACTCCCACCCTGTGACCTTGGACAAGGTTCCCACCCCGACTGCGGCCCCGATGGTGACCCCCGCTCCTGGTGAGGGCAGCGGTGCTCGTGGTCCTCGTGTCAAGACCATTACTACGACTGTGAGTGTCGAGGCTTGCCCGATCGACGCGATGTGAGGAAGTCCGGGTGGAATCTGTTGAATGGTGCAGTCAAACTTAATTTCTTCATGCCTATATATTTTGTCAAGTATTAGGTATACTTATTAGTAAATATTGTAGGAGATATTTTATGTAACTCGAGTCGAGGGTATTCTCACTCTAGCTAATGCTAATCTGCGTAGTATCTATCCTCGGCTGTTAGGTCTCGTTCAATTCTCTTCGTATAACCCAGTGAAACTAAGGAAGCATTTGGTTCAATATCAATAGGACGCTGGCTTTGGCAGTTCTTCAATAGAAGTCGTCGTAAATGTCGAGGATCTGCTAAATGCCATGCCCCTATATTTTGGAACTTATACAGGTGATGAGTTTCGCATGGCGGCGGAAATCAGGCTGACGGAAAGGCTAGAGGTATTCAGGTCTTGTTTCGCGAGGTACTACAGTACTACAGTACTACATATTGACTCTTCAAAATTAGCAAGGTTGCCATTCTTGCTAGGAAAACGGAGAAATGACTGTGGGCAAGGCTGGCTACTACAGTCCCCATTCTCCAAGCATTCTTGGGCATTCTCTACACCAACTTAGACTCTTGGTAAAGACTTGCGAATGACAAGACAAATGAAGGCTCGCCAAGATATCCACTCACTCATATTTCTGCAGAGTGCAGACAAGCAATCATTGTCGCAGAGGCTCCGTCTAAATTTGGTTGTTCTCGCCGATCGACACGAGACGGACTCTATTTTTGGGATACGAAACTGTGCCCTGGCAGTCCCTGTGCAGGAACACGAACGCTAAGCTTCGTATTATGGTTGCATCCGAGATCAGCCATCCCGACCTCTCCAAAACAGGTCAAGCTAGGATACTTGTCGATATATTTCACGAGATGCATACGAGATGGACCCTGATCAGTCCTACAGGTGGGGCCAAATGTTTCCCCAGGGGCTCTCATCCTGCGAGCCATTCCTTCTCGTATACGGACGCGGCTGTTTGAACTAATTTCCGAGGCAGACCGGAGTATCTCTCATTTGCCCTTATCCTTGTTCTATACGAGGATATGGATGATCACCGTGTTCATGCTCGGGTATGGGGACATTACTGGCTCTGGCGACTCGCGGTTTACATCCTTAAGAAGATCATGAATAGGAACATGACCGTCCAGATCAGCTATATAAAGGACAATTGAATCCCTCGAAGTTGGATCTTCTCATCAGCATCAACATCTTCATCCTTCATCTTCAGTCTCGAACAATCTCATCAAGACTCCTGAAATTAACCGACATCATGTTGTACCTTCCTCTCGTCGCCCTTTCCTTCGCCACCACCCTGGTGAGCGCATACCCCATCACTGGCGATGGTGTCAACTGCCGCTCCGGTCCTGGCACCAACCACCCCGTGGTCAAGTCCTACCCCAAGGGCCATGATGTCTCCATTGTCTGCCAAGCGCCCGGCACCGACGTCAAGGGCGACAAGATCTGGGACAAGACCTCCGACGGCTGCTATGTTGCCGATTACTACGTGAAGACCGGCAGCTCCAGCTATGTCACCAAGCACTGCGACGGCGGCAGTGATGGTGGCAGCGGTGGCGGCAGCGGCAGCGGCAACCTCCCCGGTCTCACTGCCACTCAATCCTCTCACGCTCACAAGATCATCGATGAGGCGAAGAAGGAAGGCCTGGGTCGTCAGGGTTGCCTGGCTGGTATTGCAACTGGCTTGGTTGAGGTCAGCAGATCTCCTGCTCCCGTGTTTATACTCATGCTAATTGGTGACAGTCCAACCTCTTGATCTATGCCAACAGCAAGGTCCCCGAGTCCCTGAAGTACCCCCATGACGCCGTCGGCCACGACTACGACAGCGTCGGCATCTTCCAGCAGCGTGCTGTCTACTACCCCAACATCGCTGCCGACATGGACCCTGCCCGCTCCGCCGCTCAGTTCTTCGCCAAGATGAAGAACATCAGCGGCTGGAAGACGATGGATGTCGGCAAGCTTTGCCAGAAGGTCCAGGTCTCTGCTTATCCCGATCGTTATGCCCAGCGTGTGCCGGCGGCTCAGAAGATCTGCGCTGCTGGTGGACTGTAAAGCACTTACTTCTGGCGATGGGCAACAGCGCATAGAGGCCATTAGACGCTCGAATCTTCTTCTATTTTACCATTCTGGATTGCAGTTTTTGTTAGATCATGTATATTGACTCTTCTTCTATATTCTATCTTCTTGATTTTGTGACCGCAATTGATTGAATCAATCAGCAACGGCATAGCTGACCTTGGACCTGCCTGCCTTCCTCGTAATCTTCCTCACCGTAGTTAATCCACACAGATCAGTCGTATCGACATGCGTGCCTCCACAGGGATACACCTCAGCGCCAACGATATTAACCACGCGAAACTTCTCGCCAGGCGCAATAGCGACAGAACCGCGATCAAGCAGCAGTCGCTCCAGTCCCCGTCTCCGAAACTCCTCCTCATCCCACCAGTCCACCTCAACGGGCAACTTGGCGTCAATGAACTCGTTCACTTTCGCCTGGATCGGATCCTTCCATTTCCCATCAATCGCTCCCTGGAACTCACACGCCGCCGCGTCAGGAAAATGCGACGCCTTGAGTTCGTCGAATCCCTCCACCTCCTTTTCCAGGAGGTGCCGGACCGCCGCGCCGAGGACGTGGCCGGCCGTGTGGAGACGTGAATACAGCAGACGCTTATCTGCGTCTATCGTCTGTTCAACTGTATCTCCCTCGGAGAAGACGCTGGATGAAGATGATGATCCTGATGGTGTCGGATTGAACCGACCAAAATGGAGGACTTGGCCCTCGCGTACTGCGTCCATGCGCACGGCCGCGACCGTGAACGCAACTCCCGAGGCGTTGGTCATGGTGCCCTCGTCAGACGGCTGTCCGCCCCCCTGGGGATGGAAAATGGTCTGCTCTGTGATAATCGCATAATCTTCATCGGTGCCTTGCTTGAAGAGCTGGCGGTTTGATTCTTCCAGCACTGGAAAAGGGTGGATTGCCTTCACGATGGTTTGGAGATTGTGGAGCTTGGCATTGTGCTGGAAGGCGAGAAATGTGCGAGCGGTTGTGGCCATGATCAATTGAAAGTAAGTCTCAGCGGTGGTTTAACTTTATTGAATGAGAGTTACTGTGGTGTTGACTATGAAAGAGAGATGTTGCTTCATTATTTTCCTTTGCGATCTTCCCCTCGGCACAAATTCACAATAGTAACGTAATCTCCCAACAGGGAATAGCGTCAATGCTGAGTTGCTGTGTTTATTTATTTCCGTGTCAAAGAACGATTATTTTGAAGGACAGACATTGAGATCCGATCGGTGGATTATCATAGTGGTTTACCACGTAGTAAAGTAAGTATGCTTTTAACAGTAATTCCAGGATATAGCCACATATGTCCATAAGTTATAACAAATGCCGACCATCAACAACGCGCCGATGTTGACTAGCAGCGAAAGAGTGAAAGCCTCCAAGCTAAAGGAGACCCATGTGCGTCAAACGATTGCAAAGCTAGATATATCTCAGTTGTCGCATAGAGCGCAGCATCCGGTACACCCCAAACAAAGTGGCATAGATGCCTGCGCCGGCGGTGGCCCAGGCAGGGCCCTGCAGACGCAAGGACGAGACGGCAATAGGACCGGGCTGTTTGTAGGTATCCGATCGGACGACGTGCTTGCGTCTTTGATTTGAGTCTGAGACAAGTTGGGGTCATTTGGTTAACCCAGTCCTTGTTGAGGCTCACCATCAAGAAGTAGTAGCGCACCTGGAGTTTGAAGCCTCTGCTTTAGAGTACTAAAGAGAGGCCTCGAACGATGGACAATTGCTTGATACATGTTTGTAGACTTGAATCGGTGATGGAGATGAATTGTTAGCTTTGTGAAGGGGCTGTGGTATTGTTCATCAATCAGTGGACACTACGGTTTACGAGCATCAGAATCAGCGACAAGAAGACAAACGTCTCGATAATAAAGAATTACGGGGGCGACTGGGGGACAATCAAGCTGTCATAAGACCCGACATTCGGGGCGTGGCGAATTTCATCATGACTTCCCCGGATTCGAGAAACGCAATGAACCCACCATCCTACCAAGGTACAGACGCTGTCAGAAATAAACGGTTACTGGTTCGTCGACTATCCAATCGTTTTACGATTCTTCATTGTCCCGTGCGGTTGGCTCGATAGGCTTATGGTTAGCACACTCAGATGTATACATTTATAGCTAGATGGATGTTGCTTTTGAGCTTTTCAAGGCAGTGTGGGATGGTGACCAACCAAGGTGGCTTGCAAAATGATATCGAATGGCTGTGCAAAGCCAGGGTGCAAGGGATAGTACAGGTACATAAGACATGACCATCCCTCGCCATTCTGCCATTCGTTCCTTCAAACTCGCGTTATTTTCTCTGGACCTGATGCCATCATCGATCGAGCTCAGGTTGTATAGCGAACATGACCACTATCTGGCAGAAGGAAAACCTGAGCCTAGCATTCGCTCACAAACGTTGACTTACCATTCGGGAAACTCCAAATGGTGGGTAAAAGTAACGTTCAGGGCGAGATCTCCCACGGACTGGAGCAACAGACCCCGAAACGCGAACGTCGCAGAGAATTTCAGGATTTCGACAAGCACATCGACTATTCCTCGTTGCCGCTTCTGGATGACACTGTGACTGAAGTGCTTTTGGAAGAACTCTCCAGCAGCCCTTTTGCATCGCTTGCCAGAACATTGAGATACACGACGCGCGAAGACCCTTCGAGGGTCGTCTATCCCTCGTATCGTGAAGTCCCTTCATTTCCACATATAAACATGGCGGAATTGTCAGATGAGATGATGATTACTGCTGGAGTTTGCAAAGTCTTCAATGTCCATACCAAGACACGCGATACTTATTGACATCAGTGGCATTGGCGGAGTCACATATGAGTGGTGCGCCCCGGAGATACGGGATGAAATAGACCCAATTACTCTCCCTTTCGAGGTGCGCCGACTATGTGACGTATTGGCTTATGGTCAGCTTTTATCAGGGATTGCATCGCATGCAGAAGACAGCCCTGTTGCGAAGTTGAGGCAGACTGCGCATTGTCTGACAAAAGAAAACACACAACCTCGTATGACTTTATGCTATCTCACAAGTGAAGCTGCTGGCATTGCAAAGCTGTGCGGTACATGTAACTAGGGACGTGCCACTAATGTCTCCAAACGCTGCCTTTTCAACATCTCGATATACACCTCTCAAGCAGCCGGGAGAACCCAGGTAGTCACGGATTGGCTAGGAACGTTCCCGCTCCACTTCGGCCCGCTCTTCATAGTGACAGTCACGTAGACATCATTGCTAAAAGTGTTTTCAATGACCACGGTGCGGGTTCCATCGGGGTTCAACGAAGCCACGGACTGGATACCGCCACTGCCAGAATATGTGTAGCTGCCACTGCCATTGAGCACAATCGCACCAGGGGGCATAAACTTGCTGAATTGCGCCATCATATAGTATGCAGTGTTGAGCGTGTAGCCTCCATTGTTGATGGTCACCAAGCCTTGACATGTTGCGCAGCCGCCAGTGGACAGATGCGGGCCATCCTGGGCGTTGGTTCCCAGAGTCCAGGCTGCAACTCCCGAGGCCCAGTTCTGCAGGGGACCCATGGTGAAGTCAGCTGCTTGATTCCATGAGCCAGATGCTGGAGTCCAGCACTCGGTCATGTATTGCTTTACTCCGGGGTTCGTGTTGTGGAACTGGCTTAGCACTGTCCAGTCAACGTTGGGAGCGTAGCAGTGCCAGGCGACCGACTTGACGTACTGTCCGGCCTGGTTAAGGACAGTCTGAGGATACGATGGGACATCTGTACATGTCAGCTTCGTTGCTGGAATATCAAAGGTAACACGTACCTGTGTTGTGGTCATAAGCCCAGATTTCGGTATTGAGACCGGCGCTGGCAAGAGCTGGGCCAATATAATTTTGGATCAGCTGTGCCGACTCATAGTCATAGACATACATGGTGGGATAGCCGGCCGAACTGAACAGTGGCTCGTTCTGGATGGTAATCGCGTCGACAGGAGCACCCAGATTCTTATAGGCTTGGATGTACTTGACAAAGTACTGCGCGAATTGACTGGCATAGCCCGTACTACCGGTTCCACCACTGGTCAGGTATCCATCATTCAAGTTGTTGTTGTTCGTATTGCCATCGATGACCCCGTTCAGCTTCATCCATCCTGGCGCACTCCAAGGAGAGCCGAGGATCTTGAGACTGGGCTGCAAAGACTTCATTGTGGCCAGCATCTTGGCCATGGCCGTTCCTCGGTCGCCCAGATTGAATCCTGACAGCGACGGATCCGCCTTGCCGCCATTGTCATCATACGTGTAGGCGGGATCACCGGACAGATCGGACGCCCCAATGGTGTGTCGCATCAAAGCAAAGTTCGCGCCGGCAGATGTCATCAATTTATTGAGCAGGTCCTGCAGCACCGAGGCAGACAGGGTGTTGAACGAGGTCACCGTGGCATCGGTGACGGCAGCACCGAACCCAACAATTGTCTGTTTGTGACCGGACGAGGTGTCGTCAACGGTCAATTGCCAGGTTGATTCAGAGCCGGGATTTCCTGCACCTTGGACCGGAGCTGCTATGGAGGACAGCTTGTAGTTGCCGGCCGAGTTGGAACAATACGCAGACGCAGATCCGGCTCGTTTCTCTGGCGTGGCATGGCTCAGGGCTGTCAAGCCAAGCAGAGCACCGACGGATATACGCATTGTCAACGAGAAGTGCTTGTCTTGCTCTTGGTTATTTCTTGTTGTCGCCAGAGGCACTGATTGAGAGGTCTCCGAACAGACGGGCGTATTCAAGACTTTATACCCACAGTCGGCACATAGGCTGATAGTAATTCGGCACTTGGTTTGGCAAGAATTAAGCTATAACTCCTCCTTCAAGTGCATCATTGGCCAGAACAATTAGCGTGTATCTCTATAAGCAACACAAGCATTACCCCGGCGGAGTACGGAGCTGAAGAATACTACGCACAGGATGAGGATACCACAGTATCATGGACTAATGCAAGCCTCAAACCTCTTAGAAACCAGCTCAATGATCAACTTGGTATTGATCTTCGCCGCTTAATCGATGCCGACGTCTTCAGCTTCCGGGCTTCGCCATGGCTGGAGTTTAGCTCTGATACCTCAGACGGACTCTGGACCAACAAGGCAAGGCCTGCCCCTGTAAACAAGCATTTTACCTCTCCTGTCGATAGTAAATCTATATCAAAGCGAAACATAATACGGCCCAACACCCCACCTTTCTTAACTTTATTCGTCTTACGTGAGAATTAAGGATCATGGCAGTGGGGCTGTGGGTATATACTTGACGAGGCCGTTTTGTATGGGGTATGAACTCAGATTTGCCGGGAACAGGCTCTGTACATCATCGGCTCTTTGAGAGAGAGCATAATAAATATCATGACTGCCTCGAAAGGTGAAAGGTGAAAGTTGAAAGTTGAAGCCCCCTGAAGCAGATGTCTAGCTCAGTGGTCAGTCATAAGCCTCTACGCCATAAAGCTAGCGCCCCACAGCACGGTACATGAAAACCCTGGGCCCCCGCATCTTCACCGTCTTGTCCTCTGCAGAGAGACCATTTTCCGGAAAGGGTAACGCAGTGTTACTCCATCCAAATCATCCAGTTCTCAATGAGAACTTAGACACATGGTTTGATATAGTACCTTACTCCCATACACACATGGTCGACCAAGGAAGTAGATGGAGAATTGTTTCTGCCTCAGGCAGCACGGCATTTCCAAGCTAACTTCCCAATATGGTTAGCTCCTGGTACTGCCGTGCCCCTCCGATGTTGTTGCGTCAATCGAGGAGCGTCTCGTCATGGAATATACACTCATTTTCATCCCCAGTTGACAGCTCAAAAGTCAGTTGTTCCCATCAATCTGCACAATGGCATCCATTCTACCTCGTACAGGCTTCAGAGCCCTTTCTGCGCTCCCCAGAGCCGGCCCTGTCTCAAGAGTGGCTTTCTCCCGCCAGCTTCTGCGCGCCCAGCCCCTCGTGCAGCCCTTCGGTCGCAGATTCCTTGCGACTGTTCCCCAGGAACAGCCTCGCCTTCGTCTTGGTTCTACCGGTAAGTTATTCACCTCTAACTTCGGCTGTAAACATTCTGCTAATATAGATTCCTCCCGTAGCCCCGAACTTCAAGGCTCAGACCACCCACGGCGAAATTGATTTCCACGAGTTCATCGGAGACAGCTGGGCCATTCTCTTCTCTCATCCCGCCGACTTCACCCCAGTATGCACGACCGAACTCGGCGCCTTTGCCAAGCTGAAGGGTGAATTTGACAAGAGGGGTGTCAAAATGATCGGCCTGGTGGGTCGTCCTCTCAATTGAAGCATAATACCATACTCATCGATCATTTATAGAGCGCGGACGATCTCAGCTCCCACGGTGACTGGGTCAAGGATATCAACGAAGTTGCATCGACCACCGTCCAGTTTCCCATCATTGCCGATCCCGAGCGCAAGGTCGCCTTCCTCTATGACATGATTGACCAACGCGACCTGGACAACATCGCCGAGAAGGGCATTCCTTTCACCATCCGTGCGGTTTTCATCATCGACCCCGCCAAGAAGATCCGTCTGACAATGTTGTACCCTGCTTCCACCGGTCGTAACTCCGCCGAGGTCCTGCGTGTGATCGACGCTCTGCAGGCTGCGGACAAGAAGGGCATTGCCACTCCCATCGACTGGACCGTTGGCGAGGATGTCATTGTTCCACCCTCGGTCTCTACTGAGGACGCTAAGAAGAAGTTTGGCAATGTGCGGGAGGTCAAGCCCTACCTGCGCTACACCAAGTTCTAGGTGGCTCCGACTCATTACGGTCGATACAAGGGATCCAGTAGATTTGTAACAACAATAAGATTTCCATTATATGCACCATGATATGTCAAAGTAGCCTTGCATGAGCATGCCTCAGCTCTCCCATCCTGGCACACCAACTTGCTCGCTTTACTAGCACTGACGATGGATCACTTCTCAGCACGCATCGAGTAACAACAGCTTCGAAACTGTAAATTCGATGGATGTTACCAATTGCTCACGCCACTGGCGTTCCGCAGTTATGTGTGCTGTGTCACTAATCGCTAATGGCTGGCCAAGTCAACCCCAACTTCTACCCTTGCAGGAGGATTTTGCACCACCCGTTTCCGGGCCGCAAGCGGGCTGACGGTCGCACAGCAGTTGTCATCACAAATGGACAAAAGGTTATGATGCAAATCCTTCGCATGGGAAAACTCTCAGCGGCCTTCGCAGTGTCAATAGTAGCTTGGTGTGAAGATTCAAGATGTCTGGAACGTATAGCAACAGTTCGGTCCAGATATACCGAATTCTTGAGCAAACCAGGCACATACAACTGGGCGATACATCAAGTAAGACAACTTTAGCTTCTATTCCGGGTAGGTGAGAGCAAGCTAAGTATTCCAAAGGAAAGATTGCGACCGCCATCAGACCACTGTCTCAAATCAGGGACCTAATCGAGGTTTTGCAAAACCTGGGCCACGTCCGCGAATCATCTGCTCTAGCCGATGTGCTTCGCGTGTGCACCCAACCGCAGGATCTCGGTGGGCTGGGTCTAGACGATGCGAGCGAACTCTCGGCGCAGCAAGAATCAGAAGTTCTGTTCCTCGTGTCTGCTTGGCTGGAAGCGCTTAATTCGGAGGATAGGTCCAGATCGATGCCTGCTCCTCTGCCATCAAGGCCTCCAGGTCGGCGCGGGATGACTCTAAGCGAGAAAATCTTTGCGTTGCACGACATTGCTCATAGGGGTTGGGTGGCTCCTGGAGATTTGATTCGGGTCGACGTCGATTGGGTGATTGCGTCGGAGGCATCATGGGCCGTGAGGATTGACCACAATGATTCATCTATGCCGCTAAGCCAGTTCATTAGGGCATGGAGACTACGTACAACGACCTAGGCAAGCCTGGGATTCACCGTAACGATCGCTTCTGGCTCGCCGGTGATCATGTTGTAGATCCTCGCGTCCGAGATGTTCCGAAGATTCGCGCGCTGATCGATGCAAGCGAGAGGGCAAAGCGAGTGTTCAAAATGACCGAGTACCAGGGGATGAACGTTGGTCAAGCATAGTCCTTAGCCCCTGGGAGATGCTAACATGGTTTAGTATACCATCCTCCACACTGAGTTCTACAGGGAACGAGCGCAACCTGGCATGCTGATCATTGGCTCCGATTCACATACGTGCTCCTCTGGCGCATTGGGATGTCTGGCGATTGGTCTCGGGGCAGCAGATGTGACTTTGCCCTTGGTAACAGGCGAGACGTGGTTCAAGGTTCCCGAGTCCATCAACATCCGCCTCTTGGGTGTACCAAAGCCTGGGATCGGTGGAAAAGATGTTATACTATACATCTTGCAGCAGCTGAAGAGAAATACTGTCGCCTCGGAGAGGATCGTCGAGTTCTCTGGTGCCGGTGCGCAGTATTTGTCGGCTGATGCTCGATTTGCTATTTGCAACATGACAGCGGTACGTCAATGCGTTTCCAGACGTTACGTCTTGCTTATCAAAGAAGGAACTCGGTGGTATCACCGGGGTATTTGTGCCTGATCATGTCACGCGCGACTTCGTGGACAAAAGACGCTTGAAGCAACATAAGAATCTCATCACTTACTTCCGACCCGACAACGATGCGCAGTACGCCGCAGAGCTCGACATTGATCTTGGAAATGTCCAGTCATTCTTTGCTCGGTACCCGAGACCAGACGATGTGGTCCCTGTCTCTGATTATGCAGGATTGCGGTTGGATGGATGCTTTATTGGAGCTTGCACCACAACCGAGGAGGACCTTATCCTTGCTGCTCTTTTGCTTCAGCAAGGGCTGAAGAAAGGCTATCGGCCAGTTAAGCATGGCAAGAGGAAGGTGGTGCCGGGGTCAATGCCCATCCTGCGCAGACTACGCGAATCATGCCTCACCGAAGTCTACGAAGCGGCGGGTTTCGAGATTGGGGTACCTGGCTGCAGCTATTGCGTCGGCATGTCGGCGGATCAGGCAGCTCCAGGAGAAGTCTGGCTCTCATCCCAGAACCGGAATTTTGAGAATCGCATGGGCAAAGGTTCGTATGTGTGCCGCTCCAGCATTCTTTAGCTGAACGATGGAACACAGGGTCAATAGGGCATCTAGGCTCTGCTGCAACTGTCGCCGCATCTTCATTTGAAATGAGATTGACCGATCCTCATGACTTACTTTGTGGGATTAATTGGGAACGATGGATATCCTTGCGCGTCTGTTCTGGACTCACAGCGAAAACGGGCTCGCCTTCTCACCCGACCTTTGTTGAGCCGAACGGATCTCGTTTTCTCTCTCCTGAGAGACTTGAATCAAGTATTTTCCCCAGATACACGCAAGAACCTCGGTTTCCTGAAACCCTGTGTGGCAAGGTACAGCTTTTAGGTGATTTCATCGACACAGATGCGGTATGCTCAAATAATTACTTGTATTCGTTGGCTAAGCTACGCTTGACTGATAGCATCCATAGCTAGCACCGGCTGAATTCTTGATGGACTTGAAAACTAATGAGCAAATTGGTCTGCATTGCCTGCAATACACCCATCCATTGTTCCGCCAACGAGCCGAAGAAGGCTTCAACATCGTTGTGGCTGGTCAAGCCTTTGGCTGTGGATCGTCGCGCGAACAGGCCGTCATGGCATTGCTTGGTTCGTTATACCACTATCACACATACCTTTGCTAACAGCATTCAAGGCTGCGGTATCGAATGTGTGATCGCGAAATCGTTTGCCTTTATCTTTCAACGGAACATGCCCAATCTCGGCCTGTTGGGCATTACCATGCCTAATGAGTCGTTCTACGCCGCCGCCAAGGATGGCTCCGAGATATCGATTGACCTCCGTGCGCACGTCATCCACATTGATGGACTCCGTTTTGAATTTGAGTTGAGTCAGATGGAACAAGAATTGTTCCGCCACGGTGGCATTACTTCTGCCTTTCGAAAATTCGGGAATAGCCTCTTTGAAGAGCTCACAGCGGCGAAGAACGTTGGGACAAGCCACAGGAAGAAAGATTGTCATGCACCTAACGAGCTGCAATGGTAATGATATCATGCTTGGTCTTGAACCATCTCATTCATTTGACCAGTCTATGCCCTAAAAGCAGCTGAGGTAGAGGCATTGGCAGCTGAAAGTAGCACATTCCTTTCCTTTTTCTATTATCGACAGATAGTATTCAAGAGGAACCACGCAATGCACTTGACAGAATTCATATGACTGTCTCGGGTTTCTTACTGATTCAGAGTTGTTCTCCACACTGTGGGTCGGCCAAACTGACATGTCTCTGAGTTGGTGTCGGGTATCGGATGTCCAGCCAATCAACTATAGTCGATGACATCCTCAATAGAAACAATGCATCTGATAAGGATTTGCAGGATATAACTTTGGCTTTATTTGACAGAAGTTCATAGTTTAATAAGGTGCGGTTGCTCCAATATCTTCCTAATATCAGACTTAATCCATATGTGGTCAATAAATCGCTTGACCCCGAGAGTCATCAGAATAGCCACTCCGACGCTTGCTCCATCCTCTTTCAACATTAGGATGTCACATTCCGCCACGGTGACACTACATGAGGTCAAACATGAACATTTACAGGCAGCCCAACCCTCTGTCAGGACACTAGCCCTTCCGGAAAGTGAAGATGACCCCAAGATTCGTGAAAAATATCGCCCCTTCCTCCTGAATCCTCAGCAAGCGGCTGAGGATTGGGCCAATCGCTTGGAACTCGACACCGTGCTGGACATGGCGGAGAAGGACCTCAGGACGACTCAGAAACGTATCAAGGTTTTAGTTTTGTACGGTTCCCTGCGGAAGAGGTATGGATCTGTTGACATGCAGTAATCCCTTCAAGCATCCGAGGCTGACACGTCGGCAGATCGTACTCGAAGCTCGTAGCCTTCGAAGCCAGTCGAATCCTCTTCCGACTCGGCTGCGACGTCCGAGTCTTCAACCCAGAAGGCCTACCGGTCAAGGACGACGTCCAGCATACGCATCCCAAAGTCCAAGAGCTGCGCGAGTTGAGCACATGGAGCGACGGTCATCTCTGGGTGACGCCCGAGCAACACGGCAATCTGGTAAGTTCATCATCACAAAATCTTCCAGAGCATTACTGATCCCTGCTAGACTGCCGTATTCAAGAACCAGATCGACTGGATTCCCCTGTCGACCGGCAGCGTTCGACCCACTCAAGGTCGCACGCTGGCCATCGCCCAAGTATGCGGAGGATCCCAATCGTTCAACGCCGTCAACTCGCTTCGGATCCTGGGCCGATGGATGCGCATGTTTGTGATCCCAAATCAAAGCTCAATCCCAAAGGCATACACGCATTTTCCGGATGCCGGTCAACCGGGAGACTATCATCTCATGCCTAGCGGGAACCGGGATCGCTTGGTTGACTGTATGGAAGAGTTTGTAAAGTACACTATCTTGATGCGGCCTCATTTTGATCTTTTTGCGGATCGATATAGTGAACGGGAGGAAAGGCGATTCAAACAAGCCGCGCAGGCGGCCTAGCTCGGACCCAATGCCCTATAGAAAGAGATAAAGGTACGGCCGCGCTGAACATGTATATAGACATAGACCTTGGGACTGATGTCCTCGATCACAATGATATACCCGAGCGGCAGCCAAATGAATGTAACCTTGGAAAACATTAAGCCAGCAGCCCCGGCATAGAAAGTAGCAAACGCGGTGACTACCGCAAAGGCTCTCCACACTTATTCACAGACGGCTGCCATAGGATACTTAGTAGTCAAGAGGCAAGAGACCATGAGCAAGGAGTGCTAGCATCACAGAGAACAAACCAGCAGAAAGGGGACGTTTGTTTACAATGTCGTCACAGGAACTATCACCTTCGTACTGTGCTTCAGACCCTATGCTCGTTGGATACTGCCCTACGGAAGCATCAGAACTTGGATATAACAACTTAAATTAATACATGATCAATTAATGAGACCAAAAGTGCTGGTATCTCTTGCAAACATGAACAGACACGTCGAAGTAGAATCATCAATCGTCAAAAATCGCTTCCGTAATCCTCAATTACGACCCCTGCTCTTTGCTGGACGAGCCTGTAACCCAGTTTCCAGCACTCTGCATTCCTCCAGAAATTGAATTTCCCACCGTCTGTGCCCCAGAGGTGACACTCTGACCAGCACCCTTGGCTCGGTCCACCACGGGGTCAGTGATGCCGCCAAGCGGACCGCCATATGAGCCATTCTCGTCCTTGCCGTTTCTCTCCGCGCGGTTGATCCCTTCTTTAGAGATCATGTTACCGACAGGGGCAAGGAATCCGTTCTCGCCGAGCTGGTTGCCGACCAAATTGTTGACGTCGTCTTGCACCTGGTCGACCTGTTTGATGCCGGTGACTTTGGACTTGGACAGGGTATCTAGCCGGGCTCATGTTAGTATATCAGATGCTCAAGGGCAGAACGATCCAAGATGATTGAGACAGGGACATTTTCTTACCTTTTGTGACGTATGAAGCCTTGTTGTCGCCCTTGCCGAACCATTTCAGGTACTGCTCCTCGAGCCACGGCATCCACTTCTCATATTGGTCATTGTATGCCTCTTTCACCCATTCGCTAAAGGACTGCTTCTGCTTCTGGTCCTCGGGGAGGTTGTCATAGAAGTGTCGCTTTTGCTCGTCCGTATGGGTCTCAGCACCGGTCTTTTGGTTGAGGTTGTCCATGTTGTTGCTGTATTGGAAGGAAATATCGGTTCTGTGTCAGTGATAAGCTTGACGCTAAGAGGAAGTTTGTTTAAAAACAGATATTATCATAGGACTAAGATCGCGATAGCCTTCTATATAATGCTGGTCTGGGTATGGCTGTCCGCCACATGGTGGGCCAGCACCATGACGTGTGTGGATCTCCATTAGATCAATCACTGCTCGGCCCTTGCTGGATTGCGTACTGACAAGGCCAAAGCTCGTTTCCTTAGTATCAAGGATGACATCTCGTTGGATCTGAAGGGTTGGCACTTCTGGATGGCCATTTGACGTGACCATCCCGGCGGGTCCTGACGTCATGGAGCCCTGTCTGGTGAATCTCTTGAAACGACCACCTTCGATGATATGATTCGATATACAACAAAGGGTGACTTCCAATTAGTTGATCAATTTACGTATATTACATTAATTTATGTTGATGTCATATTGTGCTTGGCATTATTGTTATGAATAATGCAGATGAAGGCGCAACTGTCACTTGGCTAGCCCTTTAAAGCTGTTGATAAAATCACTTGCATGTCGATCAGAACTTTGTTTCGTTGAGATCTCGATTTCAGACTTCAAGGGCTAGCTGACAGTTTGTTAAATTCGGTTGCTGTCTCCTTCTGCCCAATCTTGCTGTCCGCACGACCGGCGAGGTCTCTGGCTGCTCGTTCCCAGTACACTTCTCCCGAGGGCAGCAGCGTTTTCGTTGGCCATGCACTAAGTGTGCAGGGCAGAAAGGAGAAATATATTATGTTGATAGACCCGTCGCTATCTTGATGATAATCATAATACTTTGAATGAGCCAAGATCCGGGAGGCTCGATCCCGAATGTGAGCTGGACACTGCTACATTATGAGGCTATCTCAGAAGACCTGTTTGCTCATTTCGAGCCAGTATTGATCCACGAAGGACAGAACTGGAACTGAGCACTTCGGAGAGTACCGACTGGGGATGGACACTGGACAACCTCGCCATGTCAGCCTTGCCAGGGGCACAGCGACAGCTACCGAGTTCATTCGATGAGCCTGTGCTGTTGCTGCTAGCTCCGCCTATCATTGACCATTCTTTGCCAAAATAATATACAAGGTTGCTCCACCTTTACGAGGTCGACAGATCGTGCCGCCTTTGCGCCAATCGCTTTGCGAGATGCGTCGACTCGAGATATAAATACCCCTGGATACGAACGGTGGAGATTACTGATATGTCTGCCAAGACAGTATTATTGCCTCTTAGGGCTTCATTATGCGGCTCTGGCCTGATGCCCACAGCCTCAACACTTACATGTGATTTATTGGGGGAGCAGTTATCATTGTATATAAGACTCCGTCCAGAACACAGAATTGGAAGAGCAGAACATTACTCTTCTCATATTCACCACCACTTCTTTCATTAGACTTTGTTCATAATGAGATTCCTTCCTTGGGCTGCTGCCATTCTCTCGGCTGTGTGCGTTCAGGCAAATGAATGGCACGCCTACTACCGGCTGACCTCCGATGCATATCAAGCCAAGTTCAATGACCTTGTCGGCCAAGGTTACCGACTGAACTCCGTCAGCGGCTATGAACGCAACGGCCAGCCTAACTTCGCCGTCATTTTCGAGAAGAAATCTTCAGCGGCCTGGAAGTCTCACCATGGCATGACTTCTGCCGCCTACCAAAAGAAATTCGACGAGTACCTCAGCCAGGGATACCGTGTCGTCCAGGTCAATGGCTACACTGTCGGCGACGACGCTTACTATGCTGCCATATGGGACAAGTCGCCCTCCGCAGGCTGGGTCACCCGTCATGGAATGACGATTGAATCGATGCAGAAATATTTCGACGAGTACCTGAAACAGGGCTACAAGCTCACTCATATCAGTGGCTACGAGCTCAAGGGCGAGGAGCGCTTTGCTGCGGTCTGGGAGAAGACGAACGACCATATCGCCTGGCTGTCTTATGCCAACATGACCTCTGCCGAATATCAATCGCGCTTTGACAAATATGTGAAGGACGGATATCGCCTGGTCGACGTCGATGGATATCAGGTAGACGACCATGTTTACTATGCGGCCATCTGGGACAAGTCGGCCTCTGGTGCTTGGGTCGCCAGACATGGATTGGATTCACCAAGCTTCCAGGCGGCATTCGACAAGTATAAGAAGGAGGGCTATGTTCTTCGCGCTTTCAGTGGGTACAATTCTGGAAAGGAGGATCGCTATGCTGGTCTTTGGATAAAGCCATAGGTTGCATTTTGTCTTTTAGGACGATGCCATATAATTACAAGCTTGTAATATAGAATAAAATTATCAACGGTGCACCATTACTAGGATATTCCTTCGAATACATGAAATCGTGAGTTGGAGTGGTCACACACACAGTCCGGCATAAAGTTCCCAAATATATATCGAGGATAGTCGGCGAATGTGCCATACTTATTTTGAATGCTGATAAAACCATTTATATCCCAATTTCGCAAATGAAAGCAAGATCGTATAATTTAATGCCTGATTAGAATAATTCAGAATGTAATGGTGTATTTACAGCGAGCCCTGCCAGTTGCACAGGTATCCTTTTGAGGGCCGACGTGTGGCATTGTGGTAGCATACCTTACATTAGAGGCCTGCTACATAAAGTTTAGAAAAAGGCAATATCTCAACAATTGCCTCTATGGTGTAGTTGGTTATCACGCAGGTCTCATATCACATGACTCTTCTGTCAACAGAAGGGATGTTCCTGAAATCCTGAGGTCTCCAGTTCGATCCTGGATGGAGGCAATTCTTTTTTACTTTTTTGCTCCCATCTCCGCCCACCTTCTCACTGTCTTTCTCAACGTTCCAATGACGATGATTGTATAAAAGAGAAACATGAATTTGGACTGTCTGTACGGAGGTAAAAGTAGATTCCGACTGATATCAGCAATCTACACAAATAAACAGTCACTCAGGACCAGATCCACAAGGGGACGGTTTGTCTTACACCAGCCTCCGCAGAGACTACCTCGTTAGTGTACAAGCCATCACGGTATCTCCTTCTTGTATGCCAAGATGTATCTCTGGTTCTGCCATTCGGTCACAGAGTACCACTCCTTCTTTGCCTCATTGTAGCTCAGATCCTCATTTCCTGGAGGGAAGTAGCTAGAGCCGACGGCTGCCTCTCCGGGGGTCCATGTGAATAGATCACCTCCATTGTTCTCACCATTGCTGCGTCCCAGGTAGAAAGTGTCATTGCGGGAGAATCCGCCCTGCATGCGAAGAATATTGACGCAGTATGCCCAGGATGCGGTTGCTACTGTCGAGCCGGTCTTGCGCAGCCGGCGTGTCGTGTAGTCCAGGGGATATTTGACCAGACGGATGGGAGTTGAGGTGTCATCGGTCTGGTACTCGCCGATCAGCAGAGTGTCGGGCGAGTCAAGACGATCAAGAGCGACCCAGGAATGCCGGAATTTGGAGTCTGGCTGGAGTTCAGTCCAATTATAGACCCTATCAACGTCATTAGCATCTTCCACCTGGGATGTACACACAATGGAGAAACTCACCTCGTCTGAGGAAGGACATAGGCATAATTGGCGGCCGAGTAGCCGCCTCCAGCCATCTTACCGATCCCATCGCCGCTCTCGACTTTCCAGATATTGTCCATGTCGAACACCCGCAGGCCATGATCGGTATCGACCACGTACAGGGCATTGCCGTACCAAGCAATGCCGCCCGCATGGATCGGCACCGATTTGAAGTTATCCGCAGCGCTTGGCTCCACCAGCATAACGTGGCGGTACTTATGCGTCGCGCGGTCCACGAAGCTTACGCGGACATTGGCATCGCCTTCCTTTTGGTACCAGCTGGCAAGCCAGACGTCCTTGCCCTCGTACGTCCCGACGGCCAGAGCATCGCCAGAGCTGGTCATTCCTTGTGGAATCCACTTGGTGGTGGACTCGTCGCCCGAATTCCAGAGCCACCGCTCTGACATTGGAAAGGCGGCTGTGCCCTTTTGCAGGTCCCGATTCGCGTCCGCGAGAACCTGCGTGACCGTAACCTTCTTGCCGGCATCGGTGAAGATCTTGGACAGCGCCGGGAGGAACCTGTTGTCGGTCTCATTGAGGGTAAAGTAAGAAGGGTTCAGTACTTTGGTATCGCCAGTACATGCCCTTGGGTCTGCGTAGACCGAAGTAAGGAGAAGCAGGGGAAGTGAGATGGAGATGGTGCTGAGGAGCTTCATCCTGGCGACTCTGGGGAATGTGAGTGGCAGTCAGGACGCTGATTTTCCTCCAACACTCCATCCTGCGGTCTTCTAGCCGAGGAGCGATATTTATTCTATGCGTCGTGTGATGATCGGCATGGCCTCTTCTGCAGCTCATCACATTATACGAGACTTGGCAGGCGCACAGGTCAATGGAAAGGGCAAGATTCATGGTGCGAAGGAATCAGGGGTACTGAAGGACGGGAATGATCAAATGCCGAGCCCTTTTACGAGTTTTCTACGCATCTCAATGGTGGAGGGGTATGATCATTGCGTCTCCCCGCAGCCAAAGGAAATGAATCTCGTATTTCCTGCGAAATAGCACAGCATCAAGTTTAATATGACGGAACGACATGAAGCTCGGGCAGCGCTCTCATTGGTAGCGTGGGACCTCCAAGGAGATTGGAATATTGAACAATTCTTGAAGCACACAACCAACAGCTTCGGTCTGTTGACAACAGACTATAAGGCATTAAGGCACCTGCACACCGGAATATCAAGAATCAAATCCCAATCATGTGACTTTCGACATGTGATGAATGAGTCATGTGCTTCCCTCCAACCAATCACTTCCGACAGCCGAGGAGGTGTATCGCAACAGTCTGAGAACGAACAAGAGTCAGACACAAGTATATCACTCCGACTATGACTTAGAGAAGACATATCCGTCTTGCCATGACGCACCAGGCGCAAGACGCAAATGCGACCGTGTCGAGTCCATTGCCCCCAGGAAACATGAGGCAGCGATCGCGACAAGCATGCGCGCCCTGCCGCCAACGCAAAAGAAAGTGCGATGGGAAATTCCCATGCTCGGCCTGTACAGGCTATGGATATGACTGCCAGTTTCTGGACGAATCTGTGAAGTCTGTCAAAAGAAGCGCAGACTCGGTTTCGTCGTTGCCACTGCCCTCTACGAAGGCTGCTCGTTTGTCAGAGGCAACAGCAAAAAGCCTGGGAGGCAGCTCGGTAATCTCTTCTTCTTCCCATGGCATCCTTGAGCCTTCGAAACTCCGGTATATGGGCCGACACGCATCAGTTGCGTTTCCCATGACAGTCGGCCTGGAGTTGCAGGCCGCAAATCCCCCGCGCCTGCACTCTTTTGCGTATAACCCCGGAGTTCGTGCAGAGCCCAGCTGTGGTGTCTCCTTTGACCTGACCGCATTTATCTCATTGGATAAAGTCCGAAGTTTGACGGATGTGTACTCGTCGACCGTCCATCCGGTGTTTGGACTGCTGGACATGGAGCGGCTGTACCACCGATGCGAGGAGCACTGGCACGGGAAACCACAAGGCTTGGGCCTGGAGGCCTTGATCAGCGGAGTCATAGCCCTCGGCTCTCTCTTCTCTGGTTTTCTCAGCGAAGAAGACGAGACGAGGGTCATGCTGCATGCGAAGGAGATCCTGGAAGACGCCTCGGTCAGTCGGACACCCTCCATTGACAAGATCGCCGGGTGGATCTTGCGTACCATCTATGTGCGAGCGACCAGTCGGCCACACTCGGCTTGGATGTGTAGCTGCACCACAATGCATCTTGTTGAAGCCGCTGGTCTACATCAGCCATTAGACGCGGTCATTCTGACGACCGGAGGTAGTGGCAGGAAGGCCTTGGAGGATATCGCTGAGACACGGGAGCGCATTGCTCAGGTAGCTCAATGTTTGAATATCATTATAGCCTACGACTATGGACGGTCCGTGGTAGACCTTGGATTGACATGGAAGAGAGACTCGAAGAGCGATGCGCCATCTAATGACCTGACACCTCAGTTGTTCAGTCTGGTCGGAGCTGTCCCACTCGACAACAATGCTGATCCGGTTACCAGGCGGGATGAGTTGGCCCTGGGCCTCGAAAACCTGGTCAAGGTATCGGTTGAGCATGACTTTCTAATATTAGTCAAGGCAGACCTGGCATTTTGTATCTACCGCCGACTTCGACTTCTAGAGACTGCAACACCTCAAGCACAGCTCGACCGAGTCATCGAGATCGGTTGTTCCACATTACCTTCTGCCCGACGACTGGTGGCGCAGAATCATCCGTGGTGGAATGTCGTTTGTACTGTCTTTCAGTTCATCTGCGTTCTTGTCGCCATCGATACAGCCGAGAGTCTGGAAAAGATCCCGGAAGCCGTGGAAACCTTGGAGATGATCGCACAACAATTGAACACACATTTGGCAAATGAAGCGCTTCACACAGCACGTCATCTCATCAATGCGTCACTGGAGAAGAAGCGAAAGGGCATCTCGATCCTCGAACGGGTGTCGGGAATTTCTGCGCCGGTTGACTCTGATCGCTTGGGAGGACAGTGGCTCCCTTCTGATTCATTATTGGATTCCTTTCCACAAACACCTTCGATCGACATGGACTTCCTTCTGGGAATGGACTTGCTGCTTTGATGACAGTTCTTCGAATGCTATCATTCGACTCAGCAGTTGATTCGGCCACGGTAGACACACTGTTTCACGATGAGAATGATGCGGAGAATCCTCTGCTGGTCAGCTGGACGTCGACGGAGCTACAGTTCCTACAGAGCTGCGAAAGCCGCATACGCAGGATTCCGCGCCCAACGTTCTCCCGGCATCATTGGACGCGAGAAGGCCGGCGCCTTCACGTTGAGCACCGCTGCGGGCAGCGCCAGAAGTGCTAAAATGTCTAGTGTCAACTGTGCTTGCCGATACTTGTGTGGTTGATCGGTCTCTATTGGAGGGGACGATATCTGCCAATCCGTGCAGATTGCCCAGTATGCGACGATGCGTAGAGTATGCGCTTCAGCTGCATGACCCATTAAGGAGACATGCTCACTGCCCCATATGCTGTGTATATTCGTATGATATACTACGCAAAGGCGGAGGAGTAGTATCAAGAATACCGAAGATGATGCGAATAGAGGCTCGCTTCGGAGCACATATAACATCGCTAAATAGATGATGCGCCGGGGTTCACAGTATTATGGGAGATTGCCTTTAGATGTGAAGCTGTGTTGAATATTCACTCCCGGTGTATTATCGAATACATGGCAGACTATTGTACAGCTCATCAAACTCGAGAAACATTTCCTAAAACATTTTCTCAAAAACATTCTGATCACGGTCCAATGCGTCCGCTTCCTTGCGCAGCACGTCTGCTCTGAACTTCCGGAATGCGTTCTCGATGCGTTTTCTTCGTTCAGGGTCCTTGGCAATACTGCGACTTCCACTGGCTGCTCCGGCAAAGAAGCCTGTAGTGTAAAAAGGTTAGCGATGATTGTTTGTGTAGAAGTATTGCTCGAGGCATACCCAGCTCCCCGCCCAAGAAGAGTCCACCCGCGGAAGCGAAGAAATATGTCGCAAAGTCTCCCCAAGTTGTCGGCTTCAGTAACGGGGTAATATCAGGAATTGCTTCTGTTCCCCGGTCAGTAAAATGCAATCTCTATTTCGTCGAAATAGGTCTATCGTACCAGTTCGGCCATCGGCAAACACCACCTGCGTGGGTTTCTCCGCTGCGCGGAATGCCGCGAAGAAAGCCTTCCGCGTGCTTCGTAGTCGGAACGCGACGTAGAGACCAAGGCCAATGCCCACTGCCGAGCCGACGGTGGTCCAGAGAGATACTCTGGAGGCGGCGCTTTTCAGCACGTCGCGATCTTCGGGTTGCAGGTCATGTTGCATGTGCTGGTCCGCCAGTCGCGTGAGCTCGTCGCCGCGACGACTGCGGATGGAGAAGGAGGATTCAGGCATGTTGCTGGATTGAGTTTAATAAAATGGTGTTAGGAGTGATATTTGATGAGAGAGAAGTGTGGAACGAGCAGATTGATTAAGGATCAAGATTTATGGGACTGGACAATTGAAGCTGGTTGCGAGTAATGACGTCAGCGGGGAAGCGTGAATATAGCATCATCAAGAAGTGCAAAAAAATGAGTACACAGGTCAGGTGCTGGGTCAGAGAAGCTGGAAGCTGGCCCCACAGGTCTTGGTAAGGCCATGCAGCACCTCACCTTTTAAATACTGTATTATACCTAGTGAATTTCACTTACTATATTTACTTCCCTAAATATTTCATCTCCTCAATAGAAAACATCTAAACTAGTTTTGAACTAGTTATTAAGCAGTTAAGGACTGCGTATTAACTACTTATTTAACTATTAGTATAGATCTGGAAGATTCTTTAATAAGTTTTAGAGAGGTTGAAGACAGCTCTTTAGATATTAATAATATTAAAGAGGTAAGAAATCTAACTAATTTCTAAGTACTTATTAACCAGTTTTATATTACTTAGGAACTGAGTGCTTTAATTTAACTAATAGATGTAAAATCAAATCTGCTTTAAATACTTTTTATTAAGTATATAGATAATCTACCAGAGTACCTAAGAACTCATTGTCACACCCTGGGATCCGTCTCTGCTGTTCCTGCTAGTCACTACTTCGGGAGTGAGGTGATATAGTCCCTGGACTATATCTGATACTTGCCCAAGGCCTACCAACCAGGTAGCCTGACGATAGATCAATACAATGATCTGAACAGGATCAAGGACAGTTCGAGGTAACACAAGAATAATAACAGCAAAGATAGAAGTAAGGCCTATTAAGTACGTGTACTTAATAGTAGAGAGTAGCTGATGAATTAGACTAGTGAACTTGTACTTAAGTGAATGATTTATATTAAATGCGAAGAACTAAACAAGGTATTCTAGATACAGTGGTAATGAGTGTCCTTATATAGTCCTCCTTATTGGTCCCTCTTCTGAGGTTATTGCAAGGTCCCTTCATGGACTATTTCCCCCTAGTCTGTAGTGGTTGTACTTATCCCTGGTCCCTGAGGGACTGTTAGTAGTTCTTAGCATTAGGGACCTTTTCTATTACACGTGATTGTGTAGCAGTGATACAGAGTAATTCTGGGTAATGACAGAAAGGGCATGGTTATGCATGGCTTTCATCCTGGAAATCATGGCCTTTCTACATTTTAATGGTTTAGGATGGTTGGTTGTCATTGTTCCTTACTTCTGCCCCTCGCTTCCGCCTTGCGTCAGCGGCGGCTATGTCAGTGTTGTAACACTCATGTACATAGGTATACCTATATTATATCTGTTATTAGCTAATTACAGGAAGCAGAGCATATTATACAAGGTGTAAGTATATAACTAGTTATAGTAGGTTATCCAGCAGTTGCTAACTAGTTACTAACTAATTATAAGATATAATACTCCTAAGTAAGTATCCATGGTGCTAGAGTAAGTATTAGATTATTATTTCTAAATTATTTAGTAAAGAAGTGGATGTGGAGATGTTCTGGAGCTTTAATATATAAATATTTAAAGCTAAGTCTCTATATATTATATCATACTTACCTTAACAAGACTGCATAGGAGGAAATTCAGAATATTTAAAAGAATATTAATTTAATTAAAAGGGATGTTCAAAAGCAAAATATATATAGATAAGTAATTAAAAACTAATTTAAAACTAATTAATAAGTACTTATTAAAATTCATTTATAAACCAGTATCTATCAATTAAAAAAAATATTCTTTTAAAAGGGTCTTGCATGCCTTAAGCAACTTCTAACCTATGTACTAAGGTTTAAAAGGTATTTTTATCCTATAAGATAGAATAACCAGTTATTAACTAGTTATGAACTAGTTTCTAACCAATTTCTAACTATTTAAATAGGATATGAATGATGAATACCATCTATATATTAGGTGTGTAAATAGAATATCAGACTTTCTTTAAAAATATTACTATAGCTCTATCAAAGGTTATACTTTAATTAATCTTAACTTTCTAGAGCAGTTATTTAATAATTTAATCCTGCTATCTCAGGAAGAGTATACTATTATTAAGCTATTATTATTACACTAAAAGTATTATAGTAAGTAGTTCTTAACCCTTTAAGAATTAGTTTAAAAGTACTTATTAAGTACTTAGATTTTAATTATATTTAAGGACCTGGCAGATTAGAACATCTTAAATATAATATTACTTTTACTGCACTAGTACTAGTTAATATCTAAGATTATCCTTATATTATTTTTATATCTTATAAAATCTATTAACATCCTCCACCTCCCCTATATAAGCCACCAGAGCTTATATTAAGAGGAGTTCAGAATATAATTAGGCAGATAGGAAACCTAAGTTTAACTTAAGGTATATACTAAATACTCTTTAAGTACTTTAAAACTAGTTACTAACTAGTTATTAGCTTAATTTCTATGAAGTCCAGAACTAGAGGCTTTTTATTCTTAATATAATACCTCTATACCTACAGAAATACATGCATCTTTTTTAAATCTAGATTATATATCTACTATTATCCAGAAGTAATAACTTTTCTTATACCCTGCAGGTTAGGGCTATAATAAGGTTTTATATATATATAATATAAACCCATTCATCAGGGTAAGTACTTATAGACTAGTTCTTAAGCAGTTATAAATTAGTTACTAATTAGTTTTAGGAATATATTTAAGAGAAATATTATAATATATAGGGTATAATAATTCTCTATATATTTAAAGAGTAAATCCAGCTCTTAACTTAGTTAACTTCTTTTAAAGTTAATATATCATACAAGCGTATTTAAGAAAAGGAAATAAATGAGGTTGTGTTTATAACTTATCTATATAAATATAGAAAAAGTAAGTACTTAATAACTAATTATTATACTCTAATAGTATACTAACTAGTTATAAAAGTTATTACCCTTTTCTGAGTATTCACAGATTAAGAAATAACAGATAGCTATTATCTTTTATTTAAGAGAGTATAGTAGTAAATTTAAAAAATAGTTAAGTAATCTAAAGAAGATACTTAATCTAATACTATTCTTCTTAGTTAA